ATATCTTAAACATAGTTCAAGTTCGAAGATGGGAAATATCGGTCCACACCTTCTGATAACTATATCGAATCCAAAAATCAGACTCATTGGTCCACTCTTTCTTGTACATTCCTCACAATGGGTCAAGATTTTGAAAATTTTTTAATCCAATAACAATGGTGTGGAATTTCCGACGTAATGTCAAATATCTTTCAAATTTTGATTAAGTTCGAATATCAAATAAGGATACCGGTCCACTCTTCTGGTATCTTCCCACAAAATGGCAAACATTTTGCTGAATTTATTATTTATAATATTACGTGAACAGAATATTATGACCGTAAAATTATACGGTTGAAAGATGGGACTTTTAGGTCTACTCCTTCTGATACCTCCCCCACAAAGGGTCAACATTTTAAAAAGTTGTACATCTCTTATGAAGCGGACCGAATATTCAATCTCATCGAAACTTTTCCCAAATTGGTCCCAACGATAACGCATTTTTTCAATTAGTATTTTTTTATTTTATATCTCTGAAGAAATTATCCCTTGTCTGAATCCTCGTTCGGTATTAAATGGCTGCGAGAGGTCCCAACGATAATGCATTTTTTCAATTAGTATGTTTTTTTTTAATTTTATATCCCTGAAGAAATTATGCCCATGTTCTACCTCTCCATTTTTTACCATATTTCGATATGTGAAAGACATCTAATAAATCTTTTTAAAACCAATTAATGTAAAAGAAATAATTACATACCAAAATACAATGTAGTAGATAACTCCTCTAATAGCCATTAACTATTTACTATCTGTTACAAAATTACAAAGTAATCATATAATGGTATAGAACACAACAACAAACTAGAATATTGTTAAACAAATTTCTACTGTCTAATAACAAATCAATAAATCCATAAAATGCAAATTACAAATTGAAAAATCAAAACGAAAGATATTAAATAAATAGCTTTCAATTTTCAAACATGAATGGCAAGTAACCGACCAGATGTCAATAGATGCCAAGCTATTAGTTTCATTTCCCCCCATAACAGTACCCCAGCAAGGGGCTATTGCCAATCCACCTCCCCCAATTCGAATAACTATCACTTACTTGACATTTGAGTCATAATAGGTAAATGTTTAGAAGGCATTAGCGAACAAAAAAACAACAACAAAAACTGCAAATCAATACAACTGAAGTTGTCGATTTCCTGTACCTAACCTGTGTTTTTGTGTTTTTTTATATATATCTGCTGCAGCAGTTCCGTTGCGGGAAATACCAGCCATGATTTACATGTTTGGCAAAAAAAAAAAACAAAACAAATTCTCTAGACCCGACCATCAAACAACACAACAACATGGTTATTTATTGTATTGGCATTTGAAAACAAAACGACGAAATGGAAAAAAGTTCAAATAACTCTTTACCTATTTTGCCGGTTGTGATGCCCCCCTCACCTCACCTCTTCCGCCAACACCACCACCACACGAAAGCAACAATAAACAAATATAAAAACAAATTTTGAAAGTAGGTTTTGATGTTGATGTGTTTTTTGTTTTGTTTATTTTTAGTTGAACTATTAGTCAAGGTCAAACATTATGGAGGCTATAAACTTACTTGGCAATAAAAGAAAGGTTTACGACAGTGGGAAGGAGTCGTCTAACAATAATACATTCTCAACTTTCCTAACACCCATTGTACGAAGGATTTCTTTCTTTTTTGTATAAACAAAGAAATTTATATTGCATTGAATTTCGAAGCAATGCTAGAAGTACTTGAACCCTTCCCAATAATATGGAGGTTATATTAATTGTGTGTTTAGAAAAAGTTTTTATAAAATATTAAAATTTTGTTATTTCTATAAAAAAACATCTAAATCCAAAAGACTATTTTTGCCAATTAGAAATTTGGATTTATGAATTAGCCTTGAAAAATGTTGTTTATGAGTAACCTTTTTCATGAACAGACTATATTAATGTTTCCTTATTTATTAGCTTTCAAATATACCATTTTAAGTTTATTGTTCAAGTTCATGGCCAATTTAAGCCAACAGACCCACCAGAAACGACAACACAACAACAACACCAGAAACGAGATAAGAATTTGCGGTCATTCAACGATTACCGCCAATTTGGCATACATTCACTCATCCGTTCAAAAGACAGTAATCAATCATAATGTATATCACCATGGATGGATGAATTTCATTTTGAAAGTATAGTTTTATTAAATAATAATGAATTGCGATTAGATAATTTATGGGATTTAATTCCGGGCAAATTTGACATCATTTAAATCGGTTGTTGAAAAAATTCATTGTAAAGATCATTCGGTTCTGGTCAAAAGTATCCCAAAACAAGTAAAAAGTGTCAGTCGGTGTTGCCGACAGATATATACCCCCAGCCTATGGTTTGCAGAGGTCTTCGGAATTACACACCGATTTTATTATTCGCTTTATATAAGAAAGCTTTCGGATTTAATGTTGATAAAATTTTGTAAAATATTGACCATTTGTGAGGGAGGTAACGGAAGAAGTGGACTACTGAGGTACCAAAGGGAGTGGACCAATGATTCCCATCTTCGGACTTGATCTAGGGTTGGTAAAGATTTGTTCGTTCAAATCAGACATTCCATTTGCCAGATATTTTGGATTTACTAATATTGAAATTTTGACCATTTGTGGGGGAGGTACCAGAAGGAGTGGACCAATTGGTCCCATCTTCGGACTTAATCTAGACTTCGCAAAAATAATGGTTTGTGCAAAGTTTGGTTCACATCGGACTTTCCATTCGAATGATATTGGATTTGCAAATATTGAAAATTTTGACCATTTTTGGGGAGGTACCAGAAAGAGGTTGAGCGATATTCCCCAACCTCGAACTTAAACTCTGTTTGAAAAAAATATTAAGATGTACACACTTTGAATGACATCGGTTGCTGCCTTCGAGAGTTATCGTGCGGACCATCCAGTCAGACAGAGGGACAACGGACGGACATGTGTAAATCGACTCCAAATTTTCTGAAACGGATTTGGTCCAATGAATCTTGGAGTCTAAAGCCAATATTTTGATGAGGCACATTTTCACCGTATCAAAGTGTATATACCATCATTAGCCATAAGACTGAGGGTATAAACAGTGTTTATACCCTCAACTTTGTGGCTAATGAGGGCTATATGCCCATGCGAACAGAGCATCCGATACAAACCAAACTTTGCATATCCTAAATTTTTATTCATGCCTGTGTATTGTTGGGAGATGTGGCTTTTCTGTCCACTCCAACTAGTACCTCCCCCACAAAAGAGTCAATATTTTGACAACTTGTATGGAATATCCCACTTTATCCAAACTTTGAACATCGTAATATTTTTACTTATACTAGATCGAATCCAAAGATAATAGATCTCTTCTTTGGATTCGATTTTCTGGTATTTCATGTGGGGTTTAAAATGTTGAAAATTATTAATCCAATAACAATAGTATGAAAATTCGGATGTGATTCCAAAAATACACATTGTAATATTTCTTTTAAACTTATTTTATGTTGGAAGATGAGACCCACGCGAGCAGGAGCAAATCCAGATGTACAGGAGTCAGAATGAAGTCCGAAAATGTTACCAACGAGTAAAACACCAAACCGAAGGCTTTGGAGCAGGCACATCCTCCTGTAGAGATGAAGAAGGAAACCTGGTGACAGATACAGATAGTGTTCTGAGGATCTGGAAGGAGCATTTTGAAAATTTTCTGGTATCAAATAGCAGCGGCGAAGAGGATAAACCAATAATAGATATCGGTATAGAGTGTATACCCCCTAGCCAAGATGAGGTCAGAATAGCAATCATTCGGCTGAAGAATAATAAAGCAGAGGAACTATTCAAGGCTGGTGGTCAGATGCTGGTAAGGAGCATGTACCAGCTGATTAGTACAATTTGGCTAGAGGAATGCTTGCCAAATGATTGGAACCTCAGCATCCTGTGTCCCGTGCACGAAAAATGAGACAAGACGATATGTGCCAACTATACAGGAATTAGCCTTCTTCCCATCGCATATAAAGTACTATCGAGTGTGCTGTGTGAACGATTGAAGCCAATGGTCAATGACATTATTGGGCCATACCAATGCGGCTTTAGACCTGGCAAATCCACCATTGACCACATTTTCACTCTACGCCAAATCCTGGAAAAAAGACCACGAAAAACACATCGACACATTCCACTATTCGACAGCGTTTGGCATTCCTGCAAAATTAATTCGGCTATGCAGGATAACTTTAACTGACACAAGATCAGTAGTTAAAGTCGAAACACTCTTACAAGACGCTGATACTAACCATGCTATTATATGGATCTGAAGCATGGGTACTTACGCAAGCAGATAAGGCAGCTCTTGGAGTGTTTGAGAGAAAAATTCTCTGAAAGATCTATGGGGCGATCTGCGTTGACGGTGAATATCGCCGTCGAGTGAACAATGAGCTGTACCAGCTATTCTCGGACATCGGCATTGTTAAACGTATTGAGCTGCAGCATGTGTTGGCTAGGTCATGTTGTGAGAATGAATGAAGATGCCCCAGCTGATGGTTCACGCAGAAGGGGAAGGCCACGAATAAGATGGAAAGATCAAGTTTAAGACAACATTGCTGAATATGATCTTTCAAAGTGGAAAAACTGCGCAAAAAACCGACGCGCCTGGAAATCTTTTTTAAGCTGGGCTTATGGAAAGAAAGTTCTGCCATTAGGCAGAAAATCTCTCTACTAAACATTATCAATATTGGAAGTTTCCGTTTTAGACGTTTTTCAACACAGTTTTTATCTCATTTTGTTATTTCAGGCCACACTTTCATATAGTCCTCATAAAAAACGAAAGCCGTTATAAAATATCAAATTGATTTTAGATATTTTTTGTATGTCCACGACGTTTTGATTTTTTTTTATATATATATATTTTTAATTACTTTGAATTAAATTTGTGACTATTTTAAATCCGACTTACAAAAATCATAAAATTAATCTCAAATCACTTACCCACAAATAATAATACCAAAACATTGTACCAACGCCGGGTAGAAATTATCCATTGACACTGTGGAATCATGATCTGGTGCCGCAGTTGTTGTTGTTGATGCTAGAACTCCAACTTCAGTTGCCTTTTCCATCGTAGTTGCCATTGTCGACAAAAGGTTTTGCATTAGAGAATGGGCTGTGGTCGATGCCATGCCGCCATTATCGTCATCAGCCATCATCATGTCGTTGTCGTCTTCATCGGGTGCGACAATATTACCCAAATTTGCATAAATAGTTTCATCACCATGTAATGCGGCCAATATCATTGAGCTTTCCATAATAGCCGAAAAAGCTAGCTAGCAAGCAAACAGCGGGTAGACAAAGAAAGAAACTTTAAACAGCAGCTAGGGGTTGGATGTTGGTTGCTGTCACAGCCACGGAAGTAATACGTTCTCGTGCGCCAAGTTGCCCCTATGGCGTGTGTGGGTGTCTGGTATTTGCAAATTGTTGTGGGTGTGTATGAACTTTACGTTTCGTTTGAATACTTTGTTGTAATGGAGGTAGAAATTCCCAAAATTTGTTTTATAAACAATGTCGCTGTATCTACGTCATTGTGTCAACGATATGTGTTTGGCTTTCCCTTTTGGTCCCTGCTTTAACAGCTGTGATGATATTTTTATGATGGACGAAGTCTGTTTCGCCAACAAACAAACAAGTGGGTGAATGATGGCAAACGTCACAGCAAATTTTCCACACAAAGAAATTGATGGTGAACGGAACAGAACAGAGCCTTAGTCGGCTGACATTTAGCTGCCTTGAATTTGTTTTTTGCAGGATGGCACAATTACCTTGTTTTTTTCTATATTTTCTTTAGTAATACACTACAACAACTTCCTGAGCAAAATTGCTTTTGTTTCTTTTTGCTTAAAATTGAAATTTTTTCTTTTGTTTAGAAGAAGACACTTGAGCAAATATAACTTTTTCTTTCACATGAGAGCTTTTCTTTTTATATCCAAATATTTTCATTCACTTATTCTTATTTTATATATTGCACTTTATTCAACTATTTCTATTATATATTTAATTGGTATTTTTCTTCGTAAAAACGTATGATTTCTAAATTCCTCATTATTATTTAAGTATTAAATTCAGTGCTTTATTTTTTTGTGACACCATCCGTCCTCTTTTCGGTCGATGTTCTCTCTTTGAATTCACGATTATGACAGATGGCCAATTGTTTTATCAGCTGTTCTTTTGTTACCGTTCCGTTTGCAAACTGAAATTTAGAACTACTTTTAGAACTGTCAAGTTTTGTTTTTGATGGCATGCTTTATGGGGTGTTGCCATGTGATTAAACAAAAGTAATGGGGATATGGCATTGCCAGTTTTGTTTAAGACACAAGGAGATAATTATTGAATCACGGAATGTACATATTAAGCATGATACATCTGCTGTGTTCCCGCAATGTTACTGTCATATATGTCAATACAGTCAGTCTTAAGGGTCCCATACACTATACATCATGCCATACAGCATTTATCATAGTATGTGTTCTTTTTTGAAAAAAAATCTAAATAGTTTTTATTTTGAAAATGAAACCCTGGTGAATAATATTCATTTCGAAAGTTGTCAGTAAATAATTATGTGTACAAAAATAATAGAATTGTGACGGAATAAAAATACAACTGATTTTTTGGAAGAGTGATTGAAGAGTTTGCCATACACTAGTCAATCTCACATATACAAAAAGGGGTTCGTCGGCATGACGACTTGATTAATAGTGTATAGGGTCCTTTAAATATAATGGATGTACATAAAATGATTTAAGGCAAGCTTATTTCATTCGTTTATTATTAAATGTCAAATTATAAAGGAATATCACAGTCATATTTGAGTTTTGTCGGTGTCTCCTTTATTTTATAACGTTATAACGTGATACATGGTAACGTAATACTTGTGTCATTTTGAATATGACACAAAAATATGTTTAAAAAATCCCATGAATAGAGCTCGAAAATTTTCAATTCAATTTACTCAATCTGTGAATTTACCGTGAACTGCATCAACTTCAAAATCTATCGTAATTTGGAACATGTCAAGATATTGCAAACGAAATGACAAATTAAATGTATTCTTCTCCTCATTGTGATATAAAAAACGTAAAGGAACGAAGCTTATATGAATCACATATGAAAAAATACAGTATTATTGGTCTGTTCTTCTACTGCAAAATACTAATTTTTCCTACAATAACAATTTTTCCTTTATGATAACGAAACAAATTGTAGATTCGTTCAGTATGGGAACATACCTTATGTAAACCAGCTATAAGGACAACTACAGCTGCCTCTAATTTTCACCTCTTCCCATTCGTAAACATTTTCATTGTTTTTGCCATACACTCACATTCGTAACATATTAGATTTTTTTCGATTTTGCCTTCCACACATTTGATAATGAGACCTAGTTCACTTGTTCCATTTCGTGAATCGTTCAATTGAACATTTGAATTAGTCATTTTTATCTTTGTGTGAAGCTGACTAGCAAACAAATCAATTGGAAAAATTCTGAAGATTTTACAGCCAAAAAGCAAATAATTTTATTAATTTTGCATTTAAATAAAATCTTAAATTTTCCACTAATAAAACAACTACAAAATGAATCGCTTGTTTGGCCGTGGTAAAGAGAAGGTGCCACCACCAAATATCAATGACTGCATCAAGGGAGTAAGTAACGAATGAGAAAAAAAATGTATAAAATAATTAAAAAATCTCATTGTTTTATTTGTTTAACTACCAAATAAAAGGTTGATGAACGCGCAGCCAACATTGAGGAAAAAGTCAACAAGTTGGAAAATGAACTGCGTAAATATCGTGAACAAATGTCCAAGATGCGTGAGGGACCGGCAAAGAATTCGGTTAAACAAAAGGCAATGCGTGTGCTGAAACAAAAGAAGGCGTAAGTGAAGGTTTTCTTAAAAACAACGATTAATTTGTTATTAATGAAGTATTATTTGTTTAGTTATGAACAACAAGTTGAAGCCTTGCGCAATCAATCATTTAACATGGAACAGGCAAATTATGCTGCCCAATCGTTGAAGGATACCCAGGCTACGGTGGTGGCCATGAAGGCTGGTGTCAAACAAATGCAAAAAGAATTCAAGAAAATCAATATTGAAGAAATCGAGGATATACACGATGATATGGCCGATATGTTGGAACAAGCCGATGATGTCCAAGAGGTTATGGGTCGCACATATGGCATGCCCGAGGTCGATGACGATGAATTGGAAGCTGAATTGGCCGCTTTGGGTGATGAAATTGCCCTCGATGATGATACCAGCTATTTGGATGATGTTGTAAAGGCACCCTCGGCTCCGGATAGAGAACCGGGTGCTGATAGTCTAGTTCCGGGTAGTAAGGTAAGGTGGATGGATATACCACATTGTTTTGGTGGGCAAATGAAAATAGGCTTAAGCACAATAGGCTCCAACAATTTTGTTTTTTAAATACATGCTTGAATTTTATACAGAAAATTCAGTCAAAAACATTTGAGAATTAAGAATTTTTCTTAAAGGACTATCAGTCGTAAAAAAATTGATTTCTTAAAGAATTTTTAATGGACCATTCAGCTTTAGTTTTTTGTAATATTTTATTATATTTTTTTGTAATATTTACATAAGAAAAAGAAGCGAACATTTTTTAAGAATATTTTTCAGGGATCACCATACCAATAAGAGGGATTTTAAGGAGCATATATATAAGTTTAGATTAAAAAAATGTAAGGATAAAAACAAGCGCGGATTTTTATATAATATTTTATTTTTATATAATATTTTTTCAATGAATTTCAGTCCAATGAGCTTAGGGTTTTAAATATATATATTTTTAACTGGCAGAACCAAACTTGTATTTTTGTAAAAAAACCCATATTTTAAAATAATTTCAGATCATTAACATTTAATATTTTTTTAGCGTTCATTAAAAAGAAAAAATGCTTTAAAGTCCATTTAACTTATTTTTTAGAATATTTTTTTAAACCAATGATTTGCAAATAAAAAATTAATTGAGATGGTTAAAGAAGTTGATTATTTTATCTAAAATTCCAAAACTATCTGAAGTTATCTTTGTCGTTGTGTGCTGATTTTAATTCCACATTTTTTCATTTCAGAGTGGCATCGAAACCGATGAATTTGGTCTACCCAAGGTCCCAACATCCGTAAAAACATAATTATTCTCCAAATATTGTTTTTAATGCTATAATTTGTTAAGAATTTTGATGTAATCCAGCTTTTATAACAAAAATGTGTTTTAGTATTTAGAGAAAAAAATCACTTTTGAATTGCTGTTTATTTACACTTAAGTTGAAATTTTAATTGTATTAAAAAAATATATAAAAAACTCATTTGAAGTAGAAAAAGAACAATGTAACATGGATTTTTAAAAATATTTTTTTTATCAAGCAACTCAGGCGAGGATTTTTTTTAATTTTTTTTTTATCAGCCCACAGAAATGTTAAAATCTTGGATATTTAAAACTTTTTTTTAGATTTTGTTAATATATTTTTTCAAAGGTTAAAAATGGGTGGGTTTCACTCCCGAGATTTTTTGTAGGGTTTTGAAAATACATTTTTTATTGAAAATTTATATTTTCATCAAGGCATATTATTTAAAATACATTTTCAATGCCAAGCCCTAGCCTTGAATTTTTTAAGACATTATTTAAACCTGGATTTCCTAATTTTTGTATTAATAAATAAGAGAACTTATACACGATAGATTGAAAAAATTAAAAAGGCTATTTTTTATAGCTTGAATTATTCATACAAACCACTAAACAATAAAGTCAAAAAAATAAAATTTTTATTATTTTTAAAATAACATTTCGTTATATTTGAATTTATTTATTGCAACAATTCCATTAATTATTTGTTATTTAGTATAAATTCAAATCTTAAAATAAACAAAGAAAAAAACTTCATTCTTTTTAACATTTATTTTCATATATTTTTTTATTTTTCGAATTTGGGAAGACTTTTTTCTTTGAATAGTTTTGTTCATTATTTTTATTATTAGAGAATAATACTTTATAATCGAGGTGTGTTGTGATTGTTCCTTATTTTTAATTAATTGTATATAAAACATGACAACCAAATTAATTTATTTTCATATCAATAATTTTTACTGAATATATTTCTAATAAATTTAGACTAACGAATAGTCATAGATCAGCCAATGTGGTTTGATATAGACGGAATCCTATATCACTTTGAGCCATTTTTCTAATATAGGAAGGTTTTTTTATTGAAAAAAAAAAAAACATATTTAGTCAGGATAAATAATAATTTTTTACTTATTTAAAATCTAATGGACATACTTCGAGTACTTTGTATTATTATAACCTATAGATTTGTGTGTTTTTATTTTTTTGTGTTAGGATAGAAAATTTGCCATTCATAGCAATTTCTTTTTTTTTTTGATGAAATTAGGATTTTGTAGCTACTACTTATTATTTTTTCTAAATTATATGTATGTATTTGTTTACTATCTACATTTCTAGCCTATTCTAATACTAACTACATATATACTAGAAATATGTGTGCTAAACGGAAAAAATGGGAACTATAAAAAGTTATTGAAGTAAAAAAATATAGGTGCCAGGGAAATAAGCCTAGATTTTGTTTAATCAAAATTTTCATTAATCAAATCAGCTTTCACCAGCGTTGATTTTTTAAATTATTATTTTCTTTTATACAAGCGTGGATTTTTTAAAATAATTTTTGTTTAAGGGCAAAAACAGATTTTTATACCCTTCACCACTCTGTGGTACAGGGTATTATGTCGTTGTGCATATGTTTGTAACTGGCAAAAGAAAACGACACATGGTTCCTTTTGAGAATATGCATAGAATCACTTTCTGAGTCGATTTATGCATGTCCGTCCGTCTGTAGATGTTAAACTATAAACAAAGTACAGGTCGCATTTATGATCAGATTGGAATGAAATTTGTCACAGCTCACTTATTTGGCCCAAGGACGAACCCTATTGAAATTGAAGAAAATCGGTTCAGATTTAGATATAGCTCCCATATATATTTTCATCCGATTTAAGGTAAAAAGGGCACCAAAGTCCCTATATATCATTCGATTTGCACGAAATTTTGCATAGCGTACTGAATTGAGTCTGCAATGATGTGTGCAAAGTTTCGTGAAAATCGGTTCAGATTTAGATATAGCTCCCATATATATTTTCGTCCGATTTTATGTAAATTAAATTTAGCATTGTTTCCAGAAAGGCATAAAGATCACATATTCAAGTTCGTTCAATTTCATGCCAATGTTCTTTCGAAAAGGCGGAGTCTGTTAGGTGACACATGTAGAATATACCCAAAGTGGTGAAGGGTAATATATAGTCGGCCCAGTCCGACTATACTACTTTCCTTACTGGTTACAATTATATTTTGTAGGTGCAGCACAGTCGAGGATTTTTTATTTATTTTTTTTAAATTATGTTTTTTAAAGCACAAACACTGGCGTGGATTTAAAATTGTGTTTTAAACGGCATTTACATTAGAACTTTTTGCAGGGTTAACCTACTTTATGCGGATTTATTTGACAAATATGCAATGGAATTGACAATTGAAACCCACTGGGTTAACTAAATCCGGTACAATGTAAACGTACTATTAAGGGCCAAAATTGGCTTACATTTCTTTCATTAATTTGTCATTATTTAATACTGGTGACGATTTTTTTTCAACAAATTTTGAAATACCAAATAAAAAAATAATTTATGTTTGACTAAATTTTGATTGCCTTTAATTTTTTATTTCACATTCCAAAAAATACAAAATTTTGAAATACCAAATAAAAAAATAATTTATGTTTGACTAAATTTTGATTGCCTTTAATTTTTTATTTCACATTCCAAAAATACTAATAATACATTTAATTTTCAATGTTCAAATATCTTAAAATTTTACTAGTTTAAATAAATTATTAACAGCCAAATAGTTATTTACAGAAAACAACAACATAATTTTTTTAATTAATAATACACAAGTCCAAATGAGCACCAACGATAAATAGCTATGAGCAGATGATCATGAAATTTAAATAAATCGTTTAATGTGAATACAAAAAAAAAGACACATTTAATTGCTAACTTAAATTTAAAAAAAAAGATCACAAAAATATGATTTTTCTTTACAGCATGGGATTGAATTTTAAATTGGAAATTTGCATTTGTGTATAGTTTAATATTAATTTATGTGAGTATAGTTGATATAGTTGAACTACACAACAGATAATACTTTTCCATAAAAATATTTATCTTAAATAAAATATATGTAATTCTCTGAAACGAATACTTAATTATGACGAATAAATTGCCAAAATGATTTTTCTTTTATACACACAATTGGATATTCTAATAAAACTATTTATCCATAATATACGAAATTGCCGTGTCCGCAAACAGTATTTGTTTAAACAAATACTTTTTTATTTTTGATTAAAGATGCATATATAATACAAAGCCTTTACAATACAATACTGGTGATATACAAGATCATAAATTTCTTATGACAATAAATTATCCAATTGTGTCAAATATCACCATACTCACATAACTTATTTATCATAAGCATAAATATTTAAAAAAATGGCGAATTGACTATTTTTTTCAAATTCCTTGAACTTTTTTACCTCTTATCTTATATGATAAGGACCAAACGATCTGGTAAGGACCAATACAATTTGTTTTAAATTGTTTTCAGTAACAAACACAACCCAGATATTTTTAAAAGATACATATGTGTTCAAATAGATTAAAAAAAATTAAATATATATTTTCCAACAATTTTTTTATTGATTTGGATTTTCAAAAACATTTTTTTTAATAACACATGGCTAGACTGATTCTTTTTGTCAGTAACAAGGCAAGCATCCCAAAATGAAGGCAAAATACATGGTCGCATTTTGTGTAACAAAAATTGATTACAGGAATTTGAAAAGTCGATAAACACACAATTTTGTAAAAATTAATTATGCCCGTAGAACTGTAGAAACATTTCATATTTTTCCATACTGACCATGTATAACATAGATCTATCAAACAAAAAACTTAAATTTAAAAAAAAGTCCTACAACATACTGAGTGGTATTTGTGCCAACTTAATAATAAAAATAATAATAATGTGCGTTTGCATACATATAGTTATGTGTGTGTTCTATGGACATTAACTTAATACATTATGTTATAGTATAGTACGCATATTATACCACCTAACCACAACCATTTAATCTACGCAGTCGTATACGCTTAAAATATTTACCCGGTGGCGGGCATTGATATGTTAGATTTGTAACGAAATTATATGAGGCATACATATCTTCGACACGCAGCTTGTGCATTGAGATCATACCCTTATAGGTGCACATATGTTTCGATTTAGCATAATTGAATAGTGGATGATGATGCCGTTTTAAGTGGGCTTTTTCGGCACTTATTCCCGTCACATAGACATCTTCCAAATATATCAATGATGTGTTGAGAGCAGCGTTATACAGCTTGGGCACAACATCCATGGACATTAGATATCCGGAACCGGATAAATAGTGGGGATACATATCCTGCGGATACATATAATATGGCATATACCATTTACTCTTGACATTCGATAGGACGGGAGCGCGACAAAACATATAACCCACCATATAGTTGACAGTGGCATTTAGACGATTTAAATCGGAGAGCGTTTGATAGGAATTACTATCGTAATAATCTAAGGTTTCATTGTAAAGGGGCACAGTGCCGCCCAAAAGGAAATGTAGCAGGTTGGGCACATTAACAAAGGTGTCATCGTCAACTTTCATAAAGAACGCCGCCTGTCGAAAGCAATTTCGTTCTTTGATCCATTTCAGTGCCATTACTGACTTAATCGTTAGATTATTATATGAATCGATAAATTGTTCTTGTATAATATCATCATATTGTTCGGCTTCTTGTCTTAGGCGTGTCTGGGTTTCATTGAAATAAAGTGAGCTGCCGCCACCACCACCAGTGCTGTGACTGCTACCACTACTTATAGTTGCTGTTGTTCCAAAAGTACCACCACCGTTGCTTGTGTGCTGTTGTGCAAATTCCTGTTTATTTTGTCCCAATAGAAATAAAATACGCACAGGTACAGTGGCTGTGTGAAACGTTGAGGTTTGCTGAAATTAAAATAAATGCATTTATTAAAAATACTTATCGGACACAATGAGATATGAAATATAAATAAAGCTACCCCAAAGCATCCGTTAACTTACATTTCCATTCATTTTTAGAAATTCCCGATAATATTTCAGGCGTTGTTTTTTCGTCGGCAAATATTTGTCGCTCAAATGTGAATGTAGTTTTTCAAACATGTGGTAATTAAATTCGGTTGTATTGCCCCAGGTTTCACGTATTGTTTGTCTGAAATTGAAAAGAAAAAATAAAAATATTAATAAACCAGTCAGCGAAGCAGTATAGTCGGACGGGGCCATACAATACCCAAAACAACTATCACAGAACTCTATCTTTCTGCGGATTTTTATTCCGAGCCTGGGTAATATTTCGTGATAGTTGCAATCTATTGCCCGATTAGAGGCCAACAGCACATCTTCTTACACTGACATATTTTCCGAATATTACCAATATTCAGTACATCACTTTTAATTACTTGTCCATATTCCCTTCACCGTAGGTTGTGTTGTTCGGCTTATAATTGTAGCCTATAGATCGAATCGGAAAATAACACAAAAAAACCAGAACATATAGTTTCGTCCGATTTAAAGTAAATGAGGCACCAAAGTCCCTATAAATCCTTCGATTTGCATGAAATTGTGCATTGGGTACTGAATTGAGCCTTGAATGATGTGTGTCAAGTTTCGTGAAAATCGGTTCAGATTTAGTTATAGCTCCCATATATATTTTCGTCCGATTTAAGGTAAATAGGGCGCCAAAGTCTCTATATATCTTTCGATTTGCAAGAAATTTTGCATAGGGTACTGAATGGAGCCTTGAATGGAGTGTGTCAAGTTTCGAGAAAATCGGGTCAGATTAATATTTAGCTACCATATATAGTTTTGTCCGATTTAAGGTGAATGGGACACCAAAGTCCCTATATATCTTTCGATTTGTACGAAATTTTGCATAGTGTATTGAATTAGGTCCAGAATGGTGGGTGCTGAGTTTCGTAAAAATCGGTTCAGACTTAGATTTAGTTCCGGTATATAATTTCGCCCGATTTTATGAAAATGGTGAACCCTATATAACTTTCGATTTAATCGAAATTTGGCAAAGAGTACTCAATTAGGTCCAGAATGATGTGTGTTGAGTTTTGTGAAAATCGGTTCAGATTTAGCTTCCATATATAGTTTTGTCCGATTTAAGGTAAATGGGACACCAAATCCCTATATATCTTTCGATTTGCACGAAATTTTGCATAGGGTACTGAATTGAGTCTAGAATGACGTGTGCTAAGTTTCGAGAAAATCGGGCAAGATTAAGATATAGCTCCCATATATTTTCGTTCGATTTAAGTTAAATGAGGCACCAAAGTCCCTAAATGTCTTTCAATTTGCACGAAATTTGGCATAGGGTATTAAATTAGATCCGGAATGATGTGTTCTAAGTTTCATGAAAAGTGAATTAATATTCACTCGAAAAGGCGACGACTGTTAGGATACATATATAGAATATACCCAAAGTTTTAAAGGGTATAATGTAGTCGGCCCAGTCTGACTTTACTACTTTCCTTGCTGGTTTTTAATAACATTCCGTACTTCCGATTTGCTACAACAACGAATTTTTTATTTCAATTTCGCTTGAGCTACGTGTCCGTAAACTATTTACTAATACTTTGTTTTTTTGCTTAGAACCTGACACAGCAATAAATAATAAGATATATATATATATATATATGTGTTTATAAGTATATGCAATTCATTATATTTTAGCCCAGTCTAAAATTAAAAACAAAGATAATTGAAAAATAATAAACATTTTTACATTAAATTACTACGATTCGATTTTAACTATTCAATATCAGAGATAAGAATAAAAGTGATATTCAAAACGAAAGTTGCCATTTATTACAACGGTTATTGGCAATGAATTGTATTGTCAATAAACTCTTCTAACAGAAAATTGTGCAATAGGGGCAGGGAGTGGGTGTGGAACACACATACGAAGGTTAGATGATATGAAGCAAAATATCTCAATTAATATCAGTATTATTTCAAAATATGACTTTTGCATTTAGAGATTCCAAAAAGTTTTGTAATATTGAACTGTCCAAATGATAAAATTAAGGGAATAAATTTAACGAATATATAACCATATTTAGCCGAAAGACTATTCAGGTGAGTCAGATTATCACGGAGTCTATATTGAATAACAATTTAAAACAAAACAACATGATCGGCAGCATAAGACACGCGATTATTTTATCACGAACATTAATTTCCCTGTTCAATTTAAGTTTTTTATGATACTTAGAAAGTGGTGGTAGTTTAGTTGACCAGACCAAATATATTTTATTGGCCTTTCCAATAGTTTGTCGATAATAAATCCAATATTAGACAAAAAATCCCTCATAATGTAGGTTTCCCAATGTTGATTTCTTTCTTCGTTCTTTTTCAGTATTTTCATTTACCAATTATAACAATTTATCAAATCATTACTGTCCCCCCAAAAGCTTATCAATCAAATGTGATAGTAGAAAAATGAAACTGGCAGCTGAACTGAAGTACTGAATGGTTGGTTGGGTTCCATGAATAAACCAATAATAATAATAAAAAAAAAAAACAAGTGAAAAGATTTCGTCAAAATATTAACGAGATAAATGGCAATTTGCTCTACACACTCACCTTGCTTCGAAATTATTCAAACCGGAGCATACAATAATTAATAGAAAAAATTTATCAGCACATTTTTGTCGTGGCTCCAATATCGTCGTGTCGTTCAGTGGCAAAACATAATCACTTATATTACGTGAGACATCGAAATCCCAATCGGGTAGTGGGTCTGGAAAAAGAGAAGAGAAGAGAAGGAAAATAATTTTAATTGAATATAAAAAGAAAAAAAGGGAGAGGTGTAAGAAGGAGTGGATCGATGGGTCCCATATTCTGGTATGATGTAGGTTTGGTAAAAGTATTACGATTTGCAAAGTTTGGATCAAATCGGACATTTCATTCGTTGATATTGGGTTAATTATTAAGATATTGTCTCATTTCAGTGAAAGTACCAGAAGGAGTGGATCGATGGGGCCCAACTTTGGGTATGATCTAGGTTTGGTAAAAGTATTACGATTTTTAAAGTTTGAGTGAAAACGGACATTCCATTCGTTTGATATTGAAATAAAAAACAAATTCAAAACATTGAAACTTTGTGGGGGAGGTACCAGAAGGGGTGGGCCGATGGGTCCCACCTTCGGAATTGGTCTAGCCAAGTTAAAAATATTATGACGTGCAAAGTTTGGGTCAAATCAGACACTGCATTCGCTTGGCATTGAACTAACAAAATTTCAAATTTTTGATACTTTGTGAGGGAGGTACCATGATCGGACATGATCTAGGTTTGGTAAAAGTATTACGATTTGAAAAGTTTGCATAAAATCGGACATTCAATTCGCTTGGTATTTAACTAACAAATTTTCAAAATAATGACACTTTTGTGAGGAAGGTACCAGAACGATGGGTCCATTTTCGGACATGACCAAGGTTTGGCAAAAGTATAACGATTTGCGATGTTTGAATGAAATCGGACCTTGCATTCGTTTTGAGTTTTCAAAATGTTGATACATTGTGAGAGAGATACCAGAAGAAGTGGATGAATGAATCGTATCTTCGGAATTGATCAGGATTTGGTAAAAATATTACGATTTGCAAAGTTTAGACAAAATCGGACATGAATATTGGATTTGTAACAATTTAAAAATGTTGACCTTCTGTAGGGGACGTACTTAGAAGGAATGCGCCGACAAGTCCCACCTTCCAACAATATACAGGCTAGGTACAAATATTAGGTTGTGCAAAGTTCGGTTCGAATGTTCTGTTCTGAATAAATGAATTGTTCTGAATACAATCATCTCCCTCAAAGTCTGAAAAATATTCCCAGAATCTCAAATTTTAAATCCCAGCTAAAATTATTTCTTTTCACTTTTATTCTTTGTTATTTTGAAAGTATGTTTTGAAATTTTGAAATTTTAATCAGTTGCCCCTAAAATGCCCAAGAGGCGCTGGGGCTATTATATTATTATGTGTATATTTTTTCTTGAAATAAATAAAAAAAAAAAAAATCGGATAGTCCGTTTTCATGATGATTAATTTTCAGCAACATTTTAGGGTTTAATGATGAGGCACATTATCGAAGTGAACATACCCTCATTAGCCACAAGGCTGAATATATAAAAATATAGGCACTCTAAAATAATTACTCTCACGATCTGTTAATCTGTCAATTCTTAAAAATAGGAAAATATTAAAAAATACACACTTGAATAATTCCCACTTACATTGTCGTGACGACGATCCGGAAAATATAGAACTGTAGAGGAGCAGAAATAGCGACATAGGTATCATAAAAACACAAAAGAGTAGTCGCAGAAATCGCTTGCCAAATCCTCGACTGCTATACAATTTACGACGATTATTTGATAGTAGCGCAGATAATGAAGCAGGTGATTGATTTGCGGATACCGATGTATAGGCGGAAAATTTTCGAGGTTTTGTTGTTGTGCGCGATATAGCATTAGCTAATTTTTTACGAAAATATTTAGTCCTTTGTTGAAATTCAATGGAATCTTCATTATCGGTGCTGGTGCCATTGTTATCCTCACCAGCCGAAGATGACGCATTTTGATTTGTGTCATTTGAACTGGAAGAACTCAGGGGCAGGAGCGTGTAACGTTCTTCTTGATCCAGGCGAACCATGTTTCTTTTGATTGTTGCAGCACAATTTGTTTCAAGGGCTTGGGATTTGCTTTTGGTTTTTTACTCAAATTTGCATTTTATCGCCGTTGTTTTTGTCCGAAAATATTGACATTTATGAAAACTTCCTTTGTTATTTTTTTTTTCAATTATGCTCTATAGAATGACGGGCGGGCCGGTCTTGATTCTGCATCCCCCACCCACACTTCGTTCACACAAAATAAACCGCAAATAATCCCAGTGTAACAACAACAAATTTCTCCACACCCGTAACACAGAGAAATCTCAGCTGTAAACAAGAGAGAGCGAGAGTTGTCGCTCTTCAACTCTCTGTCCCTATCTTGTTTATATTTGCTGTTTGATGCCAAACAGAGAACAATGACCTTCAAAATTTTGCAAATGCATTATTTCCGAGTTGCATTAATGGGGGATTCGGGTTTCTTTTTGTGTTTTTCTTTCACTTGCATACATCAGATAATTGCCAATAACTGTTGTTTTATTTTCATATACTTCTTTTTTAATCATACAAATTAGACAATTTCACTTTTCATTCATTCATAAATATTTATGACACACTCTTTATAAACTCACAAATAGCACGCGATGCCCACCATGCTAGGCCTAACAAATTAACACAATTGTACGTCTTTTGCTGCGATATTACTCTGGTCGTTGTTGTATTTAGAAAGTATTTAATATCATATGATTAGGATTTTCGTCAGAGAGATTAGATTATTTATAACATATCGATACGCGCCGTGTTAAACATTAATGAACAAGCAATCAAATTTCTGCTACCAACAACCGACGCCAATCAGAGTTACAAGTTGACTGATTGGTAAAGAGGAGCGCCGACAATACAATTCACTGAAGAGAAATATATATTTAGTTTGAATTTTGTTAATTATTTTGTAATTGTTGTAATTTATTATTTAGGAAAAAGCGAAATAAAATTGTAATTGTTATATTATTTTCCTCTTCCTTATTGCAATTTGTTTACTGTCGCCGGTCGAAATAATACTGGCTCGGCAAAGTCATATGTTGTCAGTTATGTCAAATTTAAACGGATACTTGTGTGAACTTTTTGGCAAACTATAGTAAAAAGCGTTCCTCCATAGAGAAATATGCCACAGAACACACAATGCAAATAATTTCAATTAAAATCTTGCTCTATTTATTGCTAAAACAGTTTACTATTCATAAATATTTTTCTTAAAATAATTTTAAAACGATTCTTTATAAAAATGTACTTTTTTAAAAAAATCTGACCCAGCGATGAATTTTTAAATACATTTTTTTATATTTTAACAGAGGATTTTTTAAAAAATATTTTTCATATTTAAAAATAGGATTTCTCGAAGAATAATTTTGTAATTTGTATTACAACAATGGATTTAAAAAATATTTTCCCTACTTATTTTTAAAATTAATTTTCCATTTAATTGTTTTTTAAATAATATTAATATTATTTATGCTAAGTGGAGTAGTTTTATCTTTTAAGGAGGAGTTAATTGTGTACTATGTATATTGTAATTCTGTTTATTAATGGGCTCGATCGCCTTGAATTACATGTGAAATGTATGCAGGCATGTTTCTTAAAAAAATTTTTTTTCAAGATGTCCAATTAGGCGTGAATTTTTGTAAATTAATTTACAAGGTTTTAACTCGGACGAAGATTTCTAAAATGTTTTTTTTGGGCCTCAATATAGACACAAACCTAGATTTAAAATTAATTTTTCAAGACATGAGTCGATTTTTTTTAATAATTATTTTCTTTAGCACAGGAGTGGTTTTTTTAAATGCTTCAACACAGAAGCGGCTGCTCTAAAATTAATTTTTTCAAGGTCTCTGCATAGGAGTGGAAATTTTTCGAGGTTTTGTTGTTGTGCGCGCTATAGCATTAGCTACTTTTTTACGAAAATATTTAGTCCTTTGTTGAAATTCAATGGAATCTTCATTATCGGTGCTGGTGCAATTGTTATCCTCACCAGCCAAGGATGACGCATTTTGATTTGTGTCATTTTTAATAACTCTGCTTAGGAGTGGAATTTTCAAGGGCCCTGCACAGTGGAATTTCTAAATAAATTTTTAGGCTCTCATTGCAGGTGAGGTTTTTTAATTCATTTTTTCAAAGTCTCAATAAAAAATGGAAAAACAATTTTAATAAATAAAAATAAAAGCAAATCCAGTTTTTATATTGCCGAAATTAATAACAATAAATATAAACATACAAAGCATGGCAACCCTAACCTCAATCATCTGTTTTATTCATTTCCTTTCAACTTATTCTAAACAAAAACCGGCAATTTTGAAAATTGCTTTTGATCGCCTCATTCGTAATAAACCATTGCCCCTTCTCATCTGACATTCCTGGCAATTTGCAAAAAAATCATCGTTGCTATTGTGAATGATTGGAATTGTGAATTATTGTTTTCGGTGTTAATCTATTGGCCAGGAATTGCGGGAATATGAGCTCCACCATGTCACCAGCATCTACTAGTTCGTTGAACAGCAAACGATGGCATAGTTTGCGACATATTTTGGAAAGGGCTGGTCCTTTTTGTAAGGCCGATTTTACGCCGGCTCCTGATAATTTGGAATTTTTACAAAATACCTGTAAACTGTTGGTTATTGGTAAGGAACTGGAATTGCACAGTTTTTTTTTCCACAAAAATGTTTGGTATTTAATGTCCCTAATGTTCTATTTTGCAGGTGCTGGTGGTTTAGGATGTGAGTTGTTAAAAGACCTGGCCCTTATGGGTTTCGGTGACATCCATGTCATTGATATGGACACCATTGAATTGTCCAATTTGAATCGACAATTTTTGTTTCGTCGCAACGATATTGGCTCCTCCAAGGCTGAGTGCGCGGCGAACTTCATCAACAAGCGCATACCAACATGCCATGTCACGCCGCACTGTGCCAAGATACAAGATTTCGATGAATCATTTTATCAACAATTCCACATTATCGTTTGCGGTTTGGATTCCATTGTGGCCCGTAGATGGATAAATGGCATGTTGATTTCAATGCTACGCTATAATGACGAAGATGGTAGTGTAGATCCGTCGTCAATTATACCCATGATTGATGGTGGCACTGAAGGTTTTAAAGGTAATGCCCGTGTTATATTACCCAGTTTTACGGCATGCATCGAGTGTACATTGGATTTGTTTCCGCCACAAATTAATTATCCCCTATGCACGATAGCTAATACACCCCGACTGCCGGAACATTGCATTGAATATGTCAAGATAATACAATGGGATAAAGAGAATCCATTCAATTGCACCTTGGATGGTGATGATCCCCAGCATGTTGGTTGGGTATACGAACGTGCCTTGGAGCGTGCCAATCAGTATAATATAAGTGGAGTGACATATCGTCTTGTTCAGGGTGTTATAAAACACATAATACCCGCGGTGGCTAGTACCAATGCAGTTATTGCCGCTGCCTGTGCAACGGAGGTATTTAAATTGGCCACCAGCTGTTATGACAGCATGTCCAATTATATGAATTTCAATGATATCGATGGCATTTATACGTACACCTATGCTGCAGAGAAATCGGAAAATTGTTTGGCTTGCAGCAATGTACCACAGGTTGTGAATATCGAAGATCCGAATACAACGACTTTGGAGGATTTAATTAAGATCTTGTGCGAAAATCCTCGCTTTCAAATGAAACAGCCAGGTAAGCAACAATTTTTTCTCGTATAGAAAAAATTTCACATCAGCGCAATTTTTTCCCGTATAGAAAAAAATTTCACATTAGTGCAATTTTTTTCCCGTATAGAAAAAAATTCACATCAGTGCAATTTTTTCCCATATAGCAAACATTTCACCTCTGCAAATTTTCTTCGTATAGAAAAAAATGTCACATTAGTGCAGTTTTCTCCCGCATAGTATAATTTTTTCCCGTATAGAAAAAATTTCACCCCAGTGCAATTTTTTCCCTATAGAAAAAAATTTCACATTAGTGCAATTTTCTCCCGCATAGTGCAATTTTTTCCCGTATAGAAAACATTTCACATCTGTGCAAATTTTTCCCATATAGCAAAAATTTCACCTCAGTGCAAATTTTCCTCGTATAGAAAAAATTTCACATTAGTGCAATTTTTTCCCGTATAGAAAAAATTTCACATCAGTGCAATTTTTTCCAGTATAGACAAAATTTCACATCAGTGCAATTTTTTCCCCTTATAGAAAAAAATTCACATCAGTGCAATTTTTTTCCGTATAGAAAAAATTTCACATCAGTGCAATTTTTTTCGTATAGAAAAAATTTCATATCAGTGCAATTTTTTTCCGTATTCAATTTTTTTCCGTATTTTTTTCACATCAGTGCAATTTTTTTCACATCAGCGCACTTTTTTCCCCGAATAGAAAAAATTTCACATCAGTGCAATTTTTTCCCCGAATAGAAAAAATTTCACATCAGTGCAATTTTTTCCTGTATAGACAAAATTTCACATCTGTGCAATTTTTTTCAGTGTAGAAAAAATTTCACATCTGTGCAATTTTTCAGTATAGAAAAAATTTCACATCTGTGCAATTTTTTTGAGTATAGAAAAAATTTCACATCAGTGCAATTTTTCCCTTATAGAAAATAAATTAAATTCATAAATTAAATAAACTTCGAATTTTTTTTTAAATACAAATTTCTATATTTCTCTTTCTATATTTCTCTTCTCTTGAGCATATTCTTTATGTTCCCCTCTCTTTTCCAGGTATCACAACTATGATGGATGGTAAAAATAAAACACTTTATATGTCGACAGTAAAAAGCATTGAAGAACGTACTCGGGCAAATCTGACCCAATCATTGGGTGAACTGGGCCTTAAGGATGGCCAACAAATAAATGTGGCCGATCAGACATCACCAAATACCATAGTTTTGCAATTGAAATACAATGCCAATGAAGTAGAAATGAATTAAAAGAAAAATATTCAAAGCAAATTTCCAATTTGAAATAAAAAGTAATTAAATTAAAATAAATTAAAAAGTAATACCAGATTTTTATTTTCTTTTCAGAACAAATCGAAAACAAACAAATTAATAAATTGAACATAACAAAAATAAGATATGATTATTCCAAATTTTCAAAACAAAAAAGGACTCCACTTATTCACTAATTTCATCAATCACCGGTACATTTTGCAGCTCCGAACATTTACGTTTCCACATCGACAATTGTTCTTTCAAAACTTTTTCCTTGGCAGCGGCACGTGTCAGCAGGACTTTGGCCTTTTGCAGCAGTTGTGTCTTCTTAATCAATTGTCCCTTAACATAATGCAATTCATCTTGCAGCGATGACGACGTCAAGGATGATGGATTGTCTAGAATTTTATTTTTATTCTCACAATGAGGACATTTGTTTTGTTGCTGTTGTTGTTTCAATTCCATTTGTAGCGTTGCAATTTTATCCATTGATTCGCTATACATTTGTTGTAGACGTGCTGAATCAGGCCCAGAATTGTCCATGGAAATCTAAAATGGAAGATGGGGTAAGTTGACATTTTTCCTATTATTTTGTTTCAAAAAACTTACCCTGGATTCGCAGGATCTACGGCCATCTTTTAGATATTTATTTTCGGCTTTTAATTTCTCGACAATATTTCTCAAAGATATTATAGTGTGTTCGGCAGATTGTCCCGATTGTATATTTACCTTAAGGCCATTGCATTTGCAGAGTTCCCGTCGAGCCTCGGAGGAAGCTCTTTCTTCTTTGAGGGCAATTATATAGCTTTAAAGAGAAGAAATCGATAATTTAAATATTTATCATTGAAATAAAAATTTCCGTATTTCAAAAATTTCCTATTTTGCTTATAGAAAAAATTTCACATCAGTGCAATTTTTTCCGTATAGAAAAAATTTTACTCACTCTTCCAAATGTTTTATTCTCTTTTGCAGACGTTCGGTGCCATCACCCTGCCTCAGCAAATCATTGTCCAATTGCAGCTGTAAATTCTTAGCCTCCAACCGGATATTTTGTGCCTCAATGGCGGAAAGTTTCTCTTGAAGTTTTTCCATTTCTGTGGTCAAGGCATTGCTACCTTTACCCTCCAGTTCCAAGGCCAATATTTTCCGTTGTTGCATTTCAATGCGAGCCTTGAGGGCCTGTATAATTTCATCATGAGCCTCTTGGACAGAAGCGGATGGCGAAAAATGTGTTTTCCCACATGGCTGTTGAATGGACGAACAACGTCCCGGAGAACTACATTCACTGCTGGCCCCCGTGTATGTTTCAGGACTTTCTGAGGGGGTATATTTTCCACCACCACCGCCACCACTGCTGCCATGTCCCGGTGAGCCGTGATGATGTAGATTGGGACACGAGGGTGTGCGACAACATTTCATCGAATTTTGAACATGCTGCTGGGTGAAACGACTCAACTTGGCCTCCAAGATTTGTTTGTCTTTTTCCAGACGATTTATAGTGGTGCGAGCCGATTGCAACAGGCTTCGGGTCTTTTCCAACATGACTTCAGTTTCCTCCAGCTTGGCTTTGTATTTTTCCGCACTTTGCTGCCAACGTTTTTGTTTCTCCCACAGGCCCACCTCATTGGCGCTGCGTGCCCTTTTGCTTTCAATTATCGCCTTCTGTCTTTGAATTTCTGCCCTTGCCTCCTCCAGGTCGAGTTCCAGTTGCTGAAGGCGCTTTTGCAAATTTTCATTTTTGACACGGGCATTTAGCTCCGTTTTAATGGATACCACGGGTCGTTTGATAAGCTGCTGTCGCAGAGATTGATTTAATTCCCGTGCCTGTTTCTCGCGCTGGGCCAAATTGGCCAACTGTTTGCGCATTGCCTCCACTTGAGTTTGATAGATTTTATTGGTGGCCTCTGTGCGTGTCAAGTCACTGGCCAGTTTGGCAATTTGATCGGCTGAATAATTGGAGGAATCATTGATGTAACGTTGCTGATCGTCCTGAAATGAATTTTGACATACAAATTAAATGGCTGGAGAAAAAAAAACGTTTTACAGGATCATTACATGGAAATTATTTAATGTGTCCATTAGTTCATTGATGTGACGATCTTTTTCCTCCAGCAGGGATCTTAGCTGTTCAATTTCCAGATTATTATTTGCCGGGGTCTTATCACGCTCGTCCAGTAGGCGAATTCTGAAAAAATAAATTACAAGAAAGGCTTGGATCATTAAAAAAAATATTCAAGGTCTCCAAAAAGCCGTGGAGTTTTAAAAAATAAAATTTCTAGGTCTCCAAACAGTCGTGGGTTCTCTAAATTAAATATTCCAGGTCTTCAAACAGCCGTGCGTTTTTAAAATTAAATTTTCTAGGCCTCCAAACAGCCGTTGATTTTTTAAATATTTTTTCAAAATTTGTTCGCTATATACTCACTTTTCTCTCAAAATTGCAATCTCATCCTCCTTCACTTTCAGTGTGCTCTCCCAATAGCTGGCCTTCTCCTTTAGCTCTCTCAATTGTTTTGAATAGTTTTCGGGTATATCTTTGACACCTTCCAATTCATGTTTCTCCGTGACGGATGCCTGAGCTACTTTTACAGGAGAAGCTGGTCCCGCCGTAGGACTTAAATTCTCTTCAAATAATTCTTCAATTTTTTCATCAGTCATTTCATGCAGACTATTATCGACATTTTCCTCAGGGCCAGGAACGCTTCTTGCCAATTCCAATTTCTCATTTGAATTGCGACGCTCCGTTAATGTTTCCAATTGCGTTTTCAATTCCAAAATTTCAATATCTTTGGTTTTAATATTGAAATTTAGATTTGTGATGGTATTCTTAAGGCCATCAATCTCTCCTGTGAGTTTGCCAACATTCAGGTGGGCCTGTTCACGTTCGGCTTGCAGTAGGTCCTGATATTTTCCAATCGATTTGTCCTTTTCACTCAATAAAGTGTGGAAGGATAAAATTGTTTTCTAAAACAAAAATAAAATCGTATGACAGTTTTAGGGGAAGGATTGTAAATATTATGAAAAAAATGTACCTCAATAACATCGGATTGAAGGCTAGGCATACTTTGTTCAGTGGCTGCTGAAGGTGGTGTTTGGGCTTCTTGAGAGTTGTTCAAGGATTTCAGTTGGGTTTTTAAATCTTCTATTTGCCGCTGGGCTTCCGACAGACTGAGGAGAATATTTTGATTTATTTTATGAGACAAAAATATTGACCATATATTTCATTACCTTTCCTCCGTTGTTTGTAATTTCATTAAGGCTCCCTTTAGCTCCGTTTCCTTGGGACTCTCCTTAGATTCTTTCTCCATATCCTTCGCATCATTTTCAAGAGTTTGTACTGTTTTCGATTCCAATGGTGGCACGCAAGTTTGAATCTCTACTTCACAAGTTGAAGTTGGTGTCTTCCTATTTTCGGGACTCTTCGGTTTTATTTCTTCCTTGGCAGGACTTTCAATATCTACTTTCTTAGCCTGATTGTTCAAGTCTTCTGTTTGTGTACCCACTTCTTTTATGACTCGCTTTGTGGGTGTTTGTATGGGTGATAGATTCCGATCTATCATTTCAATAGAGGATCTTCGTCTCGATTTGGCCGAAAGTTTTCGTTCGGCTGGTATGGGCGGTGATGTAATCAGAGGTTCTGTGTTGCAACCAATTTCCATGGTGGAGATTTGTTCTTCCTTGAAAGTTTTTTCCTTCTCATCTACCTCATCATTTTCTTTGTTACCATTATCCTTGCCAAATAATGCTTCGATAGTATGCCAATGTTCGGATTCTGTAGCCATTCGTATTTTCATTTCCTGAAGATCTTTTTCCAGATCGAAGCATTTCTTTTCGAGATGTTTTATTTGATCTTCGTATAGTTTACATTGGGTTTCCGATTTGACGAGCTGTAAATGAAAAAAAATTAAAATGGGGTATCAAAGGGTTAATAAATGCGTGGGTCTCCAAAAATTCGTGGATTTTTTAAATGATTTTTTTTTAAGTTTTCCAAACTGTTGTCGGTTTTTATACCCTTCACCACACACTATGTTTGTAACATGCAAAAGGAAATGAGATAGACACATGGTTCCTTTTGAAAATATGAATAGAATCACTTTCTGAGTCGATTTATGCATGTCCGTCCGTCCGTCTGTTGGTGTTAAATTGTGATCAATAATCCGATTTGGGTGAAATTTGGCACAGCTCATTTGTTTGGCCGAAATTCAGCATACCCTATCTAGAATGATGTGTGAAAAATAGGTTCAGATTTAGATATAGCTCCCATATATATTTTCGTCCGATTCAAGGTAAATGGTGCACCAAAGTCCCAAAATATCTTTAGATTTGCACGAAAGTTGGCATAGTGTACCTAATGGAGTCTATAATGATGTGCGTTAAGTTTCGTGAAAATTGGTTCAGATTTAGATATAGCTCCCATATATATATTTTCGTCCGATTTAAGGTAAATGGGGTTCCAAAGTCCCTAAATATCTTTCGATTTGCACGAAATATAAATTCATCTCTGGCAAGTATCGTTGAGATCGGTTCAGATTTAGATATAGGTGCACCAAACTCCTTATATTTATCAAATATCGGGTGTCCGCTTGATATTTGCTTTCACTTGATTTACATAATTTTGTCCCATTGTAAGAAGCAACTCTATATCTGACCAACTGTATCTGAGCGACATGTTTATGGATCCAATTTCATTTTACTGGTCCTTCGAAAATGTGACGTCTGTTAGGATTCCTCTGTTGAATATACCAAAAGTGCTGAAGGGTATCATATAGTCGGCCCAGGCCGAATTTACTACTTTCCTTACTGGTTTAAAATAGGCCTGCGATTTTTATTTCTTCCATCCTTCTTACCTTAATTAATTGTTGATTAGCCTCCATGTGTCCAATTTTCTCCTGTAGAAGTTCTTCCAATACTGTATCCACGATTTGTTGAATATCTTCCCTATTATCCTTTTTAAGAGGAGAATTGGGATTCGAAGTTCTTTGCAGAAATTTATTATAGGAAAATACAAAATTGGTGAGGAAGACAAGCGGTGTAAATTTGGCATATTTTTCACGGAGACAATTTAGAGATTTTTGTAAAAATCTGAAAGAAGAGAGGGAGAGGGATAAGATCACAAAAAATATTGTGAAAAAAGAGAGAGTGACAGAATGAAGACCCACTTGATTTTAATGTTGGCATTTTGGCGTTCAATTTGGAAGCTGTGTGTCAAATCCTTGTTGGCATTCTCACGACTTATGAGATCCTGTTGTAGGGTGTTGGCCTGCAGCTTTAGGGTATCACGTTCATGTTTTAGGTTGTTGATTTCCGATTTGGCTGGATGAGAGAAGAGATAATTTTATATATATATATATATTTTAATATTAAGATGCCTGAGTAGTGCTTACCCGCATCCAAATCCCTTTGAATTTTCGCCATTAACAACTTCTCCTCCGTTGAGCTTTGCAAATCGGCCACCAGATGCCGTAAATTAATGTGATTATCGGTTATATCATTTAGCAGCTTTTGTTGTGAACTTATTTGATCTTGAGCAATTTCAAGTAACGATTCCAACTGGGATATTTTCCTTTGCAGTTCCGAACGCTGAGCCTCAAATTCTTTAAGTGTCTGTTTTTGTATTTCAAATTCTTGGTGTGTGACAAAGGATAATTGTAAATCATCCTGGATAATACCATAATCCATACACATATCGGGTATTTTCAAATCGTTGCCATATTTCCCCGCCAACACCTCTTTGATGAGCTGGGCCAATTGTGTCTGACTTTGTTGTAGAGATTTTTGCAAATCATTGTAATCTTCTTGGTTGTAACTGAAATTTGCTTTGTGATATTCCAATTCGTGTTCCAGTTTTTCAATTGTGGCTTTCAATGCGGAAATTTCCAATTTGTAGTTAGTTTCCTTGTCGATTAGTTGTAGTTCAAGATTTTTCAAATTATTTAAAGTTGTATCGAAATCCTGACGCATATAAGCGGAACTTTTGGTTTCCCTTGATAAATCCCTCTCCAAATTGACAACTTTATCGGTAAGTTGGGCACATGTTTGCATGAGATCCCCCTCACTGGCCTTCATGTGCAACTGTAGCTCTTCATAATATTTTTTATAGATTTTCATTTCATCCAAATCCAGTTCATGTTGCCGTTGAGCTTCAGTGTCCAGGGGTTCTCGTGGTGTTTGTATATTTGGTATATTTATACTTTTATTGGGTGTGGTGGGTCTTGTGGAACTATCCAGATATTGGGGTAATTGTAAAGGTGATGATTCCTGTAGAGACTTTATTTCACCCTCCTCACGTAGACTTTCCAGAGATTTAAGATCTTCTGAATTGGGATTTTCCTCTTGATCATTTGTCACCACCATTTCCTGCTGGGTGATTTGTGGTATATGCCCTGTTAATCTCTCTTCCAGCGCCTTTTCTCTCTCCTTCAGCAGTTGCAGTTCATTATGTAAATGTTTGGGAGAATTTCGGGAAGAGTTGGACAATTTCAATGCTCTAATTAAACGTTCGAGTAGCAGATCATTTATGGTAATATTATCGGAACAATCTGAAATACAAAAAAATAAATTTACATAAAATCTAAATCTCATCTCTAATCTCTTTCTCACCATCATATTCTCTCAGTTTCTCCAAAATCTCCAACATGCCCTGCCTCAAGATTTCATTTTCCTCCAAGGCTTCCTGATACTTAAGATCCATGTCTCTGGTAGTTTGGTCCTGGATTTCAATTCTCATATTGCCATTACATTGATTGCAAACGGTAACCATCAACGAGGCATCTGCGGAATTCGAAGAATCTTCGACTTCGCCAATTTCTCTGGTAGCATCGTTGTGGTGTGTGGCGGAACTATTTCTACGCTTTGGTGTAATTTTGGGAGATTTGGGTAAGGGTACTTCGGCACGTTGCTCTTCCCGTTTTGGTTCAGTGGTGGTAAGTGTAGGGTTCTCAGATATGGTCCGGGCCTCAGGGCTAATATTTAGCTGACGCTGGAGTTCCAGTAATTCCTTTCTGGAATAAAAAAAGAAGGTGAGGATTTTATTTAATTTTTCAAGGGTTTTAAAAATATATTTTCAAAACCTCCATACAGGCGTGGATTTTTGAAAATAATTTCTCAAGGTCTCCGAACGCGTGGATTTGTACAGGCGTGGTATTTGTTAAAAACATTTTTTTAAAATTAATTTTTCAAGGTTCCAAACAGGCGTTGATTATTTAAAAATATTTTTTTCAGAGTCTCAAAACATTTGGAAATTTTTAATACTATTTTTCAAGGTCTCCAAACAGGCGTGGATTTTTAAAATTAATTTTTCAAGGTCTCAACACAGAATTGGATTTTAATAAATATAATTTTTTTAATATTTTTTTCAAGGTCCCAACACAGACTTGGATTTTTGGAACTCACCTCAAATCACACTTCTCCATTTTCAGCTGCAATCGCATCTCCTCCGAAGCTCTCAATTTCAACGTCAGCTTTTCAATCATTTTCTCTTTATTTCTCTCTTTTGCGGTGAGATTTTTCGTTGTTATTATCACATCCTCGGGAATATTGAGACGTTTCCTCAGCAGCGTATTCTCCTGAGCTATTTCATGTAGAGAATTTAGCTCCATAACTAAGGCCCTAATTTGTTTGTCACGCGATTGTAATTTATTCTCCAGCGAGGAACATTTCCTTAAGGCAGTCATCAAACCATCTTCACCTTTTTGATAGGCCGTCAAAGCATTGGAAGCTTCCAAAGCTTGTTTAGCTTTCAAGCAACATTCTTCTTCGGCCCGCTCCAACATTTCGGTAAGTTCCCGTACCTTATCGTTACTGGTCTTCAAAGCCATTTCAATGGTTTTGCAGCAAGGTCGGGGATTATTCGGATTGCGTTCGTGTTCCCGCTCGGCAGTGATTTTATTCATTAGCTTTGTGGAGGCAATCATTTCTTCGGCCATTGTTTTTATTTTTAATTCCAGTTGTTCGATGAGTTTGTCACGGCATTCGAGGGACTGAGAGGGCGAGAGAATCGATGAAATATTTGGCATATAAAAAAGAGATTTACTACTTACATGCAACAATCGTGATCTCTCCTCCTGCTCATTTGTGACCTCACTCTCCTTGGTGGCCTCACTACTGCTTCTGACGCTTTCCGCATCTTCGGGTCGCTCACTTCTCTCCTTGAGTTTTCTCAATTGCCGATCTTTTTCATCGATAATTTTCTTCCATGCCATGGCCTTTTTCTCCAATTTGTCCACAAATTCCTTTACTTCTGCCTCACTTTTGTCACGCTCATCTTCTAAATAGGTCACCTGTCCTTCCAGGCGCTTAATTTCGATGTTCAATTCTTCAATGTTCTCTTTGTGGGCCGAGTTTTCACTTTGCAGCAAAGTGATATCCGCCTTGAGTTTCATCACGGACTCCTTGCTGTGTTGTAAATCCTTCTCTAAGGTCAATATTGTTTTGGATTGTTCGATATTTTGATTTTGTAAAGACTGGGAATTTAAAATCGAAAGTTAGTTAGAAAATTGGAAATAAATATTGAAACCTCTTACCTCAATTTCCCTTAGCAGACGTTTAATGTGTTTATTTTTTGTGTTGATATTACGCAGCAGGGTCTCCTGTTTATCCAATTCCGATAAGGGATCGGATGAGTCCTTGTCACTGCCCTCAGCATTGGCTGCCTCTTGCAATCTCTTCTGCAGGGAAAACATTTCTTCGGTTAGCTGAAATAAAAATAAGAGCAGAAATTTTAATTTTTCAAGGTCTCCAAAGAGTCTCCGAATCCAAATTAATTCTTTAAGGTCTCCAAAATAGCCGACGATTTTTTCCGAATAAAATGTTCAAAGTCTCCAAACAGACGTGGATATTTTTAAATTATCTGTCAAGGTCTCCAAGCAGACGTGGATTTTTAACATTAATTTTTTAAAGGTCTACCCACCTCTTTGATTTTCCTTTTATACTCCAAACGCTCATCCTCCAAATCGCTAATCATGCGTTTCAGTTTTTCATTTTCATCCACCAAACGGTCGTTGTGCGACTCTAAATCGTAAAAAGCACGACGGTTAAAACAAAGTGAGGTCATTCATAAATAAAATAAAACAGACTTACCCAAACTTCCCTGATCCTTGTCATCTAGCTCCGCTTCCAGCTCTTTGACTTGCTGGCCCTTGTATGCCAATATGGCCAAGGTTAAATCCAAAGTTTTGCGTAACGACTTCTTGGGTAAGTCATCAATGACTCTGGCCAATTCCAAAATGGTTTCATAAACTTCATCCTTTTGCTCGGGGGCTAACTCCTTGAATTTTCTTACCGACACAACTTCGGGTAGTTCCATTTTTGAATTATGAATTTTTACGATTTCCAATAAAGGAAGAAAATCCTTTTTCTAATTCCTATCCACCAAGAAAATTTAATAGCTTATCTTTTGAGTAAACATTTTTATTTTCCTCCTGACTATGTCCTTTTCCTGGGGCTGTGATTCAATCAAATGACGTTTTTTTTCCGTCAAGAAGGGCCGTAATCTGACAGCCCACAACCCTTAGGGTTACCTTGGCAACCGATCTATCATTTCTTTGTCTTGCCACCTAGAAAGTGAAATTTGTGTTTGGCGTCAACATGTTTTGTTGTAAACAATTTTTGTTGACCCGGCTAAAATCGTGCATGCCGGTTTTGGGGGTGTTTTTGCTCCCTTTCCTTTTGTCGACCACTATTTGTTTTTAATTTCGATGCCACGTGCATTTCTGGAGGGTGGGTGTTTGTTTTTTACAATTTCCCTTTTCCAGGTTTTCGCATTTGTTTTTATTTATATTTTATTTTCATTTGAATATTCTCAATAGTTTGGATTTTGTGTGGAACCTATATTACCAATTAAAGGACATTGACATTGGACATTGACATTGGAAACAAAGGAACGCAATATTAAAAATAAAATTAGTTTAAAACCAGTAAGGAAAGTAGTAAAGTCGGACGGGGCCGACTATATGATACCCTTCACCACTTTGGGTATACTCTACAAAGCCACCTAAAAGACTTTTCGGAAGAACATTGACATGGGGCTGAACGAAAGACTTATAAGAACTTTGGGACTTTATAAGAACTTTTAGGGACTTTGACGCACCATTTACCTTAAATCGGACAAAAATATATATGGGTGCTATATATAAAATGGGCCGATTTTCAGGAAACTTAACACACATCATTATATACCGATTTCATTACGATGTGCCAAATATGGTGCAAATCTAAAGATATATAGGGACTTTGGTACACCATTTACCCTAAATCGGACGAAAATATATATGGGAGCTATATCCAAATCTGAACCGATTTTCACGAAACTTAACACACATCATTCTATACATTATTCATTACGCTGTACCAAATTTCGTGCAAATCAAAAGATATATAGGAAGTTTAGTGGACTATTTACCTAAAATCGGGCGAAACTATATATGGGAGCTATATTTAAATCTGAACCGATTTTCACGAAACATACCACTCAACATTATAGATTCTGTTCAGTACGCAATGCCAAATTTCGTGCAAATCGAAAGATATCTAGGGACTTTGGTGCACCATTTACATTAAATCGGACGAAAATATATATGGGAACTATATCTAAATCTGAACCGATTTTCAGGAAACTTAGCACACTTTATTATAGACTCAATTTAATACGCTATGCCAAATTTCGTGCAAATCGAAAAATATTTAGGGTCTTTGACGCACCATTTACATTAAATCGGACGAAGATATATACGGGAGCTATATCTAAATCTGAACCGATTTTCAAGAAACTTAGCACACTTTATTATAGACTCAATTTAGTACGCTATGCAAAATTTCGTGCAAATCGACGCACCATTTACATTAAATCGGACGAAAATATATATAGGTGATATATATAAATCTGAAACGATTTTCATGAAACTTAGCACTCATCATTATAAACTCAATTTAGTACGCTATGCAAAATTTCGTGCAAATCGAAAAATATTTAGGGACTTTGACGCATCATTTACCTTTAATCGGACGAAAATATATATGGGAGCTATATCCAAATTTGAACCGATTTTCAGGAAACTTGACACACATCATTCTAGGCCTAATTCATTACGCTCTGCCAAATTTCGTGCAAATAGAAAGATATTTAGGGACTTTGGCGCACCATTTACCTTAAATCGGACGAAAATATATATTGGAGCTATATCTAAATCTGAACCGATTTTCACGAAACTTAACACACTTTATTATAGACTCAATTTAGTACGCTATGCCAAATTTCGTGCAAATCGAAAGATATATAGGGACTTTAGTACATCATTTACCTTAAATCGGACGAAAATATATATGGGAGCTATATCTAAATCTGAACCGATTTTTTCCAATTTCAATAGGACAAATCTTTTGCCAAACAAATGAGCTGTGCCAAATTTCATCCAAATCGGATTATAAATTCGACCTGTACTTTGTTTACAATTTAACACCAACAGACGGACGGACTCAGAAAGTGATTCTATGCATATTCTCCAAAGGAACTATGGGTCTATCTCGTTTCCTTTTGCGTTTACAAACACATGCACAAAGACATAATACCCTGTACCACAGTGTGGTGAAGGGTATAAAAATCCACGGCTTATGGAGAGATTGAAAAATAGATTTAAAAAAATCTACGGCTTTTTGGAGAGATTGAAAAAATAGATTTAAAAAAATCCACGCCTTTTTGGAGAGATTGAAAAAATAGATTTAAAAAAATCCACGCCTTTTTGGAGAGATTGAAAAAATAGATTTAAAAAAATCCACGCCTTTTTGGAGAGATTGAAAAAATAGATTTAAAAAAATCCACGCCTTTTTGGAGAGATTGAAAAAATAGATTTAAAAAAATCCACGCCTTTTTGGAGAGATTGAAAAAATAGATTTAAAGAAACCACGTCTTTTTGGAGAGATTGGAAAAATAGATTTAAAAAAAAAATCCACGCCTTTTTGGAGGGATTGAAAAAAGAGATTTAAAAAAATCCACGCCTGTTTGGAGAGATTGAAAAAATAGATTTAAAAAAATCCACGCTTTCTTGGAGAGATTGAAAAAATAGATTTAAAAAATCCACGCCTTTTTGGAGAGATAGGAAAAATAGATTTAAAAAATCCACGCCTGTTTGGAAAAAATTATTTTAAAAAATCCACGCCTTTTTGGAGAGATTGAAAAAATTTATTTTAAAAAATCCACGCCTTTTTGGAGAGATTGAAAAAATTTATTTTAAAAAATCCACGCCTTTTTGGAGAGATTGAAAAAATTTATTTTAAAAAAATCCACGCTGGTTTGGAGACTTTGAAAAATCAATTTAAAAATCCACGCCTGTTTGGAGATTTTGAAAAATTAATTTTACAAAATTCACAAAAATATTTAATAATTCAAGATTTATTTATTTTAAAGAAAATATTTTGAAACAATAAAAGTTTGAAAAACGATTTCAATCGCGTTTAATTATAAACATAATTAACCACAATTAACTGAACGCAGAATTCCTAATGGGCTGCGAATTAGGCGTGAGTGCGTTTTAATTGGACCATTATAATTACTTAATATGTCTGTCTGTGTTTTCACAACAAAAACAACAACAACAAAACTGCTTCGAACCCCCTAATTAAATTCGGATAATTTATGCCCTGATTATTTTGATGTCAACATGCAATCGTAACTGTGGTCAGGTCAGCCGAATGTGGGCAGCCACAAATGTGGTCAATAGTATCAACCGGAATTTGCCATAATCAAGGCGGTCTCTGGAATATTTTTAGTTTTTCATTTATACAAACAACAACAACAACGACAACACCAACGGAATGACCTTCCCGAAAGACCACTGGAAAGTTTGGTCAAATCTCAAATTACGTCGTCGTAATCAAAAGGAGATTTTAAAGAAATTTACTTTGCTTCAGCGGCAACAGGATTTCAGGAGTTTGGATACATTTCATCGTGCCGTTAGGCCATGTAAGATTCGGAGTTAGATGAGTTTTACTTCAATTATAATTTAATGTGTGTGTGTGCGTTTGTTTGTTTTCAATTTAATCTAGGTCTCTTGGTGGCCCAAATATTTGGTCTAATGCCCTTGGTCAATTCCATGGACAGCAATCCGTATCGTTTGGCATTCAAAATACCCTGCCTAGCATTTACAACAACGTTTCTGTTCCTCTTTTTTGGTAGCTGGAAGACATTACATGTATCTGATAATCTATTGAATGCCGGTCTGAATCCGAAAAATATAAGTGAGTAAATGTTTGAATATATTTTTTTTAAATTCTTGGTTTTGGAGACCATGAAAATATATGGTGTTGAAAATGGAATTAATATAATTTTTTTATTTCTATTGCTAGTTGGCATTGTCTTCTTCTTCATGTGCATGACAGTTTTCCTCAATTTCCTAAGCATAGCCCGAGGTTGGCCTCAGCTAATTATGCACTGGACACGTATCGATTTAATATTCCTGAAGCCACCTTATCAGCCACCGAAAAGGTCGCTCCAAAAACAGTTGCGAACTTTGACAATAGTTTTTTGGTCACTGGCCCTGGGTAAGCAAACATGCAGCAAGTTTTATAACAACAACCACAATAAATATGATAAAAGTTCCATATTTTAGCACAGCGAACTAATTAAGTAACTACTTTTTGTTGTTGTTTTTTTTTCGTTATTTTCTTGTGCTGATGGTCTTAGTGGAGAATAGCCTTTACTATGCCTCCCACTATTATAATTTCCTAATGGAACGTCTAATTTGTCATCCGGAGGATACACGTCACTCTTACAAGGAATACCTAATAACGGCCCTGATGAGCGATGTCTTCACCTATTTTGATTATCATATTATGGTGGTGATTTGTGCATTTGTAGGTCGACTTCAGTTAACGTTTTAATCCTTGCAAGAAAAATTTTATGCCTGTTTTAATAAGATTCCTTTTTTTATCTCTCCCTCTCACTCTCTCTTTTTCACTTTTTATGACCAGTTCATTAATACCGCCTTTACGGTCACATGGAATTTTATGGATTTCTTCATTATGGCTGTTAGTTTGGGGCTGGCCACACGTTTTCAACAGTTTGCAGATCGCATCGAACTCATGAAAGGAAGTGTAAGTAAATTTTTGAAATTTTTAAAAATAATGTTTAAAGCCTACAAACAGGCGTGGATTTATAAAAATATTTTTTTAAGGTTCTACAACAGGCGTGGATTTATAAAAATATTTTTTTAAGGTTCTACAACAGGCGTGGATTTATAAAAATATTTTTTTAAGGTTCTACAACAGGCGTGGATTTATAAAAATATTTTTTTAAGGTTCTACAACAGGCGTGGATTTATAAAAATATTTTTTTAAGGTTCTACAACAGGCGTGGATTTATAAAAATATTTTTTTAAGGTTCTACAACAGGCGTGGATTTATAAAAATATTTTTTTAAGGTTCTACAACAGGCGTGGATTTATAAAAATATTTTTTGAAGGTTCTACAACAGGCGTGGATTTATAAAAATATTTTTTGAAGGTTCTACAACAGGCGTGGATTTATAAAAATATTTTTTTAAGGTTCCACAACGGGCGTGGATTTATAAAAATATTTTTTTTATAAAAATATTTTTTTAGGTTCCACAACAGGCGTGGATTTATAAAAATATTTTTTTAAGGTTCTACAACAGGCGTGGATTTATAAAAATGTTTTTTAAGGTTCTACAACAGGCGTGGATTTATAAAAATATTTTTTAAGGTTCTACAACAGGCGTGGATTTATAAAAATATTTTTTTAAGGTTCTACAACAGGCGTGGATTTATAAAAATATTTTTTTAAGGTTCTACAACAGGCGTGGATTTATAAAAATATTTTTTTAAGGTTCTACAACAGGCGTGGATTTATAAAAATATTTTTTTAAGATTCTACAACAGGCGTGGATTTATAAAAAAATATTTTTTAAGGTTCTACAACAGGCGTGGATTTATAAAAAAATATTTTTTAAGGTTCTACAACAGGCGTGGATTTATAAAAAAATATTTTTTAAGGTTCTACAACAGGCGTGGATTTATAAAAATATTTTTTTAAGGTTCTACAACAGGCGTGGATTTATAAAAATATTTTTTAAGGTTCTACAACAGGCGTGGATTTATAAAAAAATATTTTTTAAGGTTCTACAACAGGCGTGGATTTATAAAAAAATATTTTTTAAGGTTCTACAACAGGCGTGGATTTATAAAAAAATATTTTTTAAGATTCTACAACAAATGTGAATTTATAAAAAAATATTTTTTAAGGTTCTACAACAGGCGTGGATTTATAAACATATTTTTTTTAAGGTTCTACAACAAACGTGGATTTATAAAAAAATATTTTTTAAGGTTCTACAACAGGCGTGGATTTTTAAAAAAATATTTTTTAAGGTTCTACAACAGGCGTGGATTTATAAAAAAATATTTTTTAAGGTTCTACAACAGGCGTGGATTTATAAAAATATTTTTTTAAGGTTCTACAACAGGCGTGGATTTATAAAAATATTTTTTTAAGGTTCTACAACAGGCGTGGATTTATAAAAATAATTTTTAAGGTTCTACAACAGGCGTGGAAACGAGTTAGACCCACAGTTCCATTTGAGAATAAGCATAGAATCACTTTCTGAGCCGATTTATGCATATCCGTCCGTCTGCTGGTGTTAAATTGAAAACATAGTACAGGTCGCATTTATAATCCGAATTTGATGAAATTTAGCACAGCTCATTTATTTGGCCCAAGGACAAACGCTATTGAAATTGGGAAAAATCGGTTCAGATTTAGATATAGCCCCCATATATATTTATCAGCTCAAGAACAATAAAGCAGCAGGAGCCGACGGGTTACCAGAAGAACTATTCAGGCATGCACCAGCTGATTAGTACAATTTGGCTACAGGAATGCATGCCCAATGATTGAAACCTCAGCATCCTGTGTCCCGTGCACAAGAAATGAGAAAAGACGATATGTGCTAACTATAGAGGAATTAGGCTTCTTCCCATCGCATATAAAGTGCTATCCAGTGTGCTGTGTGAACGATTGAATCCAATGGTTAATGAAATTATTATTACCAATGCGGCTTCAGATCTGGCAAATCCACAATTGACCAGATTTTCACTCTGCGCCAAATCCTGGAAAAGACCGACGGAAAACACATCGACACATACCACCTATTCGTCAACTATTAAACCGCATTTGAAAGCCCTATCCGTTCAGGGTTGTTTAAAGCCATGTCTACGTTCGGCATTCCTGCAAAATAAATACGGCTATGCAGGATAACTTTAAGTGGCACAAGATCAGCAGTTAATGTCGAAAAGGTCCTCTCGGAGCCCTTTAATACCGAAAAAGGATTCAGACAAGGTGACAGTTTGTCTGTGACCCACGAAAAACGCATCGACACATCTCACCTATTCGTCAACTATTATACCGCATTCGACAGCCCTATCCGTTCAGAGGTGTATAAAGCCATGTCTGCGTTTGGCATTCCTGCAAAATTAATACGTCTATGCATGAAAACTTTAAGTGACACAAGGTCAGCAGTTAAAGTCGGAAAGGACCTCTCGGAGCCCTTCAATACCGAATGAGGATTCAGACAAGGTGACAGTTGTCGTGTGAAAAGGTCATACGAGACGCAAAGGTGAACAGAAATGGCACTCTGTACACCACATGTTACTCGCCTACGCCGATGACATCGATATAATGGGTCAAACATTGCCAGCGCTAACAGCCACCTTTGAACAAATTGAGAAGTAGTCTGCCAAAGTGGGTCTGGCAGTAAACGGCGAGAAGACCAAGCTGATGGTATCAACGCCCAAGACGTCGAGTAGACTCGGTCAAACTGTTGAACTTGAGAACTACAGCTTCGAGGTAGTTAAAGATTTTATATACCTTGTTACCGCCATAAATAAAACGGATGACATCAGTTTTGAAATTCGGAGAAGGATTGTGATGGCCAACAAATGATATTATGGTCTAAGGAAGCAGTTTAGAAACAAGGCCACGTCCAGTCAGACCAAACTCACACTTTACAAGACGCTGATACTATCCGTGCTGTTATATGGATCTGAAGCATGGGTACTTGCGCAAGCAGATGAGGCAGCTCTTGGGGTGTTTGAAAGAAAAATACTCCGAAATATCTACGGGCAGATCGGCGTCGGTGGTGAATATCGGCGTCGAATGAACCACAAGTTTTTAAATTTATTCGCGGACATCGACAAAGTCAGTGGTATTGTGCTGCAGCGACTACGATGGCTAGGCCATGTGGAGCGAAGCTTCGTTGCTAAGCTTCGTTGAAATTGGTTCAGATTTAGATATAGCTCCCATATATATATATATATTCGTCCGATTTAATGTAAATGATGCACCAAAGACCCAAAGTGGCTTATAGGAACAAAACGTACTGAAATTTGTATAACCTAACCTGTGACAAGTTTCGTTGAAATCGGTTAATATTTGGATATAGCTTCCATATATATTTTCGTCATATTTTAAGTAAATGGTGCATTTAACTCCACATATTTGCCAGATAGGCATGCAATTCGCACAACGCACAAAATTGAGCATAGAATAACGTAGTTGTGTGTCTTGTAGAATTATAGAAATAGACCAACGGATATCCGATTGGTATTTGTTTGAAATCGATTTACATAGTTTTGTACCATTTTAACAAATGTTTTGGATTGATCTAAGTCGGTTCACATTCAGATAAAGATCATATATTATAGTTCATTCAATTTCATATTAATGGTCCTTTAAAAATGGGACGTCTGTTTGGATGCATCTGTTTAATATACCCAGTGTGGTGAAGGGTATCATATAGTTGGCCCCGTCCGACTTTACTACTTTCCTTACAGGTTTTTATATTATTTTGTCCAAGGTCTCTGAACAGGCGTGGATTTTTTAAATTGTTTTTTTCAAGGTCTCCGATGAGGTGTGGATTTTTTAAATTGTTTTTTTTTCAAGGTCTCCGATCAGGTGTGGATTTTTTAGTTATATTTTCAAGGTCTCCGATCAGGCGTGGATTTTTTAAATTATTTTTTTCAAGGCCTCCGATCAGGCGTGTTTTTTTTAATTATTTTTTCAAGGTCTCCGATCAGGCGTGGTTTTTTTAAATTATTTTTTTCAAGGCCTCCGATCAGGCGTGGTTTTTAAATTATTTTTTCAAGGTCTCCGATCAGGCGTGGATTTTTTAAATTATTTTTTCAAGGTCTCCGATCAGGCGTGGATTTTTTTAAATTATTTTTTTTTCAAGGCCTCCGATCAGGCGTGGATTTTTTAAATTGTTTTTTTCAAGGCCTCCGATCAGGCGTGGTTTTTTAAATTATTTTTTCGAGGTCTTCAAAATGGCGTTTTTTTACATTTTCTAGGTCTCGAAACAGGCGTGTATTTTTTATGTTATTTTTTCAAGGTCCCTTAAAAGGCGAACTGGCGAATTTTTTATTTTTTAAGGTATTCAATCAGGCGTGAATTTTTTTATGTGGTTTTTCAAGGTCTCCAATAAGCTGTAAATTGTTTAAATTATTGTTTTCAAGGCTTGGATTTTGTTAGGTCTCAACACCGGTATGGTTTTTTTTTAATTTTTTTTCTTTTATTTATTTTTATAGTACATCCCCGACGCTCTATGGAATCAAATACGACAGCATCACATCCAGCTATGCGAATTTATGGAGAAGGTGAACGAACATCTATCGGCAATTGTGCTTATCTCGGCGCTAAACAATATGTATTTCATTTGTAATCAATTATTAAATATATTTACGTTAGCTATTCCATTTGCAGCCTTTGAAATGTTGTAAAGTAATAACTTCCTCCCCCCCTTTAGAAAACATCGCTATCCCATTAGTATCGTGTATTTTTGGGTAGCATTGGTATTTTTACTGGGTCATACCTGTGGTGTTTTTATGTTTGCTTCAAGAATACGTGAGGCTTCGCTGCTGCCCTTGAAAATTTTGTATTTGGTACCGAGTGGCTGTTGGACCGAGGAGGTACAACGTTTTATGGCGCAACTATTAGATGAAACCGTTGGATTGACGGGTAAATATTTCTATACCGTAACACGGCAGGGGTTCTTTGGGGTAAGCAGGGGGGTTTTTTTGAAATGTTTGTTACATATATATCTATTTTGGTATTGCAGCTAATGTCGACAATAGTAACATATGAATTTATGCTTCTGCAATTGGATTCCAAAAGTCGTGAAGACGGTCTACCTGATTTGTGTGCTTAAATTTATTATTAATTTTTTATATAAAAATAAATATTTATTATATACTTTAGCAATCCATTGGAGCATTTTCTTTTGTTATCAATTTTTTTTCAAAGTCCAAAAAACATTTTTAAATTAGTGTTTAGGGTATCCAACACAAGTGTGAATGATTTAAAAGTATTTTTTTTAAGGTCTAAAAACCTTACAGAAAATTATTTGTAATTAATTTTTCTATGTGATTTTTTTTTAATAATAGGCGTAACTTTTTAAATTATTTTTTTACAAGGACCATCAAAAGTGTGGGTATTTTATTTTAATTTGTTTCCAATCCGAACTGGGATTTTTTAAAATAATAATTTTAACCGTCATCTGTTGCGGGTTTCCCTATAATTTACCACATTTTCTAAATAAACAACAACAACAGTAGCGAAAACATTCGGTCATGCAATATTTGGGTGTGTCATTCTGGTCAGGTGAAAAATGTTTAATAATTAAATTGTTTAAACAGAAATATGCAAACAAAAATATGTTAGGTTCTTAGAAAAAATATTCTAAAACCAGTGAGCGGAGCAGTATAGTCGGACGGTGCCGACCATATGATACCCTACACAACTTCCACGAAAATCTATCTTTCATTGGTTCTTGGGCAATATTTCGCGATATTTGCACCCTCTTCAACGTCTAGAGGTCAACAAATATTACTAATATTCAGTACAGTCCTTATAATTGCTTGTCCAGATTCCCTTCAACGTGGGTTGTGTTGTGATGTTCGACTTTCAATTGTGTCCTATAGATAGACTCGAAAAAACACAAAAAATTAAGTTTTCGGTCCACTTCATCCCAATATTATTATTTGATAATCATCGAAAATTATAGGCATTGTCCTTGACCATACTTGGATCCTTATGGAAAATTTCAGAGCGATCAGCGCTATATTTGTGGTAATTGGTTTCTAAATAATATATGAATACGTAAGCGCCTGTATATATTTAAGTGTAATTCCAACATCCAAGTACTTCAATATAATTGGTATCAATTTAAAGGTCAACCACTCCTCTTGGATATACTATCAACTTCTAGGGTCTATGTCCTTCAGGGGTAAATGTATACGTTGTAGAATACAATTTTTGTAATTTTTCACACAGAAGTCAGAGTCCATTTGACCCGCTAAATATTGACCGATCTTTATCAAAATGCTTATTCTTTGGCCCGATCCCCTTCTCCATGCAAAATTTCACGATGTTCGGGCCATTATTGCGGCCTCTGGAGAGACCACAAAACCGACAAAAATTTAGTATTTGGCCCATTTCATCCCCTAAATATTAACCGTTCAAGAAAGAAACTCAGCAAACATCATTCTAGTCTTAATTGAGTACGCTATGACAAATTTCGTGCAAATCGAAAGATATATAGGGACTTTGGTACACAATGTACATAAAATCGGACGAAACTATATATGGGAGCTATATCTAAATCTGAACCGATTTTCACGAAACTAAACACACATCTTTCTAGATTTAATTGAGTAGGCTATTCCAAATTTCATGCAAATCGAAAGATATATAAGGACTTTGGTATACCATTTACATAAAATCGGACGAAAATATATATGGGAGCTATATCTAAATCTGAACCGATTTTCCTCAATTGCAATAGGGTTCGTCCTTGGCCCAAAAAAAGTGAAGTATGCCAAATTTCATCCAATTCGGATAATAAATGCGACCTGTACTTTGTTTACAATTTAACACCAACCAACCAACCATGCATAAATCGACTCAGAAAGTGATTCTATGCATATTCTCAAAAGGAACTATGGGTCTATCTCGTTTCCTTTTGTCTTTTACAAACATATGCACAAAGATATAATATCCTGTACCACAGTGTGGTGAAGGGTATAAAAAGTAGTAGGACTGGGCCGACTATATGATATCCTTCACCACTGTCGATGTTCTCTCGAAGGAACATACTCATGCCTTGATACACGCTATTTGGTACGTCCCACTGTTAAAAATTTAATCTCAATCAGACGCCCGTTCGAAATACATATGGAAGGTAGCTTCATCTGCACCAATTTCAACAAAACGTAATAATCGCCCATGTGACATGTTCCGAGAGTTTTTGAATTCCAATACTTTTTTAAATTCCCATGTTGTGCAAAATGGTGTGCTCAATTTCGAGTAAAAGTGCGGCTCGAAAGCATAGCTGTGTTCAATATGTTACGAAATGTGTTCAATAAAAAAACATATGTTTCATTGGAAATTGCAATTTGTTTACCAACAAAATTAAGAAAAAATATGCCTGCTGGCTTATTAATTGCCCTGGTTTCTAACAGAAAAAGTCTAATGATACTGGAACGTGCTAAAATAAGCATTTATGGATATTTTGAGACAAGTGGATCCTTTCATACACAAGGGTGTCATTCCCGAAAGCCTCCAGTTAGATTTCTGGCTGTTGGTGGGTTTCAGAGGGTAGTGGTAAATGATTTAAATATAAGTGTTGATCGCACAACAATTCGTAAAATATTGTAACAATTTGTAAAAAAAATTGTGTGCAAGCTGTGGATAGCTGCAGACCAGGATCCAGCCATGATGCTTTTATTTGGCATATGAGTGCAGCTAGGCAGCATTAACAAAAGAGGAAATGGTATGCAAAATAGTTGGCTTCTAGGAGACAGTGGTTACACTTTAAAAAAATTTTTTGACGGCCTATAAACAAGTGGAGCATGGATCTTGTCAACATCGATATAATAAAGTGCACACATCTGCAAGAAACATTATTAAAAGGACTATTGGAAATCTTAAAAGTAGATTTTTTATAGATTCTATTTTTATTTTGATCATATGGTGGTTGAGTTGCCGGATTGATCTCAAAAATGTTAGGCGCTGTTTTTGATAAAAGGAGCCCTTTTTTATTTTCTTTAATTTTACTATAAAAACTAATGTAAATACTGTATTTTTTAAATAAATGTTGTAAAAACACGTTAAATATTACTTCAGAGTTATTTTTCAACTTGTACGTGCTCAGAAAAACACGTACGATCTCACTTCGTTTTCAATCAACAAGGCTATATGTGCTCGAATTATATTCCCAATATTTTTTTGGGAATTCGGAATGGAGCACACCAAATTTGGGAAAATGTTTCACATTCGAGCAAACTCGAAATGCAGCACATGGGCGAATGTCATTCAATCGAAGTCTGAATCGATGTTCCCGAAGCGTATCACACAGCATTCTGGACTCAATTCAGTACGCTATGCCGAATTTCATGCAAATTGAAGGATATATAGGAACTTTGCTGCACCATTTACATAAAATCGGAGGAAAGTATATATGGGAGCTATACCGAAATCTTAATCGATTTTCCCGAAACTTACCACTCATCATTCCTGACTCAATTCAGTACGCTATGTCAAATTTCGTGCAAATCGAAGTTAATATAGAGACTTTGGTGCACCATGTGTATAAAATCGGACGAAAATATATTCGGGAGCTATACGTAAATTTGAACCGATTTCCACGAATCTTAGCACACATTATTCTAGATTCAATTCAGTACGCCGCGCCAAATTTCGTGCAAATCGAAATACACAAAGGGACTTTGGTGCACCATTTACCTTAAATCGGACGAATGTATATATGGGAGCTATATCTAAGTTTCAACCGATTTTCATGAAACTTAGCACACATCATCATATGTAATTCAGTACGTTGTGCAAAATTTCGTGCAAATCGAAAGATATATAGGGACATTGGTGCACCATTTAACTTAAATCGGACGAAAATATGTATGGGAGCTATATCTAGATCTGAACCGATTTTCACGAAACTTGGCACACCTTAATCCATCCTTCATTCAGTACGCTGTGCCAAATTTTGTGCAAATCGAAAGATATATAGGGACATTGGTGCACAATTTACCTTAAATCGGACGAATGTATATATGGGAGCTAAGCTAGATCTGAACAGATTTTTCCCAATTTCAATAGGGTTCGTTCTTGGGTCAAATAAATGAGTCATCTAATTCGAATCAAAAATGCGACCTGTACATTGTTTACAATTTAACATGGACAGACAGACGGACGGACGGACATGCATAAATCGACTTAGAAAGTGATTCTATGCATATTCTCTGTTACAAACATATGCCCAAATGCATATTGACCTGTACTACAGTGTGGTGCAGGGTATAATAATAATCAGTAAGGAAAGTAGTTAAATCGGACTGCGCCGACTATATGATACCCTCCACCACTTTGGGTATATTCCTATATCCTAACAGACGTCGCCTTTTTGAAGGAACATTGACATGAAATTGAACGAACTTAAATATGTGTTCTTTAGCTATATCAAAACCGACTAACATCAATCCCTAAACATGTCATTCTGCAACCTATGCTAAAAAACCAAATTTATTGGTAGAAAAAATGTCTTTTCAAACTCATTAAAAATTCAGACTACTGGGTCCAGATGGTCCCTTTACAAAATCTCGTGGTCATTTAAAAAATGTTGCGACATTGCAAACCCTACTTATTTTACTTAAATTAAAGATGCGAAACCTCTATACAAAATATTTCTTTTGCCATAACTTATCCTTAGGTGTAAACACACGTAAACCATTACGAAAGTATTAAGGACTCTCTATGGTCACCTTATTTATTTGCAATATTTACTTTTGGAATTTGTTGCACTTTTGAGGCATTAGCATTGTGTTTAGGTTGCATGACAAAGACCGTACTTTATGTTCGCATTAACCCGCATTTATCTCATAAAATATTCATCATCAAAGTGGTTGACACTTCAGATAGAATGGAGAGAAAAAAACGACAACAACAACGCCCCCTACTTCACTGAGCAAAAAAACCCCGTTCAGATATAAAAATTGCAAACAAGTTGGTAAAAGTTTTCATTTCCGACTGGAATGTAAACGAGTAAGGGCCACAAAAAACAACAAACATTTCTCCAGTTATGAACCAATCGAATTGCATTGATCGCTTTTCCAAGAAATCCATGATTTCCATGCGGAATATTGTTAACCAATCGTCGGGCAACAATTTAATTGTTGAGGATGTGAATTATGTTCGTGGAAGTCCGAATGGCTATGACGATTTTGATAGTCATGGTGGTGTGTCGAATTCGGCGATTCTAAGGAAATCACAAACACCAATTGAAAATATGAATCTGAATGAAAGTGTTTTTTCAATTTATAAACCGAATAAAAAATTTCCGGTTGAGGATTCAACTCAGCTGCAGGATGACGAGGAGGACTATGTGGATAACAACAGTGTGGATGATACTTTTCAAAGGGCGGTGAGTCCAAGTAAGTACTACCTCCATCAAAAAATTGTGTTAGCTAGTTAGACGAGGGCCATCATAAGCGTAGATTTTTATACCCTTCACCACACTGTGGTACAGGGTATTACGTCTTTGTGCATATATTTGTAACAGGCAGAAGGAGACGAGAAAGACACATGGTTCCTTTTGTGAATATGCATAGAACCGCCTTCTGAGTCGATTTATGCATGTCCGTCCGCCCGTCTGTTGAAGTTAAATTGTAAACAAAGTACAGGTCGCCTTTATCATTCGATTTGGATGAAATTTGGCACAGCTCATTTATTAGGCCATGGACGAACCCTATTGAAATTGAGAAAATCGGTTCAGATTTAGATATAGCTCCCATATATAATTTCGTCCGATTTACGGTAAATGGTGCACCAAAGTCCGTATATATCCTTTGATTAGGTCTAGAATGATGTGTGTTAAGTTTCCTGAAAATCGGTTCAGATTTAGATATAGCTCAGATTTAAATATAGCTTCCATATATATTTTCGTCCGATTTAAGGTAAATGGTGCGCCAAAGTCCCTATATATGTTTCGATATGCACGAAATTTGGCATAGCGTACTGAATTGAGTCTATATTAATGTGTGCTAAGTTCCGTAAAAATCGGTTCAGATTTAGATATAGCTCCCATATATATTTTCGTTCGATTTAATGTAAATGGTGCACCAAAGTCCCTATATATATATTTCGATTTGGACGAAATTTGGCATAGTGTACTGAATTGAGTCTAGAGTGATGTGTGCTAAGTTTCGTGAAAATCGGTTCAGATTTAGATATAGCTTCCATATATATTTTCGTCCGATTTAAGGTAAATGGTGCACCAAAGTCATTATATATTTTTCGATTTGCACGAAATTTGGCATAGCGTACTAAATTAAGTCTAAAATGATGTGTGCTAAGTTTCGTGGAAATCGGTTCCGATTTAGATATAGCTTCCATATATATTTTCGTCCGATTTAAGGTAAATGGTGCCCCAAGGTCTCTAAATATCTTTCGATATACACGAAATTTGGCATAGCGTAGTGAATTGAGTCTATATTAATGTGTGCTAAGTTCCGTAAAAATCGGTTCAGATTTAGATATGGGTCCCATATATATTTTCGTCCGATTTAAGGTAAATGGTGCGCCAAAGTCCCTATATATCTTTCGATTTGCACGAAATTCGGCATAGCATGCAAAATTAAGTCTAGAATGATGTGTGCTAAGTTTCGTAAAAATCGGTTCAGATTTAGATATAGCTCCCATATATATTTTCGTTCGATTTAATGTAAATGGTGCACCAAAGTCCCTATATATATTTCGATTTGAACGAAATTTGGCATAGCGTACTAAATTAAGTCTAGAATGATGTGTGCTAAGTTTCGTGGAAATCGGTTCCGATATAGATAAAGCTCTCATATGTATTTTCGTTCGATTTAAGGTTTTTCGGATTTGCTAAAAATATATTTTCCAATGTCCCAACGTCGGCGTGAATTTTTAAAATTATTTTTTCAAGTTGTGGATTTTTAAAAAAATCTCTTCTTTTAGTTTTATTTCTAGGTCAATGCTTTGCCATTCTACCCGTGCGTGGTATACGACGATCGAATCCGAAACACTTAAAATTTTCACTGAAATCAATTCAAGTGTTGATAACGGTATTCTTTATGTGCTGCAATTCAATACTGACACTGACCACCTTGAAACATTTATTGAAAATTGGCATTAATGCCAAGAATTTTGGTAAGTCCCGGGAGAGGAAAATATTCACCACACTCACGGTCCCTTATATTTTTCCCGATTTCAGTTGGTCTCGTATTTTTCGGTTGTGTTCAATGTTCGTGTTTACTGTTCGCGTTGTTGGCACCTCACTGGCCGAGACTGATGTGTTATTGGTATCGAATTGAGTCGATATTCACCCAGAAACCCTATGAGATGCCGAAACGGAGTTTGAGCTATCGGGTACGATTTGCAGCGACGGTGATTATATTTTTATCGGTTGGTAGGTAGATTTTAAAAATTTTAAATATTTTTTTGTACTTTAAATATTTTGTTTTCAGCTGAACATGGCCTTTATTTGTCCTCGGCTATATTTTCGTTTAGACGCACCCAGGAAATATGTGCCCCGCTGCATAATATCACAGCGGATATATCATTCAATAATTATATTCGACGCAATTATGATTATGTTTTTCAAATATTGCCACATAATATGTTTATTGGGGTGTTCATTTTGGTAAGTTTGATTTTAAACAGATGCATTTTTTTCAAATATTTTTCAAAGGTCTCAGCGCAGTTGTGGGTTTTAAGAAAAAAAAGTAATTTAAAAAATTCAAACAAAATCTACGCCTAATTGTGGTCCTTAAAAAATAATTTGTGATCACTGAAAAATTCATTTAAAACCCAGTAAGGAAAGTAGTAAAGTCGAACGGGGCCGACTATATGATACCCTTCACCACTTTGGGTATATTCTACATATGTATCCTAACAGACGTCGCCTTTTGAACGAACTTAAATCTAAATCTAACCCGATTTTCTCGAAGCTTAACACACGAGGTATGGTAGGGACAGATTTCCATCCCAGAGGCATGAAAATCCCCATGAACATGCAGAACAACAACAACAACATCAAGTGTAAATACAAAATTGTGTGCCGGTCGGACAAACTTTGGGTGTTTAGTGCACAATTTACATTATATCGGACGAAAATATATATAAGAGCTAAATCTGAACCGATTTTCACGAAACTTAGCGCACATCATTCTGAATCTAATTTAGTACCCTATGCCAAATTTCGTGCAAATCGAAAGATATATAGAGACTTATTTCCCTTAAATCGGTCGAAAATATATATGGGAGCTATATAAAAATCTGACCAGATTTTCTCGAAATTTGGCACAAGTCATTCTAGACTCAATTCAATACACCATGCTAAATTTCGTGCAAATCGAATGATATATAGGGACTTTGGTGCAGCATTTACATAAAATCGGACAAAACTATATATGAGAGCTATATCTAAATCTGAACCGATTTCCTCGAAACTTAACACACGTCATTCTAGACTCAATTGAGTACACTATGCAAAATTTCGTGCCAATCGAAAGATATATAGGGACTTTGGTGCACCATTTACCCAAAATCGGACAAAACTATATATGAGAGCTAAATCTAAATCTGAACCGATTTCCTCGAAACTTAACACACGTCATTCTAGACTCAATTGAGTACACCGTGCCAAATTTCGTGCAAATCGAAAGCTATATAGGTACTTTGTTGCCCCATTTACATTAAATCGGACGAACATATATATGGGAGCTATATCTAAATCTGAACCGATTTCCTCGAAACTTAACACACGACATTCTAGACTAAATGGAGTACACCGTGCCAAATTTCGAGCAAATCGAAAGTTATATAGGGACTTTGGTGCCCCATTTACCTTAAATCGGACGAAAATATATATGGGAGATATATCTGAATCTGAACCGATTTGCACGAAACTTAGCACAAATCATGTTGAATTTAATTCAGTACGTTATGTCAAATTTCGTGCAAATCGAAAGATATATAGGGACTTTGGAGACTCATTCCCTTAAATCGGACGAAAAAATATATGGGAGCTATATCTAAATCTGACCCGATTTTCTCTAAACTTGACACACATCATTCTAGCCTCAATTCAGTACACTATGCCAAATTTCGTGCAAATCGAAAGATATATAGGGACTTTGGTGCACCATTTACCTAAAATCGGACAAAAGTATATATGGGAGCTATATCTGAATCTGAACCGATTTCCTCAAAACTTAACACACATCATTCTAGACTCAATTGAGTACGCTTTGCCAAATTCCGTGCAAATCGAAAGATATGTAGGGTATTTGGTGCCCCATTTACTTTAAATTGGACTAAAATATATATGGGAGATATATCTAAATCTGACCCGACTTTCTCGAAACTTAGCATACATCATTCTAGATTTAATTAAGTACGTTATGCCAAATTTCGCGCAAATCGAAAGATATATAGGGACTTTGGAGACTCATTTCCCTTAAATCGGACGAAAATATATATGGGAGCTATATATAAATCTGACCCGATTTTCTCGAAACTTGACACACATCATTCTACCCTCAATTCAGTACACTATGCAACATTTCGCGCTAATCGAAAGATATGTTGGGACTTTGGTGCACCATTTACCTAAAATCGGACAAAACTATATATGGGAGCTATATCTAAATCTGACCCGATTGTCTTAAATTTCAATGTGGTTCGTCCTTGGGCCAAATAAGTGAGCTGCGCCAAATTTCATCTCAATCGGATGATAAATGCGACCTTTACTTTGTTCACAAAAATACATGGACAGCCGGACGGGGACAGGTCCTTGAAAAATATAATTTAAAATAATTTGTATAAAAATTCATGCTTGTTCTTCTTCTCCATTCCTTTGTTCAGATTGTCAATGGCCTGTGCACCTTCATTTGGAACTACATGGACATGTTTATTATGATGGTGAGCAAGGGTATTGCCTATCGTTTTGAGCAAATAACGACACGTATTAACAAATTGGCTAACAAGGTAAGCTGTTGAATGGATTTTCACCTCTAAATGGTTGGGAGGAGGGCTGGTTCGGAAGGAAGGAACGTAAACCACTTCACTTTGTCATGTCTAGACTCTAAATGGAAAATTGCAAATCGATGGAAATTTAGAGCAATCAATTTTTTTTCTTTTCCGAGCCTCTACCTTCCCATCCGCCGAAATTTTACCCCAATTGAATTTCAATTGTTTCCGTTGTTATCCGTCTTTTGTTATGTTTTTTCTTTCTTTCTGTTGGCAGGAAGTACCCGAAACGGTGTTCATTGAAATACGTGAACATTATGTGAAATTGTGCGAACTGCTGGATTGTGTCGACGAAGATTTGTCGGGCATAATTTTGTTGTCGTGCATTAACAATTTGTATTTCGTTTGCTATCAGCTGTTGAATGTTTTCAAGTAAGTTGAATGGAATCATCATTGCGTGGCAGTTGGCATAAAGGATTCAAGTATTTTTCTTCTTCTTCTTACTTCTCCCGCACAGTAAATTACGCTGGCCCATCAATTACATTTACTTTTGGTATTCTCTGCTGTATTTGATTGGTCGCACGGCATTTGTCTTCCTTTCGGCAGCATCGATAAACGATGAGTCCAAAGGAGGTTTGCCCGTGTTGCGTCGGGTCTCCAGCCGCACCTGGTGTGTTGAGGTGGGTTGCGTGATGGAAATTTTTTGTATATTTTCAGATATGTGTATGTGTTTCTAATTTTTTAGGTGGAACGTTTAATTTTCCAAATGACAACACAAACGGTGGCCTTGTCGGGCAAGAAGTTTTATTTTTTGACGAGACGTCTTTTGTTTGGGGTAAGAAACAAATTTTAACCAGTAAGGAAAGTAGTAAAGTCGGACTGGGCCGACTATATGATACCCAAATTCGATGCCAAAATTCGTGCAAATGAAAAGATTTCCAGGGACTTGGTGCACCATATACCTAAAATCGGGCGAAACTATATATGGGAGCTATATCTAAATCTGAACCGATTTTCATTATCTAAATCGAAACCGATTTTCACGAAACATGGCAGAATCACTGTATGCTCAATTCAGTATGTTATGCCAAATTTCGTGCATATCGAATGATATATAGGGACTTTGGAGCACATTTTACATTAAATCGGACGAAAATATATATGGGAGCTATATCTAAATCTGAACCGATTTTCACGAAACTTGGCAGACATCACTCTAGGCTCAATTCAGTACGTTATGCCAAATTTCGTGGCAATAGAATGATATATAGGGATCTTGGTGCATCATTTACATAAAATCGAACGAAACTATATATGGGAGCTATATCTAAATCTGGACCGATTTTCACGAAACTTGGCAGCCATCATTGTAGGCTCAATTCAGTATGTTATGCCAAATTTCGTGCAAATCGAAAGGTATATAGGGACTTTGGAGCACATTTTACATTAAATCGGACGAAAATATATATGGGAGCTATATCTAAATCTGAACCTATTTTTACGAAACTTGGCAGACATCACTCTAGGCTCAATTCAGTAAGTTATGCCAAATATTGTGCAAATCAAAAGGTATTTTGGGAATTTGGTGCACCATTCGAACGAAAATATATATGGGAGCTATATCTAAATCTGAACCGATTTTTCCCAATTTCAAAAGGGTTTGTCCTTGGGCCAAATAAATGAGCTGTGCCAAATTTCATCCAATTCGGATTATAAATGCGACCTGTACTTTGTTTACAATTTAACACCAACAGACGGACGGACGGACATGCATAAATCGGCTCAGAAAGTGATTCTATGCATATTCTCACAAGGAACTATGGCTCTATCTCGTTTCCTTTTGCCTGTTACAAACATATGCACAAGAACATAATACCCTGTACCACAGTGTTTCAAAATCCACACCTATTTTATTTATTTTTCAGATGGCCGGCACTATAGTGACCTATGAATTGGTGCTGCTGCAATTCGATGAACCGAATCGCGCTATGGGCTTACCCGACCTCTGTGGTTAAGTCAACAAATTAGATAACATTTGGAGTTTCATTTAAATAAGAATAAGTATGTTGTTGTTGGTTCATCTTTGAGGAAAATAAGTTAATAAAATAAAAATAAATAAAATTAAAAATTAAATAAGAAAGATAAGTTTTCCTCTTGGACGGTTCCACCAGATCCTTTTGTGGTTGGTTGTGTTATGATGGGAATGAATGGGCGACTGATTGGTTGGTTCGTTGGGTTGTTTGTTGTTCATTTGTAATTCACGGCGAGCAAATTAAACGCAGACATGCAACAACATCCATCGATGCAAAGGACTGACAATGAGGACCACCACACAGACAAACACACATGAAGGTGTGTGTGTGTGTTTGTGTCTGTGTGCATTATCCTTGTTTCCATATTTGTATTTATTTAACTTGCAGCCAAAGTTCTCTGTTCTGCGTTGATTTATTTGTAGTTGAAAATTTGCTCATTAAAGTCAGGCGGATTTTTGTCAACAACTGTTAACATCGGTCTGGTGAACGGGCGAGCGAGTAAGGGGCGTCGTCATTCCATGGAATGTGTTAACAATACCGAAACTGAATAGAAAATATTATTTAATTAAATGTGATTACGTTTTCAAAACTTTGCGACAAACTAAAGTTGGTATGGAACAACAAACTTTTCATCAGTCGGTACGGAAAAGTAGGTGTTATTATTTTTCGAAAAAAAAAAAATAGTATTTGAAAAATATTAATTAAAAAATTCTATGACAACATTTTGTGCTGGCATTTCTTGGCAAATGGGAAAATTCCGTCCGCCTGTCCATGTTAAATTGTAAACAAAGTACAGGTCGCATTTATGATCCGAATTAAACGAAATTTGGGATAGGTCACTTATTTGGCACAAGGACGAACCCTATTGAAATTGGGAAAAATCGGTTCAGATTTAGATATAGCTCCCATATATATTTTCGTCCGATTTAAGATAAATGGCGCACAAGAGTTCCTATATATGTTTCAATTTGCACGAAATTTTGCACAGCATAATGATTTAGATCTATAATGATGTGTGCTAAGTTTCGTGAAAATCGGTTCAGATTTAGATATAGCTCCCATATATATTTTCGTCCAATTTAAGGTAAATGGTACACCAAAGGTCCTATATATCTTTCAATTTGCACGAAATTTGGCTCAGCGTACTTAATTAAGCCTAGAATGAGGTGTGCTAAGTTTCGTGAAAATCGGTTCAGATTTAGATAAAGCTCCCATATGTATTTTCGTCCGATTTAAGGTAAATGGTGCACAAGAGTTCCCATATATCATTCAATTTGCACGAAATTTGGCTTAGCATACTGAATTAAGCCAAGAATGAGGTGTGCTAAGTTTCGTGAAAATCGGTGCAGATACAGATCATATATATAGTTTAGTCCGATTTAAGGTAAATGGTGCACAAGAGTTCCTATATATCTTTTAATTGGCACGAAATTTGACTCAGCGTACTGAATTAAACCTAGAATGAGGTCTGCTAAGTTTAGTCAAAAATCGGTTCAGATTTAGATATAGCTTCCATATATATCGTCCGATTTAAGGTAAGTGGTGCACAAAAGTCCCTATATATCCTTCGATTTACACGAAATTTGGCACAGCGTCATGATTTAGGTCTATAACGATGTGTGTTAAGTTTCGTGAAAATCTTTTTAGATTTAGTTATAGCTCCCATATATATTTTCGTCCAATTTAAGGTAAATGGTGCACCAAAGGTCCTATATATCATTCGATTTGCACGAAATTTGGCTCAGCGTACTGAATTAAGCCTAGAATGATGTGTGCTAAGTTTCGTGAAAATCGGTGCAGATAAAGATATATCTCCTATATATATTTTCGTCCGATTTAAGGTAAATGGTGTACCAAAGTCTATATATCTTTCAATTTGCACGAAATTTGGCACATGTAATGAATTAGACCTAGAATGATGTGTGTTAAGTTTTATAAAAATAGCTCCCATATATATTTCGTCCAATTTATAGGTAAATGGTGCACCAAAGTCCCTATATATATATTTGCATGAAATTTGGCACAGAGCAATGAATTAGGTATAGAATGAGGTGTGCTAAGTTTAGTCAAAAATTGGTTCAGATTAGGTAGATATATATATATATATATATATATTTCCGTCCGATTTAAGTTTAATGGTGTACCAAAGTCCCTTAATATCTTTTGGTTTGCACTAAATTTGGCAGAGAGTACTGAATTAGGTCTAGAATGATGTGTGTCAAGTTTCCTGAAATTGGTTCAGGTTTCGATATAGCTTCTATATCTGACCAAATGAAAAATTTAGTATCGGTTGCAGGATTACATGTTTATGGATTCAATGTCATTTTACTGGTCCCTTAAAAATGCGACGTATGTTAGGTTTCATCTGTTGAATGTAACCAAAGTGGTGAAGGGTATCATATAGTCGGTCCCGCCCGACTATAGGTGTAGATTTTTTAAGTTAATCTTCTGTGTGAAAAATAGGCGTAGATTTTTATACCCTACACAACTATGTTGTCAGGGTATTATTGCTTTGTGCAGCCCCAAAAGTTTGTAACGCCGCAAAATATTGGTCCTAGACCCATCTTTAATTATACCTATCGTCATATCTCGACTAGCTGAGTCGATCTAGACATGTGTGTCCGTCCGTCTGTCCATTATATATTGTAAACACGATACAGGCCGCAGTTGTGGACCAATCTTCACGAAATTTTGCATGTAGGATGTTTTCGGCCTAATGAAGACCCCTATTGTTTTTGGTAAAGATCGGATAATATTTAGAGCATGAAATGGACCAAATACTTAATTTTTGTCCGTTTTTTAGGTCGCTCCAGATGCCGCAATTATAGCCCAAACTACTCGAATTGTTACATGGAGAAGGGGATTGGGCCAAAGAATAAGCATACCTGTTTTGATAAAGATCGGTCAATATTTAGCGGGTCAAATGGACCCTGACTTTTGTGTGAAAAATTACAAAATTTGTATTCTATGGCGTATATATTTACTCCTGAAGGACATAGAGCCGGCAAGTTGATAATAACCCATAACCACACTAGAGATCGGAAATATTGCACTGATCGCTTTGAAATTTTCCATGAGGTTCCAGTTATGGTCAAGGACAACGCCTACAATTTTCGGTGATGATCAGATAACAATTCGGGATGAAGTGGACCGAAAACTTTTTTGTTTGTTTTTTTTTTTCGAGACGATCTATAGGCTACAATTGTAAACCGAACATCACAACATCACACACGATGAAGGGAATCTGGACAAGTAATTAGAGGGGCGTCTGTACAGAATATTAGTAATATTCGGAAGATATGTCATTGAACTCTAATCGGAAAAGAGGGTGCAAATATCAAGAAATATTGCCCAGGCTCGGAATAAAAATCCGCAGAAAGTTAGAATTACGTGGTAGTTTTGTAGAGTATCGGCCCGTCCGACTATACTGCTCCGCTCACTGGTTTTTAAATTAATTTTTTGTGTCAACAATTGGCGTGGATTTTTGAAATTATTATTAATTATTTCTCAACTTAATAATTTCATCTCCTCGTTTAGTCCTTTTCATATCGCAATGCTTTGGCCTACTGCCCGTCACAAATTTGTTGCATAAAAATGTCAATCGACTTCAATTCAAATGGCTGAGCATACCGATCATATATTCGGGAGTGGTCTTAATTTTGGATATCATGGAATTTGGAGTTGTTATTTATTATATCTGGCAGACGGGTGTTAATTTCCATACATCGGGTAAGTCAAGTCTTGCTAAAATGGCCAAAGTATAAAATTAACATCCATTTGTTCCTCTCCATCCTTCCAGGTACCGTCTCCCTCTTCTTCGTTTGCATTTGGGAGCATATAATCTTCTGGCGTTTGGCCACAAAGTGGCCCAAATTAATGCGTCAATGGCGTCAGGTGGAGGAATTATTTTTGCAGGTTCCCTATCATCTGTATGTCACATTCAATATGAAATTTTGGATATGGTTTTGGTATTTGCTGATTATGGTCAGTGGTGGTTGTAAGTTAGAGCCGATGATTTCAAATTATTGTGGATCACTTGTAATTGTAAAATTTATATAGAAGAATTGTTTTTGTTTGTGGTTTTAGTGGAACACTGTTTGTTGGTTTTCAACTCCTTTCAAAAGAGTGATTTGGAAAGGAGGCAATGTAATCTGAATGTCAGCTATTGGGAAACCTTGTATGGTCGCGAAAGACCCCATCTGTCGATGGTGTTGCCATTTCAATATTGGACACTGCCCATATATGAGGTGAGTTTGAAATTTATCAGTACTGGTAAAGAAAAAGGCATTGACGTCTTGTCTTTCATATTTCAGTGGTTAAACTTGACACTGGCCTATCCCCGTTCCTTCACGGATGTTTTCAAAATTTGCTCATTAAAGTCAGGCGGATTTTTGTCAACAACTGTTAACATCGGTCTGGTGAACGGGCGAGCGAGTAAGGGGCGTCGTCATTCCATGGAATGTGTTAACAATACCGAAACTGAATAGAAAATATTATTTAATTAAATGTGATTACGTTTTCAAAACTTTGCGACAAACTAAAGTTGGTATGGAACAACAAACTTTTCATCAGTCGGTACGGAAAAGTAGGTGTTATTTTTTTTTCGAAAAAATAGTATTTGAAAAATATTAATTAAAAAATTCTATGACAAAATTTTGTGCTGGCATTTCTTGGCAAATGGGAAAATTCCGTCCGCCTGTCCATGTTAAATTGTAAACAAAGTACAGGTCGCATTTATGATCCGAATTAAACGAAATTTGGGATAGGTCACTTATTTGGCACAAGGACGAACCCTATTGAAATTGGGAAAAATCGGTTCAGATTTAGATATAGCTCCCATATATATTTTCGTCCGATTTAAGATAAATGGCGCACAAGAGTTCCTATATATGTTTCAATTTGCACGAAATTTTGCACAGCATAATGATTTAGATCTATAATGATGTGTGCTAAGTTTCGTGAAAATCGGTTCAGATTTAGATATAGCTCCCATATATATTTTCGTCCAATTTAAGGTAAATGGTACACCAAAGGTCCTATATATCTTTCAATTTGCACGAAATTTGGCTCAGCGTACTTAATTAAGCCTAGAATGAGGTGTGCTAAGTTTCGTGAAAATCGGTTCAGATTTAGATAAAGCTCCCATATGTATTTTCGTCCGATTTAAGGTAAATGGTGCACAAGAGTTCCCATATATCATTCAATTTGCACGAAATTTGGCTTAGCATACTGAATTAAGCCAAGAATGAGGTGTGCTAAGTTTCGTGAAAATCGGTGCAGATACAGATCATATATATAGTTTAGTGTTAAGGTAAATGGTGCACAAGAGTTCCTATATATCTTTTAATTGGCACGAAATTTGACTCAGCGTACTGAATTAAACCTAGAATGAGGTCTGCTAAGTTTAGTCAAAAATCGGTTCAGATTTAGATATAGCTTCCATATATATCGTCCGATTTAAGGTAAGTGGTGCACAAAAGTCCCTATATATCCTTCGATTTACACGAAATTTGGCACAGCGTCATGATTTAGGTCTATAACGATGTGTGTTAAGTTTCGTGAAAATCTTTTTAGATTTAGTTATAGCTCCCATATATATTTTCGTCCAATTTAAGGTAAATGGTGCACCAAAGGTCCTATATATCATTCGATTTGCACGAAATTTGGCTCAGCGTACTGAATTAAGCCTAGAATGATGTGTGCTAAGTTTCGTGAAAATCGGTGCAGATAAAGATATATCTCCTATATATATTTTCGTCCGATTTAAGGTAAATGGTGTACCAAAGTCCCTATATATCTTTCGATTTGCACGAAATTTGGCACATCTAATGAATTAGACCTAGAATGATGTGTGTTAAGTTTTATAAAAATCGGTTCAGATTTCGTCCAATTTAAGGTAAATGGTGCACCAAAGTCCCTATATATATATTTGCATGAAATTTGGCACAGAGCAATGAATTAGGTATAGAATGAGGTGTGCTAAGTTTAGTCAAAAATCGGTTCAGATTTAGATATAGCTCCCATATATATATTTTCGTCCGATTTAAGGTAAATGGTGTACCAAAGTCCCTTAATATTTTTCGGTTTGCACGAAATTTGGCAAAGCGTAATGAATTAGGTCTAGAATGATGTGTGTCAAGTTTCCTGAAATTGGTTCAGGTTTCGATATAGCTTCTATATCTGACCAAATGAAAAATTTAGTATCGGTTGCAGGATTACATGTTTATGGATTCAATGTCATTTTACTGGTCCCTTAAAAATGCGACGTATGTTAGGTTTCATCTGTTGAATGTAACCAAAGTGGTGAAGGGTATCATATAGTCGGTCCCGCCCGACTATAGGTGTAGATTTTTTAAGTTAATCTTCTGTGTGAAAAATAGGCGTAGATTTTTATACCCTACACAACTATGTTGTCAGGGTATTATTGCTTTGTGCAGCCCCAAAAGTTTGTAACGCCGCAAAATATTGGTCCTAGACCCATCTTTAATTATACCTATCGTCATATCTCGACTAGCTGAGTCGATCTAGACATGTGTGTCCGTCCGTCTGTCCATTATATATTGTAAACACGATACAGGCCGCAGTTGTGGACCAATCTTCACGAAATTTTGCATGTAGGATGTTTTCGGCCTAATGAAGACCCCTATTGTTTTTGGTAAAGATCGGATAATATTTAGAGCATGAAATGGACCAAATACTTAATTTTTGTCCGTTTTTTAGGTCGCTCCAGATGCCGCAATTATAGCCCAAACTACTCGAATTGTTACATGGAGAAGGGGATTGGGCCAAAGAATAAGCATACCTGTTTTGATAAAGATCGGTCAATATTTAGCGGGTCAAATGGACCCTGACTTTTGTGTGAAAAATGACAAAATTTGTATTCTATGGCGTATATATTTACTCCTGAAGGACATAGAGCCGGCAAGTTGATAATAACCCATAACCACACTAGAGATCGGAAATATTGCACTGATCGCTTTGAAATTTTCCATGAGGTTCCAGTTATGGTCAAGGACAACGCCTACAATTTTCGGTGATGATCAGATAACAATTCGGGATGAAGTGGACCGAAAACTTTTTTGTTTGTTTTTTTTTTCGAGACGATCTATAGGCTACAATTGTAAACCGAACATCACAACATCACACACGATGAAGGGAATCTGGACAAGTAATTAGAGGGGCGTCTGTACAGAATATTAGTAATATTCGGAAGATATGTATTGAACTCTAATCGGAAAAGAGGGTGCAAATATCAAGAAATATTGCCCAGGCTCGGAATAAAAATCCGCAGAAAGTTAGAATTACGTGGTAGTTTTGTAGAGTATCGGCCCGTCCGACTATACTGCTCCGCTCACTGGTTTTTAAATTAATTTTTTGTGTCAACAATTGGCGTGGATTTTTGAAATTATTATTAATTATTTCTCAACTTAATAATTTCATCTCCTCGTTTAGTCCTTTTCATATCGCAATGCTTTGGCCTACTGCCCGTCACAAATTTGTTGCATAAAAATGTCAATCGACTTCAATTCAAATGGCTGAGCATACCGATCATATATTCGGGAGTGGTCTTAATTTTGGATATCATGGAATTTGGAGTTGTTATTTATTATATCTGGCAGACGGGTGTTAATTTCCATACATCGGGTAAGTCAAGTCTTGCTAAAATGGCCAAAGTATAAAATTAACATCCATTTGTTCCTCTCCATCCTTCCAGGTACCGTCTCCCTCTTCTTCGTTTGCATTTGGGAGCATATAATCTTCTGGCGTTTGGCCACAAAGTGGCCCAAATTAATGCGTCAATGGCGTCAGGTGGAGGAATTATTTTTGCAGGTTCCCTATCATCTGTATGTCACATTCAATATGAAATTTTGGATATGGTTTTGGTATTTGCTGATTATGGTCAGTGGTGGTTGTAAGTTAGAGCCGATGATTTCAAATTATTGTGGATCACTTGTAATTGTAAAATTTATATAGAAGAATTGTTTTTGTTTGTGGTTTTAGTGGAACACTGTTTGTTGGTTTTCAACTCCTTTCAAAAGAGTGATTTGGAAAGGAGGCAATGCAATCTGAATGTCAGCTATTGGGAAACTTTGTATGGGCGCGAAAGACCCCACCTGTCGATGGTGTTGCCATTTCAATATTGGACACTGCCCATATATGAGGTGAGTTTGAAATTTGTGAGTACTGGTAAAGGAAAAGGCATTTACGTCTTGTCTTTCATATTTCAGTGGTTAAACTTGACATTGGCCTATCCCCGTTCCTTCACGGATGTTTTCATTATAATTATTAGCATTGGACTGGTGGCTAGATTTCGTCAGCTACACTTACGCATGAAAGCTGTACAGGGGAAGGTAATTATGATTTGTGATTTTTTAAAAATATATATTTTTTTAACTCAATGTCTAAAAATTTTGAATGACAAATTAATTTAAGACCCTCTTCAAATTTCGAGTAAATCGAACAAATATAGGCATTTCTGTGCAACATTTACATAAAATCGAACGAAACTATATTAAAGACCTATATCAAAATCTGAAGCGATTTCAACAAACCTTATCACACATAATTTTTTCCTCAATTTCATTTGCTATGCAAAATTTTGTCCCAATCGGAAAATAATTGAGAGTTTGGCGTATCATTCACCAAAAATTGCATGAAACTATATATGGGAGATATATCTAAATCTGTACCGATTTTTACAAAACTTCGCAGACATCAGTCTGGACCTAATTGAGTACTCTGTAAAAAATTTTGTCCCAATCGGACAAATATTGGGAGTTTGGTTAATCATTCACAAAAAATCGGACAAAACTATACATGGGACCTATATCTACATCTGAACCGATTTTAATAAAACTTCGCAGACATCAGTCTGGACCTAATTGAGTACTCTGTACAAAATTTTGTCCCAATGGGGAAAATATTGGGAGTTTGGTTTATCATTCACAAAACTATATGGGAACGTAACTATATATGGGAGCTATATCAAAACTTCGCAGATATCAGTCTGGACCTAATTTAGTACTCTGGGCAAAATTCTGTCCCAATCGGACAAATATGAAGAGATTGGTGTATCATTCACATAAAATCGGACGAAACTATATATGGGAGCTATATCTAAATCTAAACCGATTTTAACTTCGCAGACATCAGCCCAGACAGACTAATTCAGTACTCTATGCCAAATTTCGTGCAAATCGAAAAATATATAGGAAATTTTGTCCCAATCAGACGAATTTTGGGAGTTTGGTTTATTATTCACCAAAAATCGGACGAAATTATATATGGGAGCTATATCTAAATCTGAACCGATTTTAACAAAACTTCGCAGATATCAGTCTGAACCTAATTCAGTACTCTGGGCAAAATTCTGTCCCAATCGGACAAGTATGAGGAGATTGGTGTATCATTCACATAAAATCGGACGAAACTATATATGGGAGCTATATCTAAATTTGAGCCGATTTTAACAAAACTTCGCAGATATCTGTCTGGACCTAATTCTGTACTGTGTGCAGAATTTTGTCCCAATCGGACAAATATTGGGAGTTTGGTGCACCATTTACATAAAATCGGACGAAACTATATATGGGAGCTATATCTAAATCTAAACCGATTTTTACGAAACTTCACGTACGTCATTCTAGGTCTAATTCAGTACTCTATGCCAAATTTTGTGCAAATCGAAAGATATATAGGGACTTTGGTGTATCATTTACCTTAAATCAAACGAAACTATATATGGGAGCTATACCTAAATCTGAACCGATTTTCGCAAAACTTGACAAACATCATTCTGGACCTAAATCAGTACTCTCTGCCAAATTTCGTGCAAATCGAAAGATATATAGGGACTTCGGTGCACCATTTACATAAAATCGGACGATACTATATCTAAATCTAGAGCTATTTTCACGATGCCTGGCAGACATCATTCTAGGCTCAATTCAGTACGTTATGCCAAATTTCGTGCAAATCGAAATATATATAGAAATTTTGGTGCATCATTTACCTTAAATCGGACGAAAACATATATGGGAGCTATATCTAAATCTAGACCGATTTTTTACGTAACTTAGCACACATCATCCTGGACCTAATTCAGTACTCTATGCCAAATTTCGTGCAAATCGAAAAATATATAGGGACTTTGGTACACCATTTACATAAAATCGGACGATACTATATATAGGAGCTATATCTAAACTGAACCGATTTTCACGAAACTTGGCAGATATCAATCTAGGCTCAATTCAGTACGTTATGCCTAGTTTCGTGCAAATCGAAATATATATAGGTACTTTGGTACACCATCTACATTAAATCGGACGAAAATATATATGGGAGCTATATCTAAATCTGAACCGATTTTCACGAAACTTGGCAGACATCACTCTAGGCTCAATTCAGTACGTTATGCCAAATTTCGTGCAAATCGAAAGATATATAGGGACTTTGGTGCACCATTTACCTTAAATCGGACGGAAATATATATGGGAGCTATATCTAAATCTGGACCGATTTTCACGAAGCTTGGCAGACATCACTCTAGGCTTAATTCAGTAAGCTGAACCAAATTTCGTGCAAATCAAAAGATATATGGGCTTCGGTGCACTATTCCGACGGAAATATATATGGGAGCTATATCTAAATCTGAACCGATTTTTCAATAGGGTTCGTCCTTGGGCCAAATAAATGAGCTGTGCCAAATTTCATTCAATTCGAATCAAAAATGCGACCTGTACATTGTTTACAATTTAACATGGACAGACAGACGGACATGCATAAATCGACTCAGAAAGCGATTCTATGCATATTCTCAAAAAGAACTATGGGTCTATCTCGTTTCCTTTTGCCTGTTACAAACATAGGCACATAGACATAATACCCTGTACCACAGTGTGGTGAAGGGTATAAAAATCCGCGCCTAAAAATATTATTTAAAAAATCCCCATCTATTGTTATGCCTCGAAAATTAACCGCTAAAAAAATCCATGCCTATTTAGAGTCTTCAAATTTCTTGTATATTTTGAAATTAATTTGATTCAATCCCAAAAAAGGGAAAATTCATTCCCCTTCTAGTATTTCCATTACAAGGGGAACAATAAGCTACTAATGAATTTTTTTTTCTGTGTCCATTTACACCTCAAGCCTAACTTCTGGCCATATCCCGCAAAAACTTTCATTTTACTAAACTCGTTTTGTTGTTTTTTTATTTTTCCCCTCCCTCATACCACGTCTAGCCAATGCCAGCAATTTTTTGGTTAGAAACTCGTGAACATTATCTGGTGCTGCGGAAACTTTTGCGGCTTGTCAACAATGAGCTGTCCGCCCTGATTCTGCTGGCCAGTGCCAATAACATGTATTTCATCTGCTTTCAATTATTCAACAGTTTCGTGTAAGTCCAGGCCCAAAATGAAGTGGGATGTAAAAACAAAAACCAAATCGATTTCGATGATAAAATCGGAAAATGATTTATTTTTTCGATATCCTTAAAGGACAAAGTTAAGAATTTTCTTTTTTTTGCTTTTTTGTCTAGGAACATTGGTGTTGATTGGGTGGCTGAAATGGCATTTTGGTTTTCGCTGCTCTACAACATTGTCCGGACACTGCTGACCCTCTATTTGGCATCGCTGGTCAATGAATATACCAAAAAAATTCTATCCTGTTTACGTGATGTCCCGTCGAGGAGTTGGTGTGTGGAGGTGAGTGTGTGTGTGTGCGTTGTTGCTGCCGTTGTTATTGATTCGAGTACATTGATTTGTTGTTGTTTTTCTTTCTTAATTTTATTTATCCTCTTTGCTGCCTGCTTTTAAAGACTCAGCGTTTTAGTCAACAGCTATCGGTGGATGTGACAGCCTTTACAGCGGCCGGATTCTTTTCATTGACACGAGGACTAATATTGGGGGTAAATATTGACCCAATAGCCAATTGTTGTTGTTGTTTGTCTTTGTTGTTAAAAAAGAAAACTTTAATTTTTGTTTTTGCTTTTCCTGGGATATCAGATGACCGGCACTGTCGTCACCTACCAGCTAATGGTCACCGATGTCATCAATGAGGGTTCGATCAAACAAGTCACCGACTATTGTGAAAAATATGAACATTTCGAGGATAATTTTGATTTATATAATGAACAAAATGTTGAGTGAAATAATAAAGGACTATAAATATTTTTAAAAACCAAAGCAAGTGTGGATTTTTATACCATCCACTCAAAGATGGACGGCACCCTGCATATAAGGGTATCCTGCAAATCTAGGTATTTTTCATGAATTTGAACTGGCTAAAATTGTTATTCTGGATTTTCATTTTGGTACGTAAATTTTCTACGTACCAAAAATTATAAAATTCAGGATGCTGGGTAGCACACGAATAGAGATAGCGCCCCTAACTTGGATTGGATTTTTTAAGTTTATTTGTCAAGATTTTTTCATAGGTGTGGATTCACTTTCTGAGTCGATTTATGCATATCCGTCCTTCTGTTGGTGTTAAATTGTAAACAAAGTACAGGTCGCATTTATAATCCGAATTGGATGAAATTTGGCACAGCTCATATATTTGGGCCATGGACGAACCCTATCGAAATTTGGAAATATTGGTTCAGATTTAGATATACCTCCCATATATATGTTCGCCCGATTTAAGGTAAATGGTGCACCAAAGTCCCTATAAATCTTTCGATTTGCACGAAATTTGGCGCAGCGAACTGAATTAATCCAAGAAAGATGTGTACAAAGTTTCCCAAAAATCGGTTCAGATTTAGATATAGCTCCCATATATATGTTCGTCCGATTTAAGGTAAATGGTGCACCAAAGTCCCTAAAAATCTTTCGATTTGCACGAAATTTGGCACAGCGTACTGAATTGAGCCTAGAATGATGTGTGTTAAGTTTCGTGAAAATCGGTTCAGATTTAGATATAGCTCCCATATATATCTTCGTCAGATTTAAGGTAAATTGTGTACCAAAGTCCCTATATATCTTTCGATTTGCACGAAATTTGGCACAACGTACTAAATTAAGTCTAGAATGATATGCGCAAAGTTTCGTGAAAATCGGTTCAGATTTAGATATAGCTCCCATATATAGTTTCGTCCGATTTAAGATAAATATTCCACTAAAGTCCCTGGAAATCTATTGATTCGTATGAATTTTGGCATAGTGTACTGAATTAAGTCTAGAATGATATGTGCCATATATATTTTCTTCCGATTTAAGGTAAATGGTGCACCAAAGTCCGTATATATCTTTCGATTTGCACGAAATTTGACACAGCGTACTGAATTAAGCCAAGAAAGATGTGTGCAATGTTTACTAAAAATCAGTTCAGATTTAGATATAGCTCCCATATATGTATTTGCCCGATTTAATGTAAATGGTATACCAAAGTCCCTATATATCTTTCGATTTGCACGAAATTTGCCACAGCGTACTGAATTGAGCCTAGAATGATATGTGTTAAGTTTCGTGAAAATCGGTTCAGATTTAGATATAGCTCCCATATATAGTTTCGTCCGATTTATGGTAAATGGTGCACCAAAGTCCTTATTTTTCGATTTGCACGAAATTTTGTATAGCGTACTGAATTAAGTCTAGAATGAGGTGTGTAAATTTTCTTGAAAATCGGTCCAGATTTAGATATAGCTCCCGTATATATTTTCGTCCGATTTGAGGTAAATGGTGCGCCAAAGTCCCTATATATCTTTTGATTTGCACGAAATTTGCCACAGCGTACTGAATTGAGCCTAGAATGATGTGTGTTAAGTTTCGTGAAAATCGCTTCAGATTTAGATATAGCTCCCATATATATTTTCGGCCGATTTAAGGTAAATGGTGTCCAAAGTCCGTATATATATTTCGATTTGCACGAAATTTAGTATAACGTAATGAATTGAGCCTAGACTGATGTCTGCCAAGTTTCGTGAAAATCGGTCCAGATTTATATATAGCTCCCATATATAGTTTCGTCCGATTTCATGTAAATGGTGCACCAAAGTCCCTATATATCTTTCGATTTGCACCAAATTTGGCATAACGTACTGAATTGAGCCTAGAGTGATGTCTGCCAAGTTTCGAGAAAATCGGTCCAGATTTAGATATAGCTCCCATATATATCCTTCAATTTGCACGAAATTTGGCATATCGTACTGAGACTTAGATATAGCTCCCATATATAGTTTCCTGCGATTTCATGTAAATGGTGCACCAAAGTCCCTATATATCCTTCGATTTGCACGAAATTTGACATAACGTACTGAATTGCGACTAGAGTGATGTCTGCCAAGTTTCGTGAAAATCGGTCAAGGTGTAGATATAGTTCCGATTTAATGTAAATTTAGTCCAGAATGATGGGTGCCAAGATTCGTGAAAATCGATTGAGATTTAGATATAGCTCCCGTTTGAAGTCGATTTACATACTTTTGTCCCATTGTAACAAACTAATGGATAGATCTAGGTAGATTCATATTTAGATAAATGTCATCAGCTGTTTAATATACCCATAGTGGTGAAGGGTATCATATAGTCAGCCCCAACCGACTTTACTGCTTTCCTTACTGCTTTAAATTAACTTTGTATGATTTTTTTTCAATCTTGCAATCAATCAAAAAGATTTCCATCGTTACTTACTTCCTTCGAACAAATATCGTTTGACATTTCAATTTCAAAACCAAATCCGCAATTCCGAACTTTTGGTGCAACATGTTTTTTTTATTCCAACATCTAATTAAATGTCTTCGGATGTTAACTACCTGAAAACACTGAGCACTACCTGAAAACACATACATAGTTCAAACACACGTTGATAACAACAACTACCTCACGTGCAACAACAACGACAACACGAATGATAATGTATTCCGCAAATGAATAAAAATGTTTTAATTAATTAACAAACAGTTGCCTGGCAGTCAGCCAAAGTCACAACTCAATTACGAATAGGCTGCTGTTCGACGACCATATATCCGGTAATCCATCAAATCGATGGTGGCAGTGATGGTGGCGGAATTCGTGATAGAGAAGATGAGTGTTGTGTGTGATTTCGACAAGAAAAAAAAAACAAATCAAACCATAGATAAAGCCTCACTGACAAATTAATTTGTTATTCAGGTATGTTAGAATGAACTTTGAAACATGTGGTAATGAGTATGGCATTGCCTTGTTTGAAAGGACTTGTCAGTATGAATTGTTGTAAGATGTGTGAAACTATTCTTCAACATCTTTTAATTAGATATTCATTTGATGGCATTCTCATGTTAACATTTTTAATGACGTAATTGTTATGGAATAGATAAATGGCGGGTTGGAGACTGAACAAATAAAATTCGTAGAAATCTACAAAAATCCAACATCCTTCGTTGGCCCTTAAAAAAAATTTAAGAAAAAATTTTAAATTTTTTTAGACATTTATCAAAATGTAGGTAGTTAAAAAAATTATAATAATTTTTGCATATTAATGAAAAAGAAAAAAAATAATTTGTGATGGTTAATAAAAAATATTTATTTATTAATATATGTGTGTGTGTTTTTTAATTTTCAGTACCAATTTTCAAATTTTTTGTACCATAATTTAAATTTGATGTGATAATCGGAAATAAATTCAATAAATGCGTGTCACCAACTAATTTCATATCATTTTTTACCCAAAAGGCAACTAATGCAAATTCAACAGTATGACTATTTACATATCTATTCACAGTATACAAACAAATAATCAGGATATGCATAGAAAATCATGATAAACCAGTAAGGTAACCAGTAGTAAAGTCGGACGTGGCTGACTATATGATACCCTTCACCACTTTGGGTATATTCAACAGATGAATCCTAACAGACGTCGCATTTTTAAAGGACCAGTAAAATGAAATTGGATCCATAAACATGTCATTCTGCAACCGATACTAAATTTTTCATTTGGTCAGATATAGAAGCTATATCTAAATCTGGACCGATTTTCAGGAAACTCAACACACATCATTCCAGATCTTATTCAGTACGCCGTGCAAATCGAATGATATATAGGGACTTTGGTACACCATATACCTTAAATCGGACGAAAATATATATGGGAGCTATATCTAAATCTGAACCGATTTACAGGAAACTTAACACACATAATTTTAAACCTAATTCAGTGCGCCGTGCCAAATTTCGTGCAAATCGAAAGATATATAGAGACTTTGGTACACCATTTACCTTAAATCGGATGAGAATATATATGGGAGCTATATCTAAATCTGAACCGATTTTCAGGAAACTTATCACACATCATTCTAGGCCTAATTCAGTACGCTGTGCCAAATTTGGTGCAAATCGAAAGATATATAATGACTTTGGTACACCATATACATTATATCGGGCGAAGATATATATGGCAGCTATGTCTAAATCTGGACCGATTTACAGGAAACTTAACACACATCATTTTAGACCTAATTCAGTGCGCCGTGCCAAATTTCGTGCAAATCGAAAGATATATAGGGACTTTGGTACACCATTTACCTTAAATCGGATGAGAATATATATGGGAGCTATATCTAAATCTGAACCGATTTTCAGGAAACTTAACACACATCATTTTAGACCTAATTCAGTGCGCTGTGCCAAATTTGGTGCAAATCGAAAAATATATAATGACTTTGGTACACAATATACATTAAATCGATCGAAAATATATATGGGAGCTATATCTAAATCTGGACAGATTTTCAGGAAACTTAACACACATCATTCTAGACCTAATTTAGTACGCTGTGCCAAATTTCGTCCAAATCAAAAGATATATGGGGACATTGGTACACCATTTACCTTAAATCGGACGAGAATATATATGGGACCTATATCTAAATCTGGGATGATTTTCAGGAAACTTAATTTAACCTAATTTAGTACTCTGTGCCAAATTTCGTCCAAATCGAAAGATATATAGGGACTTTAAATCGGACGAAATATATGGGAGCTATATCAAAATTGAACAGATTTTTCCCAATTTCTATAGGGTTCGTCCTTGGGCCAAACAAATGAGCTGTGCCAAATTTCATCCAATTCGGATCATAAATTCGACCTGCATTTTGTTTACAATTTAACATGAACAGACAGACGGACGGACATGTATAAATCGACTTAGAAAGTGATTCTATGCATATTCGCAAAGGGAACCATGTGTCTATCTCGTTTCCTTTTGCCTGTTACAAACATATGCACAAAGACATAATACCCTGTACCACAGTGTGGTAAAGGTTATACAAATTTTGCATTGCATTTCTTGACAGTTTTCAACAAAAGATGACAGGAGGTGTGGAAGACCATGTTTGTGGCCGATAATTTCTGCGGATCGTCAGTGGAAAAATTATAGGTAATTTTAGTTTAAAATTGTAATTGAATTACAACAGTGTAACGGAGAGGACCGATAAAACAGTGCGCTTTAGAAAAAATAAATTACTTAATTTGTGCGCTAATGGAGAGACAGACATTTCATCAGCCAATGGGAAAAAGTATGTGTGGAATAATTTGTTAAATTTAACCTTTTAAAGAATTTGAAGATTTCTTAAAAAAAAATTCGGAGAATATTTTGAGCATGAATTTTTAAAATTATTTTTTTACGGAATATTTTTAGGCGTGGATATTTATAGCCTACCGTCATATATATACCGTCATATCTCGACTAGCTGAGCCGATCTAGACATGTGTGTCCGTACAGGCCACAGCTATGGACCAATCTTCACGAAATTTTGAATGTAGGATGGGTTCGGCTCAATGAGGACCCCTATTGTTTTTGGTAAAGATGGAATGGACCAAATACTTAATTTTTTCGGTTTTTCTGGTCGCTCCAGAGGCCGAAATTATGGTCCAAACTTCTCGAATTTGTACTTGGGGAAGGGGATCGGGCCAGAGAATAAGCATGCCTGTTTTGATAAAGATCGGTCAATATTTAGCGTGTCAAATGGACCCTGACTTTTGTGTGAAAATGACAAAATTTGTATTCTATAACGTATATATTTACCCCTGAAGGACATAGACCCGAGAAGTTAATAGTATACCCAAGAGGAGTGGTTGACCTTTAAATTGATACCAATTATAGTGTCGTATGTACTCGGATGTGGGAGTTACACTTAAATATTTACAAGTGCTTACGTATTTAGATATTATTTAGTAACACTAGAGGGCGGAAATATAGCGCTGATGGCTTGGAAGTTTTCCATGAGGATCCAGGTATGGTCAAGGACAACGTCTATAATTTTCGGTGATGATCAGATAATAATATTGGGATGAAGTGGACGGAAAACGTATTTTTTCTGTTTTTTCGAATCGATGTACAGGCCACAATTGAAAGCCGAACATCACAAAACAACCCACGTTGAAGGGAATTTGGACAAGTAATTAGAAGGACTGTACTGAATATTAGTAATATTTGTTGATCTCTAGTGGGTCAAGAGGGTGCAAATATCACGAAATATTGCCCAAGCTCAGAATGTGGTTCCACAGATGTTCATGGAAGTTATGTAGGGTATCATATGGTCGTCATTGGTTAAAATTATTTTTTCGAGAATATTTTTAGGTGTGGATATTTTCAAATTTATTTTTAGGCGTGGATTTTTTTAAAAGTATTTTTCAAGGCATACTGCAGCCTATAATAAACTTTTCATTTGGACCGGACATACTGAAAGCAAATATCAATCGGACCGCTTATTAATCACTGGTTAAAATTATTTTTAGAGAATATTTTTAGCTTTTTCACTTAAATTCGGACTGAAATATATATGGGAGCTATATATAGATCTAAACCGAATTCAACGAAACTTTACAGAAGTTGGACTTCAGTAACTTCAGCTCATTGTGCTAACTTTTACGGTAATCGGACATATTTAGGGTCCTTGGTGCACCATTTACTTAAAATCGGACGAAACTACATATGGGAGCTATATATAAAGCTGAACCGATTCCAACGAAACTTGACACGGGTTATGCAAACGGCCTATCTTTGGGTCGTTGGTGCACATTTTAAAATTTAAAATCGGACGAAAATATATATGGGAGCTATAAATATATCTGAACCGATTTTCACGAAACTTAACACACATAATTCTTGACTTAGTTTAGTATGCTATGCCAAATTTCGTACAAATCGATTGATATATAGGGACTTTGGTATACCATTTACATTAAATCGGTCTGAAATATATATGGGAGCTATATCTAAATCTGGGCCAATTTTCACGAAACTTAACACACATCATTCTAGGCTCAATTCAGTACGTTATGCCAAATTTCATGCAAATCGAAATATATTTAGAAACTTTGGTGCACTATTTACCTTAAATCGGACGAAAATATACATGGGAGCTGTATCTAAATCTGAACCGATTTTTACGAAATTTAACACATATTATTCTTAACTTTATTCAGTACGTTATGCCAAATTACGTGCAAATCGAAAGACGTATAGGGACTTTGGTACACCATTTACTTTAAATCCGACGAAAATATATATGGGAGCTATAGCTAAATCTGAACCGATTTTCAGGAAACTTAACACATATCATCCTTAACTTTATTTAGTACGCTGTGCCAAATTTCGTGCAAATCGAAAGATGTATAGGGACTTTGGTACACCATTCACCTTAAATCCGACGAAAATATATTTTCGATTTTCAGGAAACTTAACACACATCATTCTTGACCTAATTCATTACACTGTACCAAAATTCGTGCAAATCGAAATATATATAGGGACTTTTACCTTTAAACGAAAATAACAAAACCGTTTCTGTTCTCTCTCTCTCTCTCCCTCTCTTTTCAGTTTTGTTTATCTCACAGGTGTTCGCCTTATTTCCCATATCAAATGTTTATCACGAAAATATTGCGAAATTACGCTACAAATGGTTGAGCTTTCCCGTGGCCTATGCATCGCTAATTATGATTCTAAATTTATTGGAATTTGTGGCGGTCAATTATTATATTTTTGTGAGAGGAATTAATTTTCATTCATTGGGTGAGATTGACAGGCAAAATAATTTAATTTAAAAAGTTTACATCAAAATACACGTTTCTACAGGTACAATTGCCCTATTTTGGGTCTGCTTGCTGGAACATTATTTCTTTTGGCGTATGTCCGCCAAATGGCCACGTCTTATGAGGCAATGGCGTCAGATGGAGGAGATATTCTTTAAGTCACCCTATCCCAATTATTTCACCTTTAATATGAAATTTTGGCTATGGTTCTGGTATTTGATTATTATGTGCAGTGGATTGAGTGAGTGATGTGTGAGGCCATTTTGGGTTTAAAATTTCCAAATCATTACACTTTTCAGCGGAACACTGTTTATTGGTCTTCAACTTCTTTCAAAAGGCCGACTTGGAGCGTACCCAATGTAATCTCAATGTCAGCTATTGGGAAACATTGTATGACCGTGAAAGGCCTCATCTGAGATTGGTAATACCGTTTCATGTCTGGTTATTGCCTGTATTGGAGGTATGCAGATCATTGAACAAAAAATTTAAACAAAAATAATTCAAAAACTATAATTTTAGTGGCTAAATTTAACACTGGCCTATCCACGTAATTTTACCGATGCCTTTATTGCCTTGGTCAGTATTGGATTGGCGACTAGATTTCGTCAAATATATATGCGCATCAAACAGGTGCAGGGAAAGGTAAGAACAAATACATTTAAACAAATCAGTGATGTCTGCCAAGTCTCGTGAAAATCGGTCCAGATTTAGATATAGCCCCCATATATAGTTTCGTCCGATTTTATGTAAATGGTGCACCAAAGTCCCTATATACATTTCGATTTGCACGAAATTTGACATAACGTGCTGAATTGAGACTACAATGATGGCTGATAAGTTTCGTGAAAACCGGTTCAGATTTAGATATAGCTTCCATATATAGTTTCGACCGATTTTATGTAAATTGTGCACCAAAGTCCCTATATATCTTTCGATTTGCACGAAATTTGGCATAACGTACTGAATTGAGCCTAGAGTGATGTCTGCCAAGTTTCGTGAAAATCGGTTCAGATTTATATATAGCCCCATATATATTTTCGTCCGATTTAATGTAAATCGTGCACCAAATTCCCTAAATATCTTACGATCTGAACGAAATTTGGAATAACATACTGAATTGAGACTAGAGTGATGTCCGCCAAGTTTCGTGAAAATCGGTTCGGATTTAGATATAGCCCCCATATATAGTTTCGTCCGATTTAATGTAATTGGTGCATCAAAGTCCCTATATATCTTACGATCTGAACGAAATTTGGCATAACATACTGAATTGAGTCCAGACTGATGTCTGCCAATTTTCGTGAAAACCGGTTCGGATTTAGATATAGCCTTATATATAGTTTCGTCCGATTTAATGTAAACGTTCCCTATATATCTTTCGATTTGAACCTAGAACCTAGAATAATGTCTGCCAAGTTTCGTGAAAATCGGTTCAGATTTATATATAGCCCCATATATATTTTCGTCCGATTTATAGCCCCCATATATAGTTTCGTCCGATTTAATGTAATTGGTGCATCAAAGTCCCTATATATCTTTCGATTTGCACGAAATTTGGCATAACGTACTGAATTGAGCCTAGAGTGATGTCTGCCAAGTTTCGTGAAAATCGGTTCGGATTTAGATATAGCCCCCATATATAGTTTCGTCCGATTTAATGTAATTGGTGCACCAAAGTCCCTATATATCTTTCGATTTGCACGAAATTTGGCATAACGTACTGAATTGAGCCTCGATTGATGTCTGCCAAGTTCGTGAAAGTCGGTTCGGATTTAGATATAGCCCCATATATAGTTTCTTCCGATTTTATGTAAATGGTGTACCAAAGTCCCTATATATCTTTCGATTTGCACGAAATTTGACATAACGTGCTGAATTGAGACTACAATGATGGCTGATAAGTTTCGTGAAAATCGGTTCAGATTTAGATATAGCTTCCATATATAGTTTCGACCGATTTTATGTAAATTGTGCACCAAAGTCCCTATATATCATTCGATTTGCACGAAATTTGGCATAACGTACTGAATTGAGCCTAGAGTGATGTCTGCCAAGATTCGTGAAAATCGGTTCGGATTTAGATATAAGCTCCATATATAGTTTCATCCGATTTAATGTAAATTGTGCACCAAAGTACCTATATATCTTTTGATTTGCACGAAATTTGGCATAACATATTGAATTGAGCCTAGAGTAATGTCTGCCAAGTTTCGTAAAAATCATTTCAGATTTAGATATAGCTCCCATACATAGATTCGTCCGATTTTATGTAAATGGTGCACCAAAGTCCCTATATATCATTCGATTTGCACGAAATTTGGCACAACACGCTGAATTGAGCCTAGAATGATATTTGCCAAGTTTCGTGAAAATCGGTTCGGATTTAGATATAGCTCCCATACATAGATTCGTCCGATTTAATGTAAATGGTGCACCAAAGTCCCTATATATCTTTCGATTTGCACGAAATTTGGCATAACGTACTGAAATGATCGTAGAATTATGTCTGCCATGTTTCGTGAAAATCTGTTCAGATTTAGATATAGCTCACATATATAGTTCCGTCCGATTTTATGTAAATGATGCACCAAAGTCCTTACATATCTTTCGATTTGCCCGAAATTTGGCATAACATACTGAATTGAGTCTAGAGTGATGTTTGCCAAGTTTCGTGAAAATCGGTTCGGATTTATATATAGCTCCCATATATAGTTTCGTCCGATTTTATGTAAATTGTGCACCAAAGTCCCTATATATCTTTCGATTTGCACGAAATTTGGCATGGCATTCTGAATTGAACCTGATGTGACGTCTGCCTAGTTTCGCGAAAATCGGTTCAGATTTAGATATAGCTTCCATATATATTTTCGACCGATTTAATGTAAATGGTCCCTAAAAGTTTTCTTGTTTTATTCAGCCCATGCCCTCAATCTTCTGGCTGGAAACCCGAGAACATTATCTGCTGGTGAAAAAACTTCTTCGCAGTCTCAACAAAGAAATGTCCGCACTGATTTTGCTGTCAGGTGCCAACAATATGTACTTTATTTGTTGTCAATTATTTAACAGTTTTAGGTAAGTACATTATATCCTTGGGCCATGAGGACATTGCTTGTAAATCTAGATTCCTGTTTACAAAATGCATGTCCTTTGGCATTTTTCTGTTCTTGTTGTTTCTTCTTCTTCTTCTTTTACAGCAACATTGGTGTAGATTGGGTTGCTGAAATGGCTTTCTGGTTCTCGTTGCTTTACAATATTTTCCGAACGATTGTAACATTTTCTTTGGCCTCAATGCTGGACGAGTATACGAAGAAGATAATCATCTGTTTGCGTGATGTACCATCCCGGTCCTGGTGTACAGAGGTGGGTGGGAGTTTCTTTTTTTTCATCATTATTCAATGGTTATTAAAAATGGATTTTGTTTTTCATTGTTGGTCCCTTGGATGGTTGTTGATGTGCTGTAATCTCCTTTGAAGACTCAACGCTTTAGCCAACAACTATCGGTGGATGTAACAGCTTTCACGGCAGCCGGTCTCTTTACATTGACTCGCAAACTAATTTTGGCTGTAATGACAATTTATATTCGATGATGTTTTTGTACCTCAGCTTATTTTAATTAATGAAGCTTTCTCGTTTGTTTTTCTTTCTTTTGACAAATTTGTGTTGACCTGCAACATCTCTGCTGCTAACGACGACGATGATGATGTGCAAAAAATTGCAAATTGCTTATAGATGGCCAGCACTGTTGTCACTTATCAGCTGATGGTATCCAATGTTATTAATGAGGGCGCCATTAAACAAGTGACAAATTATTGCAAACATTATGAGCGTTTTGAGGAACCACTAGCTGAGACTGCTGCTGCTGCCGAACAAATTTCCTTAATTTAAAGCTATAATGGAAGTAATAATTTTTGAGGACGTTAAATAAATTATTCCTAACGATAACAAAAATATTAAACAAATGTATTTAAATGTTAATAAACTACATGGAAAAGATTTATTAATTTCTTTGTTTACATACACGAGCTTAGTACGGCAAAGGGAGCGTATGAGCAATATTTAATTTAGGAAATGTAAATCATACACCATGATGAACCACAAAGGACAAAGTCTTTAAAAAATCCACGCCTAATGTTTCGGATGGTTCTTTGAAGAAATTCTTTAAAAAATCCACGCCTAATGTTTCGGATGGTTCTTTGAAGAAATTCTTTAAAAAATCCACGCCTAATGTTTCGGATGGTTCTTTGAAGAAATTCTTTAAAAAATCCACGCCTAATGTTTCGGATGGTTCTTTGAAGAAATTCTTTAAAAAATCCACGCCTAATGTTTCGGATGGTTCTTTGAAGAAATTCTTTAAAAAATCCACGCCTAATGTTTCGGATGGTTCTTTGAAGAAATTCTTTAAAAAATCCACGCCTTCTGACAATGGGATGGCTTTTAAGAAATTCTTTAAAAAATCCACGCCTTCTGACAATGGGATGGCTTTTAAGAAATTCTTTAAAAAATCCAAAATGGTTCTTTGAAAAAATATTTTTAAAAAATCCACGCCTAATGTTGTTCTTTGAAAAAATTTTTAAAAAATCCACGCCTAATGTTTCGGATGGTTCTTTGAAAAAATATTCTTTAAAAAATCCACGCCTAATGTTTCGGATGGTTCTTTGAAGAAATTCTTTAAAAAATCCACGCCTAATGTTTCGGATGGTTCTTTGAAAAATTCTTTAAAAAATCCACGCCTAATGTTTCGGATGGTCCTTTGAAAAAAATTCTTTAAAAAATCCACGCCTAATGTTGGTCCATGAAAAAATATTTTTAAAAAATCCACGCCTAATGTTGATCCATTAAATTTTTTTTTAAAAATCCACGCCTAATGTTGATCCATTAAAATTTTTTTTTAAAAATCCACGCCTAATGTTGGTCCATGAAAAAATATTTTTAAAAAATCCACGCCTAATGTTGGTCCATGAAAAAATATTTTTAAAAAATCCACGCCTAATGTTGGTCCATGAAAAAATATTTTTAAAAAATCCACGCCTAATGTTGGTCCATGAAAAAATATTTTAAAAAATCCACGCCTAATGTTTCGGATCCACGCCTAATGTTCCATGAAAAAATTTTTTAAAAAATCCACGCCTAATGTTGGTCCATGAAAAAATTCTTTAAAAAATCCACACCCATGATAGCTCCTCAAAAAATATTCTTTAAAAAATCCACTCCTCTGTTGTTGGTTCTTTGAAAAAATTCTTTAAAAAATCCACGCCTAATGTTTCGGATGGTTAAAAATTCTTTAAAAAATCCACGCCTAATGTTTCGGATGGTTCTTTGAAGAAATTCTTTAAAAAATCCACGCCTAATGTTTCGGATGGTTCTTTTAAGAAATTCTTTAAAAAATCCACGCCTAATGAAAAGATGGTTCTTTGAAAAAAAATCTTTAAAAATCCACTCCTAATGGTCGGATGGTTCTTTGAAAAAAATCTTTAAAAAATCTACGCCTAATGGTCGGATGGTTCTTTGAAAAAAAATCTTTAAAAAATCCACGCCTACTGGTCGGATGGTTCTTTGAAAAAAATCTTTAAATAATCCACGCCTAATGGTCGGATGGTTCTTTGAAAAAAAATCTTTAAAAAATCCACGCCTAATGGTCGGATGGTTCTTTGAAAAAAATCTTTAAAAAATCCACGCCTAATGGTCGGATGGTTCTTTGAAAAAAATTTTTAAAAAATCCACGCCTACTGGTCGGATGGTTCTTTGAAAAAAATCTTTAAATAATCCCCGCCTAATGGTCGAATGGTTCTTTGAAAAAAATTTTTAAAAAATCCACGCCTAATGGTTCGGATGGTTCTTTGATTTTTTCCACGCTTAACGATCGAAAGGTACTTTGAAGAAATTCTTTAAGATATCCACCCCAAATGGTCGGATGTTTCTAAAAAAATTATAAATACAAATTTTCCCATACACGTGTGCCATCAGAATAACTGTGACGCATTTCGATTACATTCTAACTGTCAACTATTTACATTTTGACATTCATATTGCAACAACAACAACCACAATAACACTTGAATAACCCAAAGAAATGCTCATAATTGTATTTTAGCATAATGGCATAAATTTTTAATTAAAACCAATATCAAATAAAAGTCAATAACGACAACTTTGGTAATTCTCAACGACAACAACAACCACAGTAACAATAACAACAACAAGAGCAACAACAGCAGCATCATTGAAAAGCTGTAGCAATTATTGCTACTTGACCAAATAGCTAACAACAGCCTACACACCAGCACACACACAAACACACGATTGTTGCACAATCGATGTGGCAAGGAGATATTGACAACAATAATTTTACACATCTGTCAAGTGTCAATATTCGAACAGAAATTGTTGTGGTCCTTTAACACTTCGGATTCCTTTCAGTCAAATAAATATTTACAAAAGGCTTACCAGATGTTTTGCTGTTCACTTAGATGGTCTCTCTCTCTCGCTCTTTGCCTCTCTCTCTTTCTCTCAACATGGCTACTGATGATTTCTAATGGCTTCCAATAATGAAATTTAATTTTTATTGAGTCAAGGCAATCATTTGTGCAGGTCAAAACTTTCAACCCATCCTTCACCTGGCATCTGACGGACATCGAAATCAGAGAACAAATGTTTGAAATAAATGTTTTGTGGTATTGGGATGCTTTGCTTTCTTGAAAAACTTTTCAAATGAAATCACCATAACGACAGCCAAGACGAAGAAGTAATAAAACTGCAAAGAAGGCCATTCTCAGGAAATGGACATAAAATGAAAGGATTCAAAACACGAGGCTAGTATGAAGTATCTGAAGTAAATAGAGAGGGTCTAGACGAGCCATTAAATTGCAAGTTTTAAATATTTTTCTTCAAAGGAACATAATTGTTTAAAGAAAATGTTCTAAGGAACACCGGAACATTAGGTCTGGAGTTTTTAAAGAATATTTTTAAAAGATTTTTTTTTTCAAAGAACCATCCGACCATAGGCGTGATTTTTTAAAGCGTGGATTTTTTTTTTTCAAAGAATCATCCGACCATTAGGCGTGGATTTTTTAAAGAATATTTTTCAAAGAACCATCCGACCATTAGGCGTGGATTTTTTAAACAATTTTTTCAAAGAATCATCCGACCATTAGGCGTGGATTTTTTAAACAATTTTTTCAAAGAATCATCCGACCATTAGGCGTGGATTTTTTAAACAATTTTTTCAAAGAATCATCCGACCATTAGGCGTGGATTTTTTAAACAATTTTTTCAAAGAATCATCCGACCATTAGGCGTGGATTTTTTAAACAATTTTTTCAAAGAATCATCCGACCATTAGGCGTGGATTTTTTAAAGAATTTTTTCAAAGAACCATCCGAACCATAGGCGTGGATTTTTTAAATATCTTTTTCAAAGAACCATCCGACCATTAGGCGTGGATTTTTTAAATAAATTTTCCAAAGAATCATCGGACCATTAGGCGTGGATTTTGTAAAGAAATTTTCCAAAGAATCATCGGACCATTAGGCGTCGATATTTTAGAGAATTTTTATTTCCAAAGAATCATCGGACCATTAGGCGTGGATTTTTTAAATAACTTTTCCAAAGAATCATCGGACCATTAGGCGTGGATTTTTTAAATAACTTTTCCAAAGAATCATCGGACCATTAGGCGTGGATTTTTTAAATAACTTTTCCAAAGAATCATCGGACCATTAGGCGTGGATTTTTTAAATAACTTTTCCAAAGAATCATCGGACCATTAGGCGTGGATTTTTTAAATAACTTTTCCAAAGAATCATCGGACCATTAGGCGTGGATTTTTTAAATAACTTTTCCAAAGAATCATCGGACCATTAGGCGTGGATTTTTTAAATAACTTTTCCAAAGAATCATCTGACCATTAGGCGTGGATTTTTTAAATAACTTTTCCAAAGAATCATCGGACCATTAGGCGTGGATTTTTTAAATAACTTTTCCAAAGAATCATCGGACCATTAGGCGTGGATTTTTTAAATAACTTTTCCAAAGAATCATCGGACCATTAGGCGTGGATTTTTTAAATAACTTTTCCAAAGAATCATCGGACCATTAGGCGTGGATTTTTTAAATAACTTTTCCAAAGAATCATCGGACCATTAGGCGTGGATTTTTTAAATAACTTTTCCAAAGAATCATCGGACCATTAGGCGTGGATTTTTTAAATAACTTTTCCAAAGAATCATCGGACCATTAGGCGTGGATTTTTTAAATAACTTTTCCAAAGAATCATCGGACCATTAGGCGTGGATTTTTTAAATAAATTTTCCAAAGAATCGTCGGACCATTAGGCGAGGATTTTTTAAATAAATTTTCCAAAGAATCGTCGGACCATTAGGCGAGGATTTTTTTTATAAATTTTCCAAAGAATCGTCGGACCATTAGGCGAGGATTTTTTTTATAAATTTTCCAAAGAATCGTCGGACCATTAGGCGTGGATTTTTTAAAGAATTTTTCCAAAGAATCATCGGACCATTAGGCGTGGATTTTTTAACGATTTTCTTCAAAGGAACCATCCGACCATTAGGCTTGGATTTTTTAACGAATTTTTTCAAAGAACCACCGGACAATTAGGCGTGGATTTGTTTTAGAATTTTTCAAAAAAACCATCCGACGACTAGGCGTGGATCTCTTTTAATTTTTTTTCAAGGAACCATCCGACCACTAGGCGTGGATCTGTTTTAAATTTTTTTCAAGGAACCATCCGACCACTAGGCGTGGGTCTGTTTTAATTTTTTTTTTCAAGGAACCATCTTCGTTTTTCAAAATAATATTATCCCTGACTCTTTGTACATATTCTCCGAATATGTTCGTATTGACAAATAAACCAAAAATCAGTTTAATGTGAACAACTGAATTCTTGCAATTAAGTTACGTATGGGAAAATTGTGTCATGCATTTGGACAGGTGAGATGAAAATTTGCATTTTCTAAAGACCACACAATTTACATACATTTCTAAGTTCATTTAAGAAATGTTATAAAAGGTTTGGAGATTCAAATATGTTAATGTCTTTGTGGGAAATAGGAAATTTCCAATCAGTGATGTAATTTGCATTTCTGGTTCCATTGCAGTTGAGTGAAATGGTTTAAATTGGGGGAGGGCAAGATGTTAAATATTAAAGTACCAAGTATGGCCTTCGAATTGGCTGACATTAAATGCATGTAAATATTTGACAATTGTGAAAATTTAAATTCTTTTTTTTTGAATTTGTATAAAATGTTTTAAAAGCTGAATCGATATTCCAGAGTCTTCGAAATTTTCTAGATCATAATTTTGGGAATTGTTATTTTTTTACCATGGAAATTTTGAAATTTCCTTCTTTACTATTTTTTTTAATTATTCACATTTAAAACTGTGTCCCTGAGTACGCCTGTCCTGTAACTCCAAACCAAAGCTCCATTTAAAAACTAAATGTTTACACCTTCATTAAGAAAAAAATACGCACAAGAAATTAAATTCTTTACTGAACAGAATTCAATTCGAAAGGATAACAATCACAACAGACCATCGCATACACATACACACACACAGCGTACCTATTATGGGAGGGTGTTGATGTTACAGACACCAGATACATATCAGTGACGGCAGTTAAAGTTTACAAACTCCACAGGTAAAAAAAACCAACAACAAAAACGACATATCCCATTAATCAAGTCATGCAAGCTGGTCAAATATATAAGGAAGAGTGCATGTGTGTGTGCTTGTGTATCAATGACCATGAAACGTGGACAACCGGTGAATTTGATTAGTAAAACCGAAGGCAGACCAAAAAAATTGAAATGGGGTGATGAGACACATTCGAAAAATACTTTGAAAAATAATTTGGAACATATCCTAGCTTAGTGATGCGATGTTTTCTAGAAAATAATATACACCTTGTGTTCCAATGGTCGCTGGAAAACTTTATTAAAAAATCCACGCTCAATGGTCTGATAGTTCATTGAAAAACAATTTTAAAATAAATCCTAATGTACGGGTGATTCTTTAAAAAAATCGCCTAATAGTAGAATGGTCCTTTGAAAAAATCTTAATATGCGGGAATTTATTTGAAAACATTCTTTAAAAAATCCACGCCAAAGGGTCGGATGGTTCATAGAATTAAAAGCCATGTCTAATGATCCGGATGTTTTATTGAAAAAAATCTTTAAAAAGTCCACGGTTAAAGACCGAATGGTTCCTAGAAGAAATTCTTTAAAAAGTCCACGCCTAAAGGCCGGATGGTTTCTTAAAAAATTCTTTAAAAAGTCCACGCCAAAAGGCCGGATGGTTCCTTGAAAAAATTCTTTAAAAAGTCCACGCCTAAAGGCCGGATGGTTCCTTGAAAAAAATCTTTTTAAAAGTCCACGTCTAAAGACCGGATGGTTTCTTTAAACAAATCTTGAAATATTCCAATTCTAAAGACCGGGTGGTTCCTTGAAAAAATTCTTTAAGAAGTCCAGGACAAAAGGCTGGATGGTTCCTTGAAATTTTTTTTTTAAAAAGTCCACGGCTAAAGGCCGGATGGCTCATTGAAAAAATTATTTAAAAAGTCCACGTCTAAAGACCGGATGGTTCCTTGAAACAAATCTTTAAAGATTCCAATTCTAAAGACCGGGTGGTTCCTCGAAAAAATTCTTCAAAAAGTCCACGCCTAAAGGCCGGATGGTTACTTGAAAAAAAATCTTTAAAAAGTCCACACCTAAAGGTCGGATGGTTCCTTAAAAAAATTCTTTAAAGAGTCCAAGCCTAAAGGCCGTATGGTTCCTTGAAAAAAAATATTTAAAAAGTCCACGCATAAAGCCCGGATGATTCATTGATTTTTTTTTTGAAAAATCCACACCAAAAGGCCGGTTGGCTCATTGAAAAAAAATCTTTAACAAATCCAGGCCTAATGGTTGGATGGTTCTTTCAAAATATTCTTGAAAAAAATCTTTTTAAAAGTCCATGTCTAAAGACCGGATGGCTCTTTGAAAAAAATCGTTAAAGAGTCCAAGCCTAAAGGCCGAATGGTTCCTTGAAAAAATCTTTAAAGAGTCCTAGTCTAAAAACCGGATGGTTTCTTGAATAAATTCTTTAAAAAATCCACGTCTAATGGTCAGATGGTTTTTTGAAAAAAAATCTTAATGTTCCTTAAAAAAGATCTAAGCCTTATGATCCGATGGTTCTTTAAAAAAAATATTAAAAACTTCATGCATTATGTTCGGATGCTTCTTTGAAAAATATCCTAAAAATATTCACGTTAGGATGATTCTTGGGAAAAAATTATTTCAAAAATCCAAAGCTAAATGTCGAATAATGGTTTGCTTTGCGTCAGGTAAACCTTCCAAAAATTTCCTATACAAACCCATACTTATTTGACCTTTTTTGGTAGATAACTAAATAGATCTTTCCAAAGGTAATCACCCTTTTTTGAAATGTCTGCCACTACATCAGATCTCTATCTTAATTTAATAAACATTTATTTTTCAACAAGAACCGAATGCATGGTATTTAAATTCCTACTTGAAACATTCAGTTGGAAACAAAAAATGGACAAGTAGATAAAATTCTAAACTCTGGCATTCGCAGGAACGTTGCAGCTACTGTCGAGAACAGTTTGGGGAAATTAAAACCAAAAAACCCGAACGAAAAAACTCTGTAACTGGAGAACTATTTGCAATTACAAAATAAAACTGTTATATTCGTGTGTGTGTGTGTGTGTGTGTGTGTAAAAAAACCTAGAACACATCAGATCAGAAATTGAATACGCCGACCACATGGTGCAAGTTAAAGTGCAGTCCTATGATGAACGTAACACCAAAAGTGTTCGAAATACTTTACATCATGCCTTGGGACCATGTAAGTGGGTGAGCGAAGAGGAGGACACGAAAACAAAGAATTAGTTTTAAGTGGATTTTTACTTTTTTTAATAATATCAGAGCATTAGGTGTACATTTTTTAAAAAAAATTTTCAAATAACCATCTGGTCATTAGGCGCGGATTTTTTAAAGAATTTTTTTCAAATAACCATCTTTTCATTAGGCGTGGATTTTTTAAAGAATTTTTTCAAATAACCATCTTTTCATTAGGCGTGGATTTTTTAAAGAATTTTTTTCAAATAGCCATCTTTTCATTAAGCCTGGCCATTAGGCGTGGATTTTTTAAAGAATTTTTTCAAGGAACCATCTGGCCATTAGGCGTGGATTTTTTAAATAATATTTTCAAGGAACCATCTTTTCCTTAGGCGTGGATTTTTTAAAGATTTTTTTCAAAGAACCATCCGACCATTAGGCGTGGATTTTTTAAAGAATTTTTTCAAATAACCATCTGGCCATTAGGCGTGGATTTTTTAAAGATTTTTTTCAAATAACCATCCGACCATTAGGCGTGGATTTTTTAAAGAATTTTTTCAAATAACCATCTGGCCATTAGGCGTGGATTTTTTAAAGAATTTTTTCAAGGAAGCATCTGGCCATTAGGCGTGGATTTTTTAAAGAATTTTTTCAAGGAACCATCTGGCCATTAGGCGTGGATTTTTTAAAGAATTTTTTCAAGGAACCATCTGGCCATTAGGCGTGGATTTTTTAAAGAATTTTTTCAAGGAACCATCTGGCCATTAGGCGTGGATTTTTTAAAGAATTTTTTCAAGGAACCATCTGGCCTTTATGTGTGGATATTTTGAAGAATTTTTTTTCGAATAACCTTTGGCCTTTAGGCGTAGATTTTTAAGGAATTTTTTCAAGAAACCATCTGGCCTTTATGCGTGGATTTTTTAAAGAATTTTTTCAAGGAAGCATCTGGCCATTAGGCGTGGATTTTTTAAAGAATTTTTTCAAGGAACCATTTGGCCATTAGGCGTGGATTTTTTAAAGAATTTTTTCGAGGAACCATCTGGCCATTAGGCGTGGATTTTTTAAAGAATTTTTTCAAGGAACCATCTGGTCATTAGGCGTGGATATTTTAAAGAATTTTTTCAAGGAACCATCTGGCCATTAGGCGTGGATTTTTTAAAGAATTTTTTCAAGTAACCATCTGGCCATTAGGCGTGGATTTTTTAAAGAATTTTTTCAAGGAACCTTTGGCCTTTAGGCGTGGATTTTTAAGGATTTTTTTCAAGGAACCATCTGGCCTTTAGGCATGGATTTTTTAAAGAATTTTTTTAAATAATCATCTGGCCACTTGGCTTGATTTTTGTTATTTTTTTCTCGAAAATCAGCTGGCCCTTAGTATGGAGTTTTTAACGAATTGTTTTTCCAAGAACCATCTGACATTTTAGCTTAAGTCATTTATTCCCAAAAACCATTTACTCCCCCTACGGATATATAAAAACACCCTCCAACAATGTCACATACACACATAGATTTTGTGCTTCCCTGAAATGGAATTTATTTTCCCAAAAATAAATTCTGTGCCATTTTTGTGACTCCAGTGATTTTTTTAAGTTTCCCCAACCCCCCTTCATCTTGCATTTTCTGCTCTTTTTCAGTCTTGGTGTTGTCACGTATCTTTGGCACCATGCCGGTATTGGGGGTATGGCCAAAGGCTGATGTCGCTCTGGTACGCTTCAGATGGTGTAGCTTGCCCGTGTTGGTGACACTCACCCTGTGCCTCTTCGCCACCATGGATTTGTTTCTCTCGCTGAAGGTGGTAACAGAAATGGGTATAATGCTGACAACAACAGGTAACACACACATGAACGTACATATGTATATAATATTTTGGACTGGAGGATAAACAAGTATTTAATATTTGTTGCTTCTTCACTTTGTAGGGCCCTTAAGCTTTAGCATCGAATGCCTTACCGGCTTCATTGTTTTCCTGTGGCTATCACGTAAGTGGCCAAATTTGATTAAGACCACACGACGTCTCGAAGTGATCTTTTTGCGGCCACCCTATGCCGCCTGTCCGGAATCACGAATGTTAAGTCAACGGATACGAGTGACAGGTACTCTCTTCTTGGTGGGTTCGGTGGGTATGTTCAAATGTTTCTGGCTTGAATTGTGTCGATTTTATTTGTGTTGTTGTTTTGGGATTTTTGTTGTTGTTATTTCTGGAGCCAGTGGAACACATGTGCTATGTGGGCAGTGGCATTTATAGCAATCATCTGCAAATCAAGGAGTGTAACTTAACTGTGGGCTTTTGGAAAAACTATTATATGCGGGAACGTTTACAATTCTTCTCACTGATCGAATATACGGTATGGCTGGTGCCACTATTGCAGGTAAGGGCGAGGTGATGGAGGTCTTGGGAGGTATTACATATAAGAGTTCTCTTGAGACCTTCATAAAATACTACAGCTAAACACGATCTCCGGAAGGTCCTAAGGCTTGAGGAGAGGTCTAAAAAGACATCTAGAGTGCTACAAAAAACTAATTTTTTATGGAAGATTTTTAAGGACCTCCTTAAGAAGACCTCTCCCTGGAGACTTCTAACTATAAAATATGTCCAAAAGCATTATTACCTTATCAACCCTCATATATATTTTCCGTTTTTTTTTCATTTCCCTATTTCCCCTTCTGTTCCCAGTGGATAACCATATCGATGACCTTCATATGGAATTTTGTGGATATTTTCTTGATTCTGGTATCGCAGAGTTTGGCGTTACGTTTCAATCAATTCAAATGGCACGTGCAGTGTCATCAAAAGAAAGTGAGTATGGACGTGTGTGTGTGTGCGTGAGCAGATATCTCCTTAATATTTCAGTCACTAACATTTTCCTTCCCCCCATAATTTTTTCTGTTTATTTTATCTCCTCTCCCCTCTCCATCACACATTTGACAGCATATGTCAAATGACTTTTGGCTGGGTGTTCGCAAAGATTTCCTGGCCTTGACAGATTTACTGTGGCTCTACGATACGGATTTGTCCGGTTTGGTGATGCTGTCGTGTGCCCAGAATTTATATTTTTTGGCCGTCCAGACGTTTCATGCATTTCTGTAAGTCGGGGTAATGGTTGTTTGGGTCTTCATAAATAAAATGCATCAAATGTGACCACTGAACCGAGTAATAAGTGGACCAAATTGCCTACCTCAATAATTTTGTTTTTGGTGATTCTTTGTTGTTGTTTTTTGTCTTTTCAGCTATCGTGATAATTTCATGAGTGAAATATATTTTTGGTTTTCCCTGCTGCATGTGGCGGTGCGTACCTTCTATATGATGTGGTCAGCGGCGGCGATAAATGAAACAGCTTATGGCATATTGAGTACAATTTATGAAATACCCACGGCTCATTGGTGTTTGGAGGTAAATATAGGGGGAATTGAATATGAGAAGATTTTTTTAAAATATTTTTTTCAAGGTTAACATACATTTATTTTTAAGGAAATTATGTGGGCGTGTGCTGTTATAATCGTCACCACACTGTGGTACAGGGTATTATGACTTTGTGCATATGTTTGTAACAGGCAAAAGGAAACGAGATAGACACATGGCTCATATGCATAGAATCACTTTTTAAGTCGATTTATGCATGTCCGTCCAACGGTCTGTCTGTCTGTCCATTTGTAAACAAAGTACAGGTCGCAATTTTGATTCGAAATGGATGAAATTTGGCACAGCTCATTTATTTGGCCCAAGGACGAACCCCTATTGAAATTGGGAAAAATCGGTTTAGATTTAGATATAGCTCCCGTATATACTTTCGTCCGATTTAATGTAAATGGTGCACCAAAGTCCCTAAATATCATTCGATTTGCACGAAATTTGGCATGGCGTCCAGAATTGAGACTAAAATGATGTGTGTAATTTTTTTTGAAAATCGGTTCAGATTTAGTTATAGCCCCCATATATATTTTCGACCGATTTAATGTAAATGGTTCACCAAAGTCCCTATATATCATTCGATTTGCACGAAATTTGGCATAGCGTACTGAATTTTGACTAGAATGATGTGTGTAAAATTTCTTGAAATTCGGTTCAGATTTAGATATAGCTCCCATATATATGTTCGACCGATTTAATGTAAATGGTGTGCCAATGTCCTATATATCTTTCGATTTGCACAAATTTGGCATGTCGTCCAGAATTGAGACTAAAATGATGTGGGTAAATTTTTTTAAAAATCGGTTCAGATTTAGATATAGCTCCAATATATATTTTCGTCCGATTTAATGTAAATGGTGTGCCAAAATCCCTATATATCTTTTGATTTGGACGAAATTTGGTACGGCGTATTAAATTAGGTCTAGAATGATGTGTTTTAATTTTCCTGAAAATCGGTCCAGATTTATATATAGCTCCTATACATATTTCCGTCCGATTTAAGGTAAATGGTGTACCAAAGTCCCTATATATCTTTCGATTTGCACGAAATTTGGCATAGCGTCCAGAATTGAGACTAAAATGATGTGTGTAAAATTTCTTGAAAATCGGTTCAGATTTAGATATAGCTTCCATATATATTTTCGTCCGATTTAAGGTAAATGTTGCACCAAAGTCCCTATATATCTTTTGATTTGGACGAAATTTGACATAGAGTACTGAATTAGGCCCAGAATGACGTGTGCCAAGTGTCGAGAAAATCGGTTCAGATTTATATATAGCTCCAATATTTACATATAGCTTATATATTCTTTCGTCCGTTTTTAAGTAAATGGTGCACTTAAGACCCATACCTAGGCCGATTGACAAAACTTACTAAAATTAATAAATTAATTAATTTCTTCAAGATTTTTAATTAATTTTTTGCTTTCAAGGACCTTAAATAGTTGTAGAAGGATTTTTTTAATATTTTTTCGGGATTCTAAATAAGATTGGATTATTAAACAAAATTTCTTATAGACCTTATTTACCTGTGACTTTCTTAAATTATTTTTAAGTTATAGCCATAAGCGTTTATTTTTAAATTATTTTTTCAAGGACCTTTTAAAGGCTTAGATTTTTAAATAAATTTTGAATATCTCCCTTTTCCCCTTATTTTATATTTACAGCTCAAACGACTCAATGAAATAATTATATCCGATTTGATAGCCTTGAGTGGCAAAGGTTTCTTTTTCCTTACCCGTCGTCTGATGTTGGCTGTAAGTATTAAAAAAACACACACACACATACAAATGTATTCCAATATCCTGGATATATCCTTTCATCGTGTTGTCAATAATATGTTGTTTTTCCCTTTTTCATATTTGTTATATTTTATAGATGGCCGGTACATTGGTTATTTATGAACTGGTGCTACTCGATCAAGTCGATGGCAATGATGTCCATACACCACTTTGTAACCAAAGGAAGGGTTGAATATCTATTTTTTATTATCCTCTTTGGTGATATTGGATGATTAAAGGAAAAAGATAATGGGACAAAAAAATATTATGTGTTTAATCTTTATGTGTATTTGTGTTATTTTACTGTTAATGGATTTATGTATTAAAATGACGTGTCATATTCTGGTATTTTTTTTTATTTTCCATAAAGTCAATATTTATGTCACAGCTGGTCTTTGATGGGCTAATAAAATGCGAATACTTGAAAAAAACAAATATCAATAGATTTTTTATTGAACGATTAAAGGCCATATATCGATGAATGAAATCGTATGAAGGGACGATTCTTAAAAAAATCAGGTCTAATGGTCGTATGGTTCTTTGAAAAAAATCTTTAAAAAATCCACGCCTAATGGTCGGATGGTTCTTTGAAAAAAATCTTTAAAAAATCCACGCTTAATGGTCGGATGGTTCTTTGAAAAAAATCTTTAAAAAATCCACGCCTAATGGTCGGATGGTTCTTTGAAAAAATCTTTAAAAAATCCACGCCTAATGATCGAAAGTTCTTTGAAAAAAATCTTTAAAAAATCCAAGCCTAATGGTCGGATGGTTCTTTGAAAAAAATCTTTAAAAAATCCACGCCTAATGGTCGGATGGTTCTTTGAAAAAAATCTTTAAAAAATCCACGCCTAATGGTCGGATGGTTCTTAGAAAAATATCTTTAAAAAATCCACGCCTAATGATCGAAAGTTCTTTGAAAAAAATCTTTAAAAAATCCAAGCCTTGTCTTGATGGTTCTTTGAAAAAAATCTTTAAAAAATCCACGCCTAATGGTCGGATGGTTCCTTGAAAAAAATCTTTAAAAAATCCACGCCTAATGGTCGGATGGTTCTTTGAAAAAAATCTTTAAAAAATCCACGCCTTTTGCCCATTTCGGTAGCTCAAAAAAATCTTTAAAAAAATCCACGCCTAATGGTCGGATGGTTCTTTGAACAAAATCTTTAAAAAATACACGCCTAATGGTCGTATGGTTCTTTGAGAAAAATCTTTAAAAAATCCACGCCAAATGGTCGGATGGTCTTTAAAAAAAATCTTTAAAAAATCCACGCCTAATGGTCGGATGGTCTTTAAAAAAATCTTTAAAAAATCCACGCCTAATGGTCGGATGGTCTTTAAAAAAAATCTTTAAAAAATCCACGCCTAATGGTCGGATGGTCTTTAAAAATAAATCTTTAAAAAATCCACGCCTAATGGTCGGATGGTTCTTTGAAAAAAATCTTTAAAAAATCCACGCCTAATGGTCGGATGGTTCTTTGAAAAAAATCTTTAAAAAATCCACGCCTAATGGTCGGATGGTTCTTTGAAAAAAATCTTTAAAAAATCCACGCCTAATGGTCGGATGGTTCTTTGAAAAAAATCCACGCCTAATGGTCGGATGGTTCTTTGAAAAAAAGCTTTAAAAAATCCACGCCTAATGGTCGGATGGTTCTTAGAAAAATATCTTTAAAAAATCCACGCCTAATGATCGAAAGGTTCTTTGAAAAAATTCTTTAAAAAATCCACGCCTCATGGTCGGATGGTTCTTTGAAAAAAATCTTTAAAAAATCCACGCCTAATGGTCGGATGGTTCTTTGAAAAATCCACGCCTAATTGTCGGATGGTTCTTTGAAAAAAATCTTTAAAAAATCCACGCCTAATTGTAGGATGGTCATATAAAAAAAAGAAATATTTAAAAAATTACATACTAATGGTCGTATGGTTTTTTGAAAAAAATTAGACCAAGCCTTATGGGCAGATGGTTTTTTGAAAAAAAAAAAAAAAATTATTTAAATATTATTTATTGTAATTTCAAATCTCATAACTATGCGAATAATATAAATATCGCTCGGGCTATGTATGTAAATTTTATGACATGAATAAATTTATGAATTCAAAGAATACGCAATAAAATTCATGGATTTTCATTTTGCGCATTCCGTAAAATATAAAATATTCCGTTTCAAATGAAATTATAATTTTATTTTTATATTTAGTTTTTTTTTTTTGCCAATTCCTTATACCTCCTCTCTTCGGTATTGTCTAAAGAGATTGGGTGTGTGTAATAATGAAGATGACAATTTCTAAGGCAAATTTTTGGCATCTCATTTGTGCCAATGGCTTTAAAGTGAAGGTGGGTTAGCCAAAAATTCAAAATAAAACTGCCAACCTAAACTTGTTTCACAAAGAAGCGAAAACGAGCGGTGACGCTGACATTGACATGCAAATGTTTTGACATTGCAAGCGAATTTCAGATGTTGTAGTTGCTGCCATGTCGTTGTATTCGTCGACAATCTGACATTGATGGAGCTAGACAGTCATGAGTGTCAGTTAATTTTTTTTCGTAAAACGTAATGACAGCCTAATACCATGTGGTTTGGCGTATGAAAAGCCATTTCGAAAATTTACCATCGAATCTGTGTGGGGTGAAAACAATCTACGCATTGGAAAATTTATTAAAAAAAATACAGGCATTGGAAAAATTATTTCAAAAAATTCAGGCCTTGGAAAAATTATTTCAAACAATTCAGGCCTTGGAAAATAATTTTAAAAAATCCACGACTAATTTAAAACAGTAAAGAAAGAAGTAAAATCGGATGGGGCCGACTATATGATACCCTTCACCACTTTGGGTATATTCAACAGATGAATCCTAAAAGATGTGGCAGTTTTGAAGGACCAGTAAAATGCAATTGAATCCATAAACATGCCATTCTGCAATCTATACTAAATTATTCATTTGTTCAGATATAGAGTTGGTTCTTACAAATATCAATCGGACACCCGTTGATTATTTGGATAAATATCTGATAAACATTAGGAGTTGGGTGCACCTATATCTAAATCTGAAAAGATTTCAACGAGACATGCCAGAGATTAATTTATATTACCTACAGTTCACTGTACAAAATTGTGTGGCCATCGAACAAACTTTGGATTTTTAGTGCACAATTTACATAAAAATGAAAGAAATAATATATATGAGCTATATCCAAATCTGAACAGATTTTCACGATACTTAACACACATCATTCTGGACTTAATTCAGTACGACATGCCTAATTTTGTGCAAATCGAAAGATATATAGGGACAATGGTACACCATTTACATCAAATCGGACGAAACTATATTTGGGAGATATGACTAAATCTGAACAGATTTTCACGAAACTCAGCCCACATCATTCCAAACTGAATTCAGTACCCTATGCCAAATTTCGTGCTAATCGAAAGATATATAGGGACTTTGGTGCACCATTTCTATTAAATCGGACGAAAAGACATATGGGAGCTATATCTAAATCGGAACCGATTTTCACGATACTTAACAAACATCATTCTGCACTTAATTCCGTACGCTGTGCCAAATTTCGTGCAAATCGAAAGATATATAGGGACTTTGGTGCATCAATTTACTTAAAATCGGACGAAAATATGTTTGGGAGCTATATCTAAATCTGAACCGATTTTCACGAAACTTAACACACACCATTCTGTACTTAATTTAGTACGATATGCCAAATTTCGCGCAAGTCCAAAGATATTAGGGAATTTGGTACATCAATTTACTTAAAATCGGACGAAAATATATATGGGAGCTCTATCTAACTCTGAACCGATTTTCACAAAACCTAACACACATCATTCTGTATTTAATGCTGTACGCTGTGCCAAATTTTGTGCCAATCGAGAGATATATAGGGACTTTGGTGCACCATTTACATAAAATCGGACGAAACTATATTTGGGAGATATATCTAAATCTGAACAGATTTTCACCAAACTCAGCCCGCATCATTCTAAACTCAATTCAGCACCCTATGCCAAATTTCGTCCAAATCCAAATATATATATTTCGAGATAGTTGCACCCTCTTGACCGACTAGAGGTCAACATCACCTCTTCCTTACACTGACATATTTTTCGAATACTACTGATATTCAGTACAGTCCTTCTAATTACTTGTCCATATTCCCTTCTCCGTGGATTGTGATGTTTGGCTTTTAATTATGGGCTGTAGAAAGTTTCGAAAAAAAACACAAAAAAAAGTATTCGATACACTTCATCCAAAAATTATTATTTGATCATCACCGAAAATTATAGGCGTTGTACTTGACCATACCTGTATCCTCATGGAAAAATTCAAAGCGATCAGCTCTATATTTCCGCCACCAGTGTAGTAATGGTTTACTAAATAATATCTGAATACGTAAGCACTTGCCAATATTTAAGTGTAACTCCCACATCCACGTACATACGACAATATAATTGGTATCAATTTAAAGGCCAACCACTCCTCTTGGATATACTATCAATTTCTCGGGTCTATGTCCTTTAGGAGTAAATATATACGCTATAGAATAATTCTTCACACAAAAATCAGGGTCCAAGTCATATCTCGGGCATATGTCCTTCAGGAGCAAGTATATACGACCCAGAATAAAATTTTTGTTATTTTTCACACAAAGATCAGGGTCCATTTGACACGCTAAATATTGACCCATCTGTATCAAAACAGGCATGCTTATTCTTTGGTCCGATCCCCTACTCCATGTAAAATTTCACGATGTTCGGGCCATAATTGCGGCCTCTGGAGCGACCAGAAAAACCGACAAAAATTTAGTATTTGGTCCATTTCATCCCCTAAATATTAACCGATCTTTACCAAAAACAATAGGGGTCTTCATTGGCCACATCCCATCGTACATGCAAAATTTCGCGAAGATTGGCCCATAACTGTGGCCTGTATCGTGTTTACAAATTATAATGGACGGACGGATGGACGGACGCACATGCCCAGATCGACTCAGCTAGTCGAGATATGACGATCGGTATACTTAAAGGTGGGTCTAGGACCAATATTTCGCGTCATTAAAAACTCTCGGAGCAAAGGTATAATACCCTGACAACATTGTTGTGTAGGGTATAAAAATCCATGCCTGACTTTTATTAGGGGAAAAAATATTTTAAAACAAGTGAAAAAGCGTTAAGTTCGGCCGGGCCGAACTTTGAATACCCTCCACCATAGTTATACTGACAGGTACATGAAAATATAGGGAACATACCAAAAAGTGGGCATATACCGATAATTCTACAAACCGATTATGTACACCAAATACAAACTTCACCAATTTTTAATGGGGGTTTTTCCTAAAATCTGTAAGATCCAAAAAGTGGACTGATGCTGATAACGCATGGCCTAGGGGGGACCAATATTGATTACATAGTGTAGGAAAAAGTGAATATTTGGGGATATCATTATATGAGGGCTATGCTTAATTAATGACCGGTATATGCCAATTTTGAACCCAATATTTTAATTGTTTATCTCAATTCTTTCCTTCGGGTGGTATCACTATATTGAGGAGATGCCTAAATGTCTGCCGATATATTTCATTATAGTCATGTTTGAGTTTTTCTTATCACAATATCTTTAGAAGTCGGAATGCTTACAACAGATGGCTAAATAATCTTTGTAGGGTAAAAATTATCTATTCCCCGTAACGACTATCGAACAGCAACACTCGGAACAAATCAGATAACTATTTTAATATAAAAAAGTGGGTTATATGGGGACTACCCCTAAAAGGGGGTAAATATTTATAATTTTTGGTGGGGAGATTTGTTACCATATACGACTACAAAATACGAAACTTCAGCGAATTCGGTTGAAAACCGCACTCAAGAACCCTAAAATACCGAAAATTGGGGGTATCCTTATATGGGGGCTACCCGAAAAAAATTTACCTATATTTTTAATTTTTTTTTGAAAGGGTTTGCTACCCAATAAGAATTCAAATTACAAAATTACAGACAATTCGTTGAAAAAATCCTGTCAATCCCCCCAAAAACTGGAAATTCGTAGGTACACTTCTATAATATAATTTTATTGGGGAAATTTGGTACCCAATAAGAACGCCATGTACCAAATTTCAGCGAATTCGGTTGAAAACCGCACTCAAGAACCCTAAAAAACCGAAAATTGGGGGGTATCCTTATATGGGGTCTACCCGAAAAAAAATTACCTATATTTATTATTTTTAGTATAGAGATTTGCTACCCAATAAGAACTCAAAGTACCGAATTTCAGCAAATTCGGTCGAAAAATGCGATCAAACCCCCTAAAATACCGCAAAATTAGGGGTACCCTTATATGGGGGCTATCCGAAAATATGGACCTATATTTATAATATTTAGTGGAGGTATTTGCTACCCAATAAGAACTCAATGTAACAAATTTCAGCGAATTCAGTTGAAAAACGCGCTCAAGAACCTCAAAATACCGAAAATTGGGGGGTACCCTTATATGGGAGCTATGCCTAAACGTGGACCGATAAAGCCCATCTTCGAACTTGACCTGCCTGCAGACATGCACAATTTTGGTGATTTATCTCAATTCAGACAAAAAAACAGACAGACAGTCGGACATGGCTATATCGTCATAGAATTTTACGCTGATCAAGAATATATATACTTTATAGGGTCGGAAATGATTATTTCGATGAGTTACAAACGGAAAAACAAAATTAATATACCCTCCATACTATGGTGGAGGGTATAAAAATTACGCTTGTGTTGAAAGACGAACAAATTTATTAAAAAATTCACGCCTATGTTAACGGATGAAATAATCAATCCTCTTGATTATATTAAAACAACAACTTAAAATGGAATTTTTTTTTACAACAGCCAATTAATTTTGTAAATATATATTAAAATTTATTTTAATAAAATATTTCAATGACCTACTTGTAGGAAAAAATTGCATAATTTTTCATAAATCTCGTTTATTGCAAAACCACATCCTTTATTGCTGGCTAGCTAGGGTGTGCCACTTTCAAGTGCAAAAAAAAAAAAAACATTTACAGTAAATAATAAATTTGCTAAAGTGTTGCTGCCTACTTTTGAGGGATGGGCCCCCCAAAACGTCAGGTTTTTCACAATCATTGTTGATGAATGGTCAGAATGTTTATCCAAATTCATGAATGAACCAATGACTAACTGTGTGAGTGAACAATGTGCAGGTCCTCATGGTATGCTTGCACGAGCATGAGTTTACAAAAGTAATAATTACCATGGCGAAATGCAAAAAAACAACATGCAAAAAATACATTTTGCAAACCACAAAAACAACCACCAACAACAATAATAATATTAATAATAATCAACAACAACAACAATAAAAATAATAATTCAAAACAATTTTGCCATTTACACGGCAATTTCAGTTGGAATGTTGAGAATTCAACATTGTGGGTCATAGTTTTTTTTTTTCGTTTCAGAACAAATCAGTTATTTGCGAAGGGTGTTCCGATTTGTTTGTTTTTTTTTGCTGGAAAGTGCAAAGAAAGGGAAATTATGAAAATTCTTGCACAGCAACGTAATTTGAGTTCCTCCAAACGGCATTTGTTGGAAATTAAATTTTGGCAACGACATCAGATATTAAACAATGAACATGAGTAAGTGTGTGTGTGTATGTGTAATTTGTGGTTAATGTCTTCCAGTGAGTATGTGTTGGTAAACGTGTTCCTACTGCCTACCATATGAACTGTGTTTATCTTTATTTTCTTACAAGGAGAAAAATAATTTTTCTTTAAATACTAAATTATGCAAATGTTGTGCATACTTTTAGGGTGGGCGGCTGTAGCCTACTTTTAGGCCTAACAGCAATGGCACGCATATTCTCTGTTCTGCAAATGACCTACTTACTAATATTGTATATTGTTCTGAGGTAGTGGATGAGAGGTAGAGAGAGAGACATAATTAATTATAAATAAATGTTTGCATAATTTAATAATGTCTAATGAGAAAGTTGTTTACATTTTTAATGTTCCACCCTAATGAGACAACAGATGAGAATGTTCTTCTCTCAGCCATAGTTTCGGCAACAATTTGTCTGCCAAAAACCAGACAATTATAAATACGATTATTAAAGGCAAATACAAACAGCACATGCAAGGGAAACGAATTTAACAATTAATAACAATAATCGTAAAGTGGCGAATTTAAGGGCCCGGCAACGAAGAAAGAATTTCTAAAGGAATTTCGAAAGCTTTTAAAGGGCTCCAGGTCACAGGCAAATGTAGACAATAGTATTTGTCATGCTTTTTTCGTGGATTTTTTTTTTCAAAATTAATTTTCAATTAATATTTTTAGAGGCGAATTTCTTAAAAAATAATTTTCAATACATATTTTTGGGCGTGGAATTTTTAAATGAATTTTCAAGGAATATTTTTAGGCGTGGAATTTTTAAATGAATTTTCAAGGAATATGTTTTGGGCGTGGAATTATTAAATTAATTTTCAAGGAATATTTTTAGGCGTGAAATTTTTAAATGAATTTTCAAGGAATATTTTTAGGCGTGGAATTTTTAAATGAATTTTCAATGAATATTTTAAGGCTTGGTTTTTTATACCCTACACAACTATGTTGTCAGGGTATTATAGCTTTGTGCAGCCTCCAAGAGTTTGTAACGCCGCGAAATATTGGTCCTAGTCCTTTTGGTGCACCGATAATCATATCACGACCAGCAGAGTCGATCCAGACAGGAGTGTCCCACCGTCCATCTGTCCATTATAATTTGTAAACATGATACAGGCCACAGTTATTGACCAATCTTTACGAAATTTTGCATGTAGGATGGGTTCTACCCAAAGAAGACCACTATTGTTTTTGGTAAAGATCGGTTAATATTTAAGGGATGAAATGGACCAAATATTTAATTTTTGTCGATTTTTCTGGTAGCTCCAGAGGTCACAATTATGGTCCAAACATCAAGAATTTTTACATGGAGAAGGGGATCGGGCAAAAGAATAAGCATGCCTGTTTTTATTAAGATCGGCTAATATTTAGCGAGCCAAATGGAACCTAACTTTTGTGTGAAAAATTACAAAATTTGTATTCTATAGCGCATATATTTACTCCTGAAGGACATAGACCTGAGAAGTTGATAGTATATCCAAGAGGAGTGGTTGGCCTTTAAATGGATACCAATTATATTGTCTTGCGTATTCGGAAGTGGCAGTTACTCTTAAATATTTACAGGTGCTTACGTATTTAGATATTATTTAGTAATCCATTACCACACTGGAGGTCGGAAATATAGCGCTGATCGCTTTGAAATTTTCCATAAGGATCCAGGTATGAGCAAGGACAACGCCTATGATTTTCGGTGATTATTATATTGGGATGAAGTGGACCAAAAACTTATTTGTTGTGTTTTTTTCGAGTCGATCTATAGGCCACAATTGAAAGCCGAACATCACAACACAACCCACCGTAAAGGGAATATGGACAAGGAATTAGAAGGATTGTACTGAATATTCGGTCAGTGTAAGGAAGATGTGCAATTGACCTATAATCGGGCAAGAGGGTGCAACTATATAGATATATTGCCCAGACTCGGAATAAAAATTCACAAAAGGTTAGACTTCCGTGGTAGTTGTGTAGGGTATCGTATGGTCGGCCCCTTCCGACTGGTTTAAAATTATTTTTCAAGGATTTTCATACCCTTCACCATAGTGTGGTTCAGGGTATTATGCCTTTGTGCATATGTTTGCAATAGGCAAAAGTAATAGAGATAGGCCCATGGTTCCTTTTGAGAATATGCATAGAATCACTTTCTGAGTCGATATATGCATTTCCACAGTCCGTCCATGTTAAATTGTAAACAAAGTACAGGTCGCAGTTTTCATTCGAATTGGATGAAATTTGGTCCAAGGACGAACCCTGTTGAAAATCGGTTCAGATTTAGATATAGCTCCCATATATATTTTTGTCCGATTTAATGTAAATTATGAAATTTGGCTTAACATACTGAATTAGGCCTAGAATGACGTACGTGAAGTCTCGTGAAATTCTCTTCATATTTAGATATAGCTCCCATATATTTTTTCGTCCGATTTAAGTAAATGGTGCACCAAAGTACCTAAATTATGTCTAGAAAGATGTGTTCTAAGTTTCGTGGAAATCGGTTGAGATTTAGATATAGCTCCCATATACATTTTTCCGATTTAATGTAAATGGTGAACCAAAGCCCCTGTATATCTTTCGATTTGGACGAATTTTGGCATAGTGTACTGAATTAGGCCTAGAATGATGTACGTGAAGTCTCGTGAAATTCTCTTCATATTTAGATATAGCTCCCATATATATTTTCGTCCGATTTAAGGTTAATGGTGCACCAAAGTCCCTAAATATCTTTCGATTTGCACGAATTTTGGCATAGCGTATTGATTTAGGTCTAGAATGACGTGTGCTAAGTGTCGTGAAAATCGGTTCAGATGTAGTAATAGCTCCCATATATATTTTTGTCCGATTTGAGATAAATGGTGCTCCAAAGTCCCTAAATATCTTTCGATATGCACGAAATTTTACATAGCGTACTGAATTAAGTTTAGAATGATGTGTGCTAAGTTTCGTGGAAATCGGTTCAGATTTTGATATAGCTCCCATATATATTTTCGTCCGATTTAAGGTAGATTGTGCAACAAAATACCTATATATCTTTCGATTTGCACGAAATTTTGTATAGCGCACTGAATAAGGTCTACAATGATGTGTGCTAAGTTTCGGTTCAAATTTAGACATAGCTTCTGTATTTTCTTCCGATTTTATTTAAATTGTGCACTAAAGACCCAAAATTTGTCCGATTGCCACATAATGTTGTACAATGAACTGTAGTTAATTTCCAATTTCATGTTAATGGTCCTTCAAAAATGGGACCTCTTTAAGGATGAATATACCCAAAGGGGTGAAGGGTAGCATATAGTCGACTTCACTACTTTCCTTACTGTTTTTTTTTTTTGGTAAAGATAGGTTAATATTTAAGGGATAAAATGGACCAAATACTTAATTTTTGTCCCTCTTCCTGGTAGCTCCAGAGGCTGCAATTATGGCCCAAACATCGCGAATTTTTACATGGAGAAAGGGATCGGGATAAAGAATAAGCATGCCTGTTTGGAAAAAGATCGGTCAATATTTAGCGAGTCAAATGGACCCTGACTTTTGTGTGAAAAATTACAAAATTTGTATTCTATGGCGTGTGCATTTACTCCTGAAGGACATATATCCAAGAAGTTGACAGTATATCCAAGAGGATTGGTTGGCCTTGAAATTGATACCAATTATATTGCCGTATGTACTCGGATGTGGGAGTTACATTTTACCACACTGGAAGGCGGAAATATAGCGCTGATTGCTTTTAAATTTTCCATGAGGTTCCAGTTATGGTCAAGGACAACGCCTATAATTTTCGGTGATGATCAGATAATAATATTGGGATGAAGTGGACCGAAAACTTTATTTTTGTGTGTTTTTCGAGTCGATCTATAGGACACAATTGAAAGCCGAACATCACAACACAACCCACGGTGAAGGGAATCTGGACAACTAATTAGAAGGATTGTACTGAATAATCCGACAAGAGCAAATATCCCGAAATATTTCCCAGGCTCGGATTATAAATCGACAGAAAGTTTGACAACCATGGTAGTTTTGTAGGGTATCATATGGTTTGCCCCGTTTTCATAATTTTATAAATAATCCATTTCCTTTCAAAAACCCCTAATATTTATGATTTCATTTTTTTCTTCATTATTATTTAACAGCTCAATATTTTTCAAAATGAAGTCGGCAAATGCGAAGCCAAATCAGCGAAAAGCTCTTATCATGAAATGTAAGTAAATTAGCACTTCCTCTCACTCACTCACCCATCCATCACCCACCCACCCAAGACCACATTTATTAGCAGAAAACATAAAAAAAGAAAGAAAGAAAAGAACTTGTCATTGTGTTTTGTGAATGTGGCATTAAATTAACTTTGAAGACTTAATGAGATGAGAATATCTTTTTTTTTCGCAGTAAAACATCAAATCTTAAGACGGGGCCGTAAAGAGGATTATATGCATGCGGGAAGCTTTCAGGAAGCCATACGTCCAGGTGTCATGAAATTATTAATCATATTTTTGTTTTAATTTAAAGTTTTTTCTTATTTTTATTACAATGAAACAATGTTTATGAACGTATGACAGCGTATTTTTGTGGTTGTTGTGATTATTATTTTTATAGTTCTAATAATGGCCCAAATATTTGCCTTGATGCCTGTCCAAGGCATTACCTCAAATTCCTCGGAGGATTTACGTTTCACATGGAGATCGGTGCGCACCTGGTATTCCTTTATAGTTACAATTCTATTTGGCATATGCTCGGGATTTAATATTGCTTATGCTTTTCGTGGTTGGTTTAATTTTGATTCGGTTGGTAAGTATATTTGTAAATTAAATTACAATTTAAAAACCAGTAAGAAAAGTAGTAAAGTCGGACGGGTTCGACTATATATGATACCCTTCACCACTATGGGTATATTAAACACGACTATTAACATTAAGTTGGATGAACAGAAATATGTGATATTATCTAAATCGACTTCAAACAAATATCAATATTGCTCAAAATCAATCAATAATATATAAGGGAGCTATATCTAAATCTCAACCGATTTTCACGAAACTTAACACACGTCATTCTGGACTAAATTCACTACGATATGTAGAATTTCGTGCAAATAGAGAGCTATATCTAAATCTGGACCGATTTCCACGAAACTTTGCAGACATCACTCTAGGCTCAATTTAGTACTTCATGCCAAATTTCGTTCAAATCGAAATATGTATAGGGACTTTGGCAGCTATATCTAAATCTGAACCGATTTTCCTCAATTTCAATAGGGTTCGTCCTAGGACCAAACAAATGAGCTATACCAAATTTCATCCAAATCGGATTAAAAATGCGACGGACGGACATGCATAAATCGACTCAGAAAGTGATTATATGCATTTTTAAATAATTTAAGGAGCCATACGTCAATAGCGTGGATTTTTTAAATAATTTATTTGCCTGTTACAAACGTATTTTTTACAATAATTTATAATACCCTGTACCACAGTGTGTGTGTATAATAAACTAGTGAGTGGAGCAGTATAGTTGGACGGGGCCGCCCATATGATACCCTACAAAACTTCTACGGAGTTCTAAGTTTCTGCGGATGTTCATTTCGAGCCTGGACAATATGTCGTGGCATTTGCACCCTCTTGTCCGATTAGAGGTCAACAGCACCTCTTCCTTACAATGACATATTTTCCGAATATTACTAATAATCCATACAGCCCTTTTAAGTACTTCTTCAGATTGCCTTCACCGTGGGTTATATGGTGATGTTCGACATATAACTGTGGCCTAAAGACCGACTCGAAAAAAACACAAAAAATTAAATTTTCGGTCCACTTTACCCCAAAATTATTATCTGATCATCATCAAAATACAGGCGCGGTCCTTGACCATAACTGGAACCTCATGGAAATTTTCAAATAGATTAGGGTTGTATTTCCGCCCTCTAGTGTGGTAATGGGATACTAAATAATAATGAATACGTAAGCACCTGCACACATTTAAGTGTAACTCCCACATCCGAGAACATACGACAATAGCATAGGTATCAATTTAAAGGTCAGCCACTCCTCTTGGATATACTATGTCCTTTAGGGTCTATGTCCTTTAGGAGTAAATATATACGCCATAGAATAAAAATTTTGTCATTTTTCATACACAAAGGCAAGGTACATTTGGCCCGCTAAATATTGACCTATATTTATCAAATCAAGCATAGTTATTCTTTGGCCCGATCCCCTTCTCCATGAAAAATTCACGATGTTCGGACCATAATTGCGGCCTCTGGAGCGACCAGAAAATCAGACAAAAAAAATGTATGGTCCATTTCATCCCCTAAATATTAACCAATCTTTACCAAAAACAATAGGGTCCTCATTGGCCAGAAGCTGTCCTACATGCAAAATTTCGTGAAGATTGCTCCATAACTGTGGCCTGTTTAAAAATTGTAATGGGCAGACGGACGGACACACATGTCTAGATCGACTCAGCTAGTCGCTTTGAAAATTTTCATGAGGATCCAGATATGGTCATGGACAACGCTTATTTATTTCAATGCAAAAATCGTTACAAACTCTTGGAGCTGCAAAAAGCCTTCATGTAGATACATCCGACAAGGGCATTTGATTGAAGTCGCGGTAGCAAAAAACATGGTAGTTAGCACCAGATTCAAATTGATTACACACATTTGGATCTCTCCTGATCAAGCTCATAAGTCAAAATATTTCTAAAACTTCATCAATTAATTAACTCCACCAATGTCCAAATTGTACCAAATTTAGTACTTTTTGCACAAGTACGAATTTCCTAATGTAGCCTCAATCTTGCTTTCACAATAGTGATCCTCGAAATGTCCAAACACAGCAGGTTCCAGCTCTGCCTGTTCATTAAAAACCAAATTGTCCCGAGATTTGGTACCATGGCAAAGAATTGCCCCTTTTCGTACCCAAATTCAATCGTAAGTCCAAATTTAAGAATTCCAGCTCTGTCTATTCACCAAAATGTACCAGATTTCGTTCCATTCTGTATCCATATTCCAAACCTATATCAATCATACACTCCCACAGTGACCAAAGTTGCAACTTTCAGGATTCGAGTTCTACCCGTTAACCAAAGTCCAAATTGTACCAAAAGTTGTGCTTTTCGTACCCATAAGTACGAGTTTCCTAAACTACTACCTTAATTCCTAAACTACCAGCATGTCTCAATCCTACACTCCAACTATAATTTTAATTCAATTTTTTTGAATTCCCGCTCAAACAAAACAAATTGTACCATATTTAGTACCATTTAGTGCTTCTCGTATTCATAAGTACGAAATTCCAATAATTTTCATTCCAAACTTATGTTTTCCATGTCTATACGTTCACTTTCATCTAAATTGTACCAAATTTAGTACACATAAATACGAAATTTCAAAACTACCGACATATCTCAATCTTGTACTCTAACTGTAATTTTAAATCAAAATTTCAGGATCTCAGCCCTACCCGCTCATACCAAAACAATTTGTAAACTATTTGGTACCATTTAGTATTATTGTTTTTCATTTAGTAATTTTATTCCAAAATTCTAAAGTGCAGCTCAATCCGATCACACATAATCAAGTTGTACAAAATAAAGTACCATTTAGTACACATAAGTACTATGCTTGTGATATTTTTAACATTCTATACTCCAACAGCAACCATTATTCCAAATTTTAGGTTTCCCAAACAACACATGTTACCCAAATCCAAATATAGTGCCAATTAGTACTTCTCGTACACATCAATACAAAAAAATCTCTATAGATCAATCTTCAACAGTAATCTGAATTCCAATTTTTATGTTTTCAGTTCTATCCGTTCAAGCAAAATCAAAAATGTACTAAATGCTGTACCATTTAAAGATTTTATATTTGGTACCGCCATAAATAACGTATGAAATTTTTGAAAACTACCTCAATCCTACAATGCAACAATCATTTAATTCCCAATTTGAAGACTCCAGCCCTATCTGTTCACCTAAATCAAACTTGCACCAAATTTAGTACCATTAAGTACTTTTCGTACACATGAGTACAATTTTTTTAAATTACCGAAAATCCTGTACTCCAATAGTAGTCCTAATTTCGATTTTCAGGATTCCATCTATATACACTCAACTAAATGCAAATAGTACCAAATTTAGTACCATTTTGTACTTTTTATACAAATAAGTACGAATTTCTTAAACCATTTCCATACATCAACTCTTCAAGATTCTAGCTATATATGTTCAATAAATATACAATTAGAACTAAATTTAGTAATGTTTAGTACTTTTAGTACACTTATAGGTCAAATTTCTAAAAGCCTCAAATATCGCGAAATATTGCCCAAGCTCAGAATATAGAACCACACAAACTTACTTTTTTGTACAGTTGTGTAGGATATCATATGACCGGCCCCGTCCGACTATAATGCTCCCCTCACTGGTTTATAAATATTTTTTTCAGAATATGTCTTTCTATTTTACGATTTTAGTTACCTACTTCCTGTGTGCTACATTGTTTACTTTATTTGCCTGTGGCTTAAATTTATTTTCATATTCCTATTTTCGGCTTATTTTTTTACAGCTTATTTTCCACTACCTCGTGCCGTTGTGGGTGTTTGTTATGTGTGTGCTGTTTCTATTCTGGTCATCAACAATCATCAGATTCACTTCTTGTTCTTTTTCTTTCTGTTCTCTATTTCCAGAGGGTATCATGTTTTATACGTCGATATTTTTGATTGCCATCATTTTCTTTCGCATGGCTGGTAAATGGCCAGATTTAATGCAACAATGGCAACAAGTGGAGAGGGCACTGCCGCAACAAACCTCTGAAAAAGAACGCTCATGGCTGTCGCATCGCATCAAAATGGTCATGTTGGTGGCTATCACTTGTTCCCTGAGTAAGTTAAGAAAAAACACACACACACACAAACAATGGTGGGCAGTAAAGCGAGATATCCCTTTTGGGTTATATCCTGGCCAGTTTATGTCCCTCACTGTGATTTCGTTTCGTAATAAAATGTTGAAAATAGCGGAGATTTTATTACCATCTCAGGGATTTGTTTTTAATGTTATTCGATGTTGAAGGTGCTAATATTAGAGGGAGTTTATTTTTTTTAGCTTTGGGGGCATTAAGAGGTTCGAATGGAAATTTTAAACTAATTTAGAATGATTAATAAATTTTAATTACTTTAAAAAATTTTATATTATTCCAATATTATTTTATTTATATACGTATTTTTCATCAATTTCCAGCCGAACACATTCTCAGCATGCTGACAATTATCTATTATGTGAATCGTTGCCCACGCTTCCGCAATGAACCGCTGAATAGTTTCCTTTTTACGAATTTCAGTAATTTCTTTTATTTTTTCGAGTACACCACATTTATGGGCATTGTCGGCAAGGTCATCAATGTCCTTTCGACATTTGCCTGGAGTTTTAACGATGTCTTTGTAATGTGCCTGTGTGTGGCGATGAGGGCCAAGATTCGACAGTTAAACGATTACATGGAAAAATATTCGAAAAAGGTAAACCGAAACACATCGAAGCGAAACGAGATAAACTCGTAAATACAAACATATTTCAAATGTCGTCTTTTGTCTGTTTGTTTGTCTTCTCCATTTATTAACTAATGGCTTTTCATGTTGACCTTGGTTTTGATGGACGCGCTCAGCCTACGACACGCAGCTTTTGGATCGAAAGACGTAAAACCTATCGAATGCTGTGTCATTTGTGTGAAGCTGTGGATGACACCATTGCTGTGGCGACCCTTTTGTGCCTGACAAATAATCTCTATTTTATCTGCAACAAAATTTTGAAAAGTTTACAGTGAGTTCGGTTTGTTTTTTCTTTGTTTGTTTTCTTTTCAGTGATAACTCTTTTTTAGTATTGGGGGTAGGAAAAAAGTTTGCGGGAAGAAAACAAAAAATCAATTCGCGCGGATTTTTTTTAAATTATATTTTTTTATTAATCAACACAGGGGTGAATTTTTATACCCTTCACCACACTGTGGTACTGGGTATTATGTCTTTGTGGATATGTTTATAACAGGCAATAGGAAACGAGATAGACAAATGGTTCCTTTTGAGAATATGCATAGAATCACTTTTGAAGTCGATTTATGCATGTCCGTCCTTCCGTCTATCCATGTTAAATTGTAAATAAAGTACAGGTCGCATTTATGATTCGCATTGGATGAAATTTGGCACAGATCATTTATTTGGCCAAAGAATGAACCCTATTGAAATTGGGAAAAATCGGTTCAGATCTAGATATAGCTCCCATATATTATTTAGTCCGATTTGAGGTAAATGGTGTACCAAAGTCCCTATATATCCTTAGATTTGTACGAAATTTGGCACAGCGTAATGAATAAGGTCTGGAATGATGTGTGTTAAGTATCGTGGAAATCGGTTCAGATTTAGATACAGCTCCCATATATATTTTCGTCCGATTTAATGTAAATGGTATACCAAAGTCCCTATATATCCTTCGAATTGTACGAAATTTGGCACAGCGTAATGATTTAGGTCTAAAATTATGTGTGTTAAGTTTCGTGAAAATTGGTTCAGATTTAGATGTGTGTTAAGTTTCGTAAAAATCGGTTCAGATTTAGATATAGCTCCCATATATATTTTCATCCGATTTAATGTAAATGGTGCACCAAAGTTCCTTAATATCCTTCGATTTGCACGAAATTTGGCATAGCGTAGTGAATTGGGTCCAGAATGATGTATGTGAAGTTTCCTGAAAATTGGTCAAGATTTAGATATAGCTCCCATATATATTTTCGTCCGATTTAATGTAAATGGTGCACCAAAGTCCCTATATATCCTTCGATTTGCACGAAATTTGGCACAGCGTAATGAATTAGGTTTAGAATGGCGTGTGTTAAGTTTCGTGAAAATCGGTTTTGATTTAGATATAGCTCCCATATATATTTTCGTCCGATTTAAGGTAAATGGTGCACCAAAGTCCCTATATATATTTCGATTTGCACGAAATTTTGCACAGCGTAATGAATTAGGTCTAGAATGATGTGTGTTCAGTTTCCTGAAAATCGGTCCAGGTTTAGGTATAGCTCCCAAATATGGTGCACCAAAGTCCCTTAATATCTTTTGATTTGCACGAGGCCTACTATATAATACCCTTCACCACTTTGGTTGAATACGCTGTGCCAAATTTTGTGCAAATCGAAAGATATATAGGGACTTTGGTGCACCATTTACATTAAATCGGACGAAAATATATATGATTCGGTTCAGATTTAGATATAGCTATTATATTTGATGAAATGGAAAATTTAGAATCGGTTGCAGAATGACATATTTATGGATCGAATTTCATTTTACTGATCCTTTAAAAATGCGACGTCTCTTAGGATTCATCTGTTGAATATACCCAAAGTGGTGAAGGGTATCATATACACTGAGAGAAATTTCTGCATCAATATAATGAATTTCTGCATTGGCCCAATGAAATGTTTCATTAAAAAAAGACCAAAGAAACATTTCATTGGATGAATGATTCGAAAACATTTATTTAATGAAACGTTTCCATCATTGGATGGATGAAATATTGCATTAGATTAATGACAACCATTCATAGATGTATTGAAACAAGTTCATAGAATATATGAAATATCTTCACATATTTAATGTATAGTTGCATTCGTCGAATGAATCATATTCACACATATATTGAAAAAGTTTCATTGGACTAACGACAAAGTCATTAACCCAATAAAACATGTTCATTGATGTAATGAAATAAATCCATTGATTTAATGAAGCTTTCATTTATTCTATGAAACATAATCGTTAATTCAATGCAACATCTTCATAGATATAATGAAATTTATTCATGAATAGAATAAAATGTCTTCATAAATCCAATGAAATGTGTTCATAGATTGAATGAAACATATTCATACAGCAAATGAAACATTAATACAACAAATGAAACCCCTTCATATGCTAAATGAATGATGTACATTTAAATAATGAAAGGGTTTCTTTGATTTTATGAAATTGTTAATTTTTTATGAACGGGTTTCATTTGTTGTGTGAATATGTTCAGGCATTATTTACCATTTAGACAAGAATATATTCACATACTTATTTTTTTATTTTTCTTTATTTTGTAAAAACGTATCTTTGTTAATTCATTTACAAACAAAAGAGGTCTTAGATATCTATGTTAAACTCAAAAATAATAAATTCATATTGTGACTTGTTTTGCAAGCGGTTTTTAAAAATTAATTTTGTAAATATTATTTAATCAGTGTTACAAAAGTTCATGTTTCTTCTTACATATCATATTTTGTAAACAATTCTACTTAGTTATAATTCATTTTTCAGTCCATTTTGATTTGTTTTTAACAGTAATATATTTAATATATTTTTAGCATACAAGTTCTTATAAAATACTATAACTTTCTTTACTTATATAGTCTATAAGTCTTTATTTGTAATTACTTGAGGTAATTCAAATACACAGTCAGTTTTTAATCTGCGGAATTTAGGAACGTTTGTTATTTGCATAAATCTAATTTTCGAACTTATTTTTAATTGATATGAAGATATCAATATAAAAATAGCTTAATTATTATTTAATTTAGTGTTTTAAATATCTGAGAATTTATAACTTATTAAATTGAAACCAATTACTCAGATTGTTTCTCTAAATCATCCAAGAGGATGCTTACCTTTGACTTTTTCTTTGAGCATGAACTTATTTCAAAAAAGTAGTTTTCCAAAAAGATCCAAAATGTTTCAGATGCTGTGGGATATTGTAAATTAAATAAATGGAACATTTTAAAACAAATATCCAAAGAGCGAAGAAAATTAGGAAACCGTATGAGGTCACCATCAAAATAAACAAAAATTTCATGTATATCGTCCAGACTTCCGATTCCCAATATAAAAGGCTGAATATGTTCTTTCATCTTTAACAAAAAATCAATATGGTCGTGTAATTCTTGCAAAGTCTTTCCCAAAAACAAAAACGTCTTCTGGGAGTCCTTTATTGTATAGCGAGATATTTCTTTCTTTCCGAGAATTGTTTTTCGAACTTGCCGCCCAGTCGGGAAAAGAACATAATGTAAAATCCACAGGGTTTTCACTGCAAATGTGCCTCGATCTGCAAATAATAACGTTAAATTAGGTTTGATCGATTTGTTGAGCTTGACTTGAAGACTCTTACCCTTTTCCAAATCTTCGTCCTGGAGAGTTTCTAACATTTTTGACTCACCATGACATTTAAGTTGCTTAGATTTTTTCAAAAAGTTAAACAACTTTAGGATTTTTTGGTACCAGTTGAGCATTTTGTTGTGCGATTTATGCATTATTGAGAAGTCAATATCAATCTGAATTTAAAACAGTTTTTGTAGAATTACGCTAAAATTATCAAATGTTTACAATTTGATATATATATACTCACCAACTTATAATGTGATTTATATTCAGGCCACTTTTTAAGAATCTCTCGTAGGCTACTGCATTCGTTAAGTACTTGATTAAGTCTATAGTTGGCACAAGAAATCCACTTTGTTTCAAACTCTTCAGCTGAAAGCTTGTCATATTTAAGAACTTGCACCAAATCCTCTCCATTCTCCTCAGGTACTGAAAATACAAATTAATTAAAAACCATTACTAAACCACAAATTCCACATTTCCTACCAAAAGTAATTTTAGCCTTTTTTGACGCCGTAGGTGATTCGTTTTCCAGCATAAAAATCTGCTTGCTTTGTTTTTTAAGATTTTGGGATTTTACATAAATTTTTCCTCTACGTTCTGTTCGATAGAATTCAAGTTTTTCAGTCGGAAATAGAGACAATATTTGCGTTTCGAGTTTGTAGCTTGCTTGAAGAGTCATTGGTGCGTCTTTTCTTGCAAAATGCTGGGCAGCAATGTTTATAATGAAAACTCTTAGTTCATCTGTGAGAAACTTGTTTTTTTCGTAAAACTGTAGCACACGTTCCCCATTTTTATTACTTTGCAATATCTCCAACATATTGACGTTATCGACTTCTTCCGTATCAGATGAGTTACACGAATCGGCTTTTTGGGAAAAACTGGAGGACTTGAACATTCTGCCCAAAATGGATGGTTAATATCATGTCTCCACTTTGTGAAATGGTGAATGAACTGGGCCTTGTCTCCAATTCTCCAATTCTGTGTCAGCTCTTTAACATGTTCCTCAGTTAGTATTTT